CCGCCAAGGATATACCGTTGCCTTCGTCTTTGGAGATGTCGGAGGCTTCTGAGGTGGGGCAAGGAAGGCAATCGTCAGGACCCTTCTGACGCTTGCGACGAAGTGGCAGATCATGTCGCCAAGAAGTGCTCGTAGCCACCGCTTCCAAGATGCGAGGCTCCATGATCCGATTGACCTCAATTGCCGGGCAGGTTCGAGGGTAGCATGATATGTCATTCGAAATGAATCACTGCTGCAACGTCCAAGTATTGCCTTCAAAGGCTTGGTCAGGTCAGATCAATACATATAATGTTTGCCTCTGATTAGAAGCCTGGTACCCTATTGTGAGAAATTTCTTGCTCCTAATTCAGTAACATGCTAATTGTTGGGGGGGAGCCTCTATTGTGAGAATTTTTTTCCAGATTTATTTTTTCATTTTTTTTTCCAAATGCTTTTTGTTTGAAATTAATTAATTACTTTATTTATTAATTTCTTTTTATTTTTAGTTTATCTAGTTTTATTTTATTTTTTATTTTTACTTTTTACTTTTTCATTTTTATTTTAATTGTATTTACTATTGTTTCATTTTTTTCATTATTTCCTTTTTTAATTATTTTTTTTATTGCTTTATTATTCATTAAGATATTAATTACCCTATGAGTGGCTCAGTTACTCAATAATATAATTGTCTGGATGGTACTCTATTGTGAGCACCAACTTTTGGGAGTGAAAAAAAATAAAACCTTTTCTCCACCTTTCTTTGGCTAAAACTGGTCCCTTTACTTTAGAAGGCAATGTTTGTGTTAAAGCTTTAAAATGCAAGGTTTCCCAAATAATTAGATGCCTTATTAAACCCTTATTAAAAAACAGCATCCAGACAATTTTTCAAGGGGGTACCTCATGAGTGGCCCAGTTACTCAATAATATAATTGTCTGGATGGTACTCTATTGTGAGCACCCACTTTTGGGAGTGAAAAAAAAATAAAACCTTTTCTCCACCTTTCTTTGGCTAAAGCTGGTGCCTTTACTTCAGAAAGCTATATTTGCGTTAAAGCTTTAAAATGCAAGGTTTTCCAAATAATTAGATGCCTTATTAAACCCTTATTAAAAAACAGCACCCAGACAATTTTTCAAGGGTATACCTCATGATTGGCTCAGTTACTCAATAATATAATTGTTTGGATGGTACTCTATTGTGAGCACCAACTTTTGGGAGTGAAAAAAAAAACATTTCTCCACCTTTCTTTGGGTAAAGCTGGTCCTTTTACTTTAGAAAGCCATATTTATGCTAAAGCTTTAAAATGCAAGGTTTTCCAACTAATTAGATGCCTTATTAAACCCTTATTAAAAAACAGCACTCAGACAATTTTTCAAGGGGATACCTCATGATTGGCTCAGTTACTCAATAATATAATTGTTTGGATGGTACTCTATTGTGAGCACCAACTTTTGGGAGTGAAAAAAAAGCAAAACCCTTTCTCCACCTTTCTTTGGGTAAAGCTGGCCCTTTCACTTTAGAAAGCCATATTTATGCTAAAGCTTTAAAATGCAAGGTTTTCCAAATAATTAGATGCCTTATTAAACCCTTATTAAAAAACAGCACCCAGACAATTTTTCAAGGGTATACCTCATGATTGGCTCAGTTACTCAATAATATAATTGTTTGGATGGTACTCTATTGTGAGCACCAACTTTTGGGAGTGAAAAAAAACATTTCTCCACCTTTCTTTGGGTAAAGCTGGTCCTTTTACTTTAGAAAGCCATATTTATGCTAAAGCTTTAAAATGCAAAGTTTTCCAAATAATTAGATGCCTTATTAAACCCTTATTAAAAAACAGCATTCAGACAATTTTTCAAGGGGATACCTCATGATTGGCTCAGTTACTCAATAATATAATTGTTTGGATGGTACTCTATTGTGAGCACCAACTTTTGGGAGTGAAAAAAAAATAAAAGTAAATTAAAAGTAAATTGAAATCAATTGAAAGTAAATTGAAAGTAAAGTAAAAGTAAATTGAAATCAATTGCAAGTAAATTGAAATCAATTGAAAGTAAATCAAAAGTAAATTGAAATCAATTGAAAGTAAATTGAAATCAATTGAAAGTAAATTAAAAGTAAATTGAAATCAATTGAAAATAAATTGAAATCAATTGAAAGTAAATTAAAAGTAAATTGAAATCAATTGAAAGTAAATTGAAAGTAAATTAAAAGTAAATTGAAATCAATTGAAAGTAAATTGAAAGTAAATTAAAAGTAAATTGAAATCAATTGAAAGTAAATTGAAATCAATTGAAAGTAAATTGAAATCAATTGAAATCAATTGAAAGTAAATTGAAATCAATTGAAAATAAATTGAAATCAATTGAAAGTAAATTGAAATCCTTTCTTAAGTTGATTGACCAAAAAAATGTTGAGGGGGGGCAAAAAAAAGTGCGAGTTATAGAGTATCCTCAAATTGTTTGGGGGGGGGGGCCCCTCACACTAATCAGAGGCACACATTACTGATATATGATGATAAATATTGTGTCAATCATTATCGATCGCATATACCACAGTGTCCTACGAGAATATACCATCCATCCAACATCATCGAACAGCTCAAGGACATACAAGAAGTCATGGGACCGTCTCGTGCCCCATGTCCACTTGATGCCTGATCCCCCTGCATCAAATTTTATTGGAGCATATTGGCGCACATGGAACCATCATGCATCCTAGCTGCACTGCCTTTCTTCCTCTCCAATGGAACCGGAAGAGACAAAGGCCGACAATCCTCCACATGCTAACCACCTTCCACGGCTATGTCCTTCAACTGATTTCAACTGCACGTGGCCAAACAATCAAATTTCGGACAACAACGAGGATATCCTTGGATATCGTTGGAACGAACGGAATGACATGCAGGAGCACGCAAGGAAAATGTGGGAACAATTAGGAACCAAAGTTCCCGGCCAAGCAAGGACATATCGAAACCTGCCCGAATATCTTCGAACATGAATCGTTCCTTGCTATTCCTGGATGATGACGCATCGAGACTGTGTTACTTTGGATGACGTGTGTGGAGGGCATGGTATTATCAATATGACACAGGCAGCTTAGGGCAAGACATGGCAAAACAGATCCCAAGTACAAAAACATTAATAAAAAGGTTCCCAAAACGGAAGCCCATATGCCCCAAAAGATTCTAGACATATCCTCGTATATCTTCATATATCTTCATATGTCTTCAACAATATTCCATAATATTCCATTAAATCCCCAAGACGCCCTATGTTTAACAATTCAATATTGGTAAATGTTGGTAAATCCATTTCTCCAATATGATAATTCGAGGGTTTCCGATCACTGTCTCATCATGTCTCATCATTGATTTCTGAAAGGGTAGGCTATAGATGGCCATAGTAGGTTCAAGACATGTGAAATTGGTGGCGCACCAGTCATCAAGCATCGACGAACAAATGGAACAACATGGGCTACCCCGACATGGGAGCGTCAGAAGGCTACCCACGAGCATCCATGAGCATGTATGAGATTGTATAAGCAGGAAGTATGCACAATATGCCCCAACATGAACCTAACATGGGACCAGCATTGGCGGACAACTGTGTTCTGCGGACCTCCACGACCTTTTCTTTGGTCAGGAGTTTCGCAAGCCACCACAGCTGGATAGTCAATGCAGATCCGTGCACGGCCTTGTTCTCGATCATCATGGAGTCGGCAACCGTGGGCGGTGTCAGGCATTCGGAGCTATAAATAGCCAGCCGCGCATGGCCGCACATAAGATTTTAACATTTTGCAACTGATGTCTTTCTAAGGTCTGCCGTGGTCTGTTGTAGTCCGCTTCTATGATTCTATATGATCTGCCCATCGACTCTGACACGTAGAGCATACTGCTGCAAGCAGCTGCGCTTTTTTTCATATTTTGGCGGGCAAATACGATCGCATCAGCAACCTTACATGTGCAACGACGCCCTGGAGCATCCTGGATCAAGGCTCAACACAGTCATCCCACATTTGCCTCTATATCTGCCAAAATCTTCCAAAAAAATATTAAATATCTGGAATCTAGACCCGCGTGGGCCTGCGATGGCCTTCAATGGCCTTGACTTGAGTGGGACTTTGTCTCTTTTCGATTCGGGCTGATGGGAAAATTGCCTGATGCACTCCGCAAGGACTGGACTTCTGTGGCCAGGAACTGCACCAAATCCATGGGCTTGTCACTACTCGATCCTGTAAATCCAGGGGCTTTACAAATATCATAGTCCCTGGCCTGGAAATCCAAAAGGCAAGCTCAGATGGGGCTTCTCGGCCCAAACAATTGGAACCGTACGAGCCGGAAAACCGAACCGTCCAGACCCGAACCGCTTAGGAACCGAACCGAACATGCTTTAGGTTCGGTTCCGTGAAACCGAACCGGCCCAGAGTGGAACCGAACCGTATAAGAATCGAACAGACCATGCTTCGGGTTCGGTTCCGCGAAAGCAAACCGAACCGAACCATGGCCATACTGTGTATATATATATATATTATGTATATTTATAGGTATTATGGAATATCCCCACTATGGGCTACTTATATTAAGTTACTACCAATTTATTAGCAAGTATCACATCACCATCAATTTATACCATTCTATACCCAAGTAGGTATATCTTATTTATGTGAAGACTTTATTTAGTAGTATCGCCATTTTCTCAAGTACCGTGGTAGTTTAACATAGCTATGGAAACTCACCATTTTTGACAGGTAAATCAGCGAACTAAATGGCAATGGTTTCAATAGCGAACTGTTTAATTACCAGAGGGTAAATCCATTATTATCCCATTAGTATCCAATGATTATCACTGTCAAACCATGTAGAACACCATGAAATCCCATTAAAACATCATAAAATCCCATTACAACATCATAAAATCCAATTAAAACATCATAACATCCCATTGAAAGATCATAACATCCCATCAAATCCCATATAAACCCACCATTCCCAGAACCCATCACCACTTCTTCATCCCAGCATCCGGGGCATCGGCGGAGCAACCTTTGGCCAGCAGGTAGTGGGCCACGTCCAAGGAGCCGCCCGCGGCCGCGAAGTGCATGGCCCGGCTGCCCACGGAACCGTTCTCCTGGGGCAGGGAAGGGGACAATTTGTGATGCTAAGGACCTAAGGTCAACGAATGGATAGTAATACCCTCTGGTAAACTAACATAACTATGGAAAATCACCATGTTTAATGGGTAAATCCACTATAAATGCTCATTTCCAATAGCTATGTTAAATGACCAGAGGGTAAGGTAAACGAATGGATAGTAATAATCAAATATGAATGGATTATCCCTAAGGTAATTATTATCCAGAGATGAGTAAACCCTAAGGTAGTACAGCGAAGTTGCTGTGTAGATGTTAATTCTAAGTTAACTCGGTCTATGGTATAGCTTGGAAACCTGGTATCTAAAATGCAAGATTTTGGTGGTTTCAGAAAACATGAGGCCCTTATCTACAAACAGATATGGATATGGCAAGATATTGGCACTGATATATTTGCCAGTAAAAAGTGGGCAGAGTTGGTTCGAAGCCATTGCTTTGGTCACTTGTGGGCTGCAACTTGGAATGCACTAGGAAGAGGCCTATGTGTAGATGGTTCCTCTGCTATCACTACTGCCAGTGTCCCTGGAAAGCAGATAAGTTTTTTCCAACATCTTGTCAATGATGTTCTGCCATGTTTCACCTCATCAGTTCCACACGTCCAACTTTTTCTATCCATCTTCATATATATATATATATTAGTGTGTATATATATAGTATATATATAGTATATATATAGTATATATATATAGTATATATATAGTATATATATATAGTATATATATAGTGTATATATATAGTATATATATAGCTTTTCTTGATCACAGCAGGATATCTCATCGTTTTTGCCGGATATGTTTATTGTATGGTCTTCCTGCCACAGGTCCTCCTCCTGTTTCTGGCTCATGGGCACCCAAAACTCATTGGTGTGGCCTGCTTTAACCTGCTGTTGTTGCTTACTTTACCTTAATTTGAATCCCCAAATTTCGGTCAAATTTGGCATATAATTTTGGCCATATCATTCCAAGTAATTTCAGGTGACAAACAATGCACAACAAATCTAGAAACCAGCAGGTTAAATGCACCTCAGCACAGATTTGGTGTGGTATCTCGGAGCTGGGCTCAGATGGACCAAGTCTCCATGAGGAATTCCACGATCCGAAGGTGGTTGTGCCTGCCGGGCCACATCCATTGGATGGCGAATGTGGCTTAAAAAGAGTTGGAACTTCATGATACTTACTGGTTGGTGGTTGAGCCACCCCTCTGAAAAATATGAAAGTCCGTTGGGATCATTATTCCCAATATATGATATATATGGAAAACTAAAAAATGTTCCAAACCACTAACCAGCTTAGACTCAGAAATCTTCCAAAAGCATCCAGCCAAATCCCGACGAATCGAAGCACCGCCGTGTTAAACCCCGGCCTTGCTGCCGCCTCCACCGGCAGCAACGGCGGCTGGCCGCCCACCACATGTGGCGAGGCACCACGGACATAGAGGAACTGGGTCGCTGGAAGGTGACCGATGGAAGCAGCTAACAGCCTCGGTTGAACCATGGGACTGGTCGATCAATGGGGGGTTTAACCAATATCTACCCCCAGCTTGCGAACTCGAAAATCGTCATTTTTTGTAGGTAAATCAATTGGAAGTCATGTTCAATAGCTATATTAAATTACCAGAGGGTAACATTGTTGAACCAACCGCCAATAGGGTTTCCCAAAAAAAAGATGATGGTTGCGCTGCTTTCCAGCAAACATTTAGCATTAAATCACATCGCCCCAGAGATGGAAAAACAATGTTTTTTCAATCCAAAAGATCTACTTTCATGGTGGGGTCTCTCTATAAATCAATATAACTATGCTGAAATATCACCACAATATCTGGATAAATTAGAAGAGATCAACCAAAATTGTGGGGCTATTTTGAGGGCCCCGTCACCCCAATCCAATTCCCATGATTCTGCCACAGTCACTTAGAAAAAACTGTTGAGAACATTATTCAGAAACCAAAATCATGCATGACAGAATGAGTTATCATTGTCAGCCATGCTCCACATGTTCAATGGGGGGTTTCCTAAAAAATGGGTACCCAAATCATCCATTTAATTGGGATTTTCCCTTATACCCTCTGGTAAACTAACATAGCTATGGAAAATCACCATTTTTAATGGGTAAATCCACTATAAATGGCCATTTTCAATAGCTACGTTGACATAACCAGAGGGTAAATGGGATTTTCCCTTATAAACCAACCAGCTATTGGGTATCCCCCATGGAGTTTCCCCCTGTTCAACCGAGCCGCAGGGGCGTGAGCCCAAAGGGCGCTGTATCAGGCGGCAGCCCGCGGTCCAGCAACAGAGCCATCTCTGCCAGACCGTGGCGGTGTTCCTGGCTGCTGAAAGGTGAAAGGCCTGAAACACTCAGAAAACTCTCGGCAAAATCGTGATTTTACTGGGGGAAATGGTGGTTTTTAGTATGTTTTACTGGGGAAAATGGTGGTTTTAATCCCAACTTATCCCAAAGTCGTGATTTAAACACCAAAGATGCATGGCAAAAATCCATCAGAAATAAAGGTTCAACGACATATGCTGGGCAACTGTACCTCCAATTGTTGGATGGTTCCACATGCCGCTGGTGGTTTTTTTCTACATACACGGCTTGTTTTGAGCATAACACCTACGTACCATAATCCATATCTGTTACAGCTTGCTTGCTGTCTGATGAGCACGGCAATCGAAGCAAAAATACAGCCATATACTGTCCCAGAACTGCACCCCTATATTTGAGGGTCAAAACCAATCGTTCCTGGAAAAAAATATCTTGAACCAATCCAGCAAATCTGACAGCTCAACCAGCCCTAACAGCTCAACCAGCCCTAACAGCGCCTCGTTGGCCAAGGCAATTTCAATCCGCCTGGAAGGCTTCCCTCTCAACATAGATCTAGATCATGACCCAGGAATTACCGCCAATATCAGCATCTCTAGAACTATACCCTTGGCATCCACATGTTGGGTAGCACAATCCGCATTATAGTCGCGTGTACTGTTGTTTGCCCCTGAAAAATTGGAGAGCATGAGAAAATCATGGAGCGCAACCCCCAGAAACCCACCAATCCAGTATGTCAAAGTCTGCTGGCTGGGTCACCCCGGTTTCATATTTTGCTGGGTTAACCATGATTCTGTTCACTACTTTTAAGCTGTCACTTTGATCTTATCATCTAAGCGCAAGTCGATTTTTTACCCAATGTTTGTTCATGCACGACTCTTTGGATGTGCTAGACACAGTAACCCACAAATCCCGGAATTGGTCAGTGGCTGAAAACTCACCCAACACCGAAACCATGCCAGCCTTCTTTTGGGACAAGAAATAGACAGGCTGGCCAAGATGGGGAACCCCCATCTACCATCATGAACTCCCAAAAAAATGACCATGTTAGGAAAGCATGATCAACCATCAGGCTGTAGAGGTTTTCCCATCATCTTCAAAAACCAATCCATGATATTCCGAGAAAATTGGACTAGACTGGGGATTTGAGTCCGAAATCAACACCAGTCACTTCTATATTATATATTTATATATACAGTATGTATATATAATTATGTCTGTACATATATATATATATATATGTGTGTTTCATGATATATCTACCATAACCCTTAGTTATGTTTGTTCATAAACTATCATAAATTTGATGTGTTGATCAATACTAATATACACTAATGTTAAACACCAATAATTGATGGGTTTATATACTACCATCTGGGTATTGAACATAACTACGGAAAATGGTCACCTGGTCCATTGATAGATGATTCACCATGACTTACCCATAAGAAAGAGTGATTTTTCACGGCGAGGTTAAACAAAAATCATTGTAATAATACGGTAGAAACAAACAATACCTATAGAAACCCCTATCGTAATTGTGATATACCTACCATAAATTCATAGTTCACCTAGTTATATCATGATTATATTCACTATCTTCACATTTTGAGATTTACCCTCTGGCAATTTAACATAGCAATTGAAAATGGCCCATAGAAATAGTTGATTCTACCTATTAAGAATGGTGATTGTCATATTTTCTACAGTTATGTTAGTTTACCAGAGGGTAAGCATCAACGCTGGGGATTTACAAAACATTATAAAACCAACTATTTTCGGGATTCTCCATGTATGGAAACCATTGGAAACCCCCATTTTGAGATTTATAAACCCATCATTTCTCCCGGTTTCCCCCGGTGCCTCCAGCTGTGCCGTTGCGCCGCCGCACTCATCTCCGTCTGCGGCGCCCAGGGCGCCGTCAGCGGCGGCCGGCCGCTGAGGAGGCGCCGGGCGCACGCCCAACGGAGGAGGAAACGGAAGATGCGGGTGGCCGCCACCAAGTTTTCCTTGGGCAAAAATATGGGGATGTTTAGCATCTACCCTCTGGTAAACATAGTAAAAACTATGGAAAGATTCACCATGCTATTAATGGGTAAATCCACTATTTCAATGGCAATTTTCAATAGCTATGTTAGTTTACCAGAGGGTTGGTATTTGTTTGTTGTATCTATATGTTTATAGCAAAAAAATGGGGTATGAACATGGGGGATGCCTCTAACATCTATGATTTATAGTATCTGTAATATGTTTATAGGAAAAAAATATGGGGAATGCAAACTGCACCTGTAGGATTATATAGGTATTTATAGTATCTATATGTTTATAGGAGGATTTATAGGATGTTTCTACATCAGCTAAGTTGTAATATATATATATATGTATATTATATATATATATATTATATTATATATGTTATATATATATATGTTATATTATATATGTTATATTATATATGTTATATATATATATATGTGTGTGTGTCCATGAGTTTGAGGAAAATCCTATCTAATAACATTTAGTATATGAGACTAAATCATGGGGATGTATACTATGGATGTATAAGCATATAGATCTATGGATGTATATGATATTCCTAATATCTATATATATATATGCGTGTATATATATATATATATCCTACATGTTAGATAACTAATGTACTATGTTGGGAACATGAATTCGGACTATATAAATCTTATCTAACTAATATAGGATATTATATATTATATATATCAGTTATCTAACTTAGGATGTATATTAGTTGTCTAATAACATGTACTAGACTATGCTGTTATTAGTACCATTATCAATCTGTATATAACATATGAGTATCTTTTGATATGATATGGTTTGGGATTTCCCATGGCGACCTACCAGCCTGGGTTGATATAAGCGCCAACTTCCCCTTGACGGAAAGGATATGATATGGGTGTGGGTCCAGGCATATGATAACCAACATTTTGTATCGAGGGTTACATGGATAAAATGTGCTAATTACTACATTACTACATGTGTGGCTTCATCAACACACATGGGTCTAGAGTGGTTTAAGATCTAGGAAACATATGGAAAAATGAAGTACAGTCAGCCAACTTTCCTGTGGTATGGCGAAGAATTCACAATATAACATGGATATTCATCCCTGGAATCACCCGGGTCAGGAATCACACGATCAAGAATCATCGTTCTCACAAGCCCTGCCATACTATGAGAATCAACAAGGTACAGTAATGCAAGGACAATACCACAACGTATTACATGGTAACCGCCTGACAATACGGCCTCAGTAACCACAATTATAAATACAGCAATTCTTATGCTCAATCCATAGATGTTCATTCTAGGAACACATTATATACAGCGGGTCATTGAGCCACACATGATATGTAACAAGCTGTAAGCAACATATTTTTTAGAATCAATTATCAAGACCAAAATATCATAACAAACCCTGGCCCCACATGAAATACTTTGCAACTCATATGGGTCTGTCTGAAAATGCGGTGCACCCCCAAATGGCAATTTTAATAGGGAGAATGGTGATAAATCACACATATCTCTTATAAAATCACTAATCGAAAACTCATCCATCATATGGGTCTGCACTCATATACCATGGGATATCCCATTGTCTAGCAAATTTACAACTCACATACCATGTACCCTCCAGTAAATTCACATAGACCCTAGCCTTTTTCGGGGTTGCAAGACTAGTTTCCACTAAAGTTCTTGGGTGTTTTCAGGGTCGAAGTGTTAATTTACCAGAGGGTACATCATACATACTGTGGATGGAAGAAATCCTGCACCAGCTGATATATGGTTTATCCCATTATTACTAGGGTTTCAACCATCCAAGGTGGTGCAGGATTTCTTCCATCCACAGTATCATACACATTCACCAGAAAAAACACCTAACTCTTGGCCTTAAATCTCCCGTTGCGGTCCCAGTCGCCGCCATGGGTGGCACTTGCCAGGAGACCCGGGACAAGGCGTTGTAAAAGTTGGAGTGGCTGTAACTTGGACATGAGGCCTTCAACAGGAAGCTGATCCTCGACTCAGAAGTCATAGTAAAACCCTGGGTGAATTGATGTGTTTGAGGAAAATTTGAATGATGTCGAAAACTGACACCTGATGTTTGAGGAAAATTTGAAGCTGATCCACTGAAGATCATCTCCATAATCTGGAAGTAATGTTTCAGAATGCTATCAAGTAATTGAGTGAAGGGAAACAAACACAGGGAAACCACCAGTTTCTTTGCGAATTCGCTGATAAAAGGTATTAAAGTAGACGTTCCCTTTTGAAGTCTGAAAGACCAGTCTTATTTGCCAAACCCTTCATCAATCCAAGCCCCTCAAGCCAGAAATCAGTTTTTGGAAATGGGTGTCGAGAGCAAAATATGACTCCATCTATCCTGACCACACGTGTTTAGGACACGAAATCAGCATTTCAAACAAGATCAAACAAGCAAGAGCGAAGCGCTTATTAAATGGAGACCCAATATCTCCACATCAGGATTGTCATCAGCCATCATCAGCCAAAACATGCCCGTGAGGACCTTCATCCAGCAAGATTTTGGGTGTCAAAACTGTTCCCAAAGGCTACCGGGTACCCCAAATTTCATGCCACAACATGCCCCATATGATACAAACCATCTGATATCATGTCTGCGGCACACATGGCCGTGGATCAATTTTAAGCCCCCTAAGCCCACAAGAGCGTTGTATCTTCAAAATAAAGTATGGATGGTAAAGTATCGTCAAGTTTCCAGTGGTAGGGCTTGCCAATTCAACCCAATTGTCAAGCCGAAGCTTCTGGTTTGACTCCTGGTGTTCTTCAGTTCGCGTTCATTAATCATTCATCGAGCTTAACGCTACTTCCAGATTTTGGCTGAGGCGCAGGAAACTCTTGAAGTCTTCGGGCTGGGCCACGCGCACCAAATGAAGCAGCTGACGGTCCAATTCTTCCATCAACCGCTCCGTCAACCTGCCACTTGGGAGATGGTGCTGGCTACAATGGGGCAATTCAGAAAGGAGCAGAATAGTGCAGAACATGGAACATAGCACAACAAAACTAACACTCAGCTAAAAAAAGGTGGCTAGAACATAGCAATCATCTTCTAACAACAACAGCAACAACATTACCCCATTTCCCCACCTTGGATCCGCCACCCCCATCATCAAGGTGGGCGAAAAGCTGGGCTGCGCCCGGCGTCTCTCGTGGCCGCCGCCCGACACGGCGCGCAGCAGCTGCGGCGGCGCGGCGCCGCCGGGCGTCTTGGCGCTGATGGCGCGCTGCAGCGCCGGAGGCGGCAGGAGCTTTGGCTGGGAACTGGCAGCCTGGCGTCGGGCCGTTAGGGCGTTAGGGCTTGGGATTAATGGTAGTTAATGATAGCTAATAGTGATTAATAGTGGTTAATAATGGTTAATATTGGTTCATATTGGTGAATAATGATCATGTATGATATTTATGGTGATTGTTAAATGATAATTGATGTTAGTAGAGCAATGATCATAAACACCAATGTACATAATGGTGTCTTTACCCACTGGGCTTTTTGTGGATGGTGGATCCGCTTTTGCTTTACCAACACATGGGATTTGATGGGAAGAGTCTAAAGGATTAATGGGATTTAATTTAATGGAGTATTTTTATAGGGTATATCATCTACAAACTAAAGTTAATTGCGATTTAACGGGACTTGAGATTAAAAAGTTCATATTCGTAATGCGGAGATTAACCACCAAATATGGGGATATCTTATGGGTGTCACAATCGCATAGATCGAATTGCAGCTAAATATGATTTGGTTGTGTCTGAACATTTGGGTAATTACAAGATATTGCAAGTTTAATTACTGAGAAATTGATGACTTACCTGTGGATTTAGGGATACTAAGTTACTAGTTTCAACAAACTCAAAGGTAATCAGTTCTTTCCACTTAGTGGACATACCCCCAATACAAATATTGGATATTCATCTTTCATCACTTTTTGTAGGATCCTAAGTGCCTTTCATCTGGTGGATCTCTGATGCCAGCCTTACAGCCCGTGATCAGCTCATTGTACAGGAACGAAGCCAAGGATTTCAAGGCCAACTGCCCCGGCGCGCGCGGGATGGGCTTGGTGAGGGCACAACGCTTCAGCTTGTCGAGCAGCTCGTGCACGCCTTGGATGTAGCTTGGAGAATGGAAGATACGGCAGGGAAATATACAAACCAGAAGCCCTTGCAACAACATATTGAGATTGAATAATTAATGAAGATTAACTAATTACATGAGAAAGAATGGTTCAGAATAGAGATTCTACCAACAACTTTGCTGAGGGTGACGTTTTCAACGTGTCTGGCAGATTCTTGAAGGGTGACAACCACCTTCACAACCGCGGCACCCACGCGCTCAGCATAGGCAGGAAAGCCCTTCTCAATCGACTGCTGAATGCTGATGCCGGTGTGCTGTTCAATGAGCCTCGAGTCTTTCGAGTGCCCTTCCAAGTACTTAGAAAATTGGTGTATGTGCACCCATTATGACTTGGGACTTTTACCAATTTGAAAATGGGTTGTTGGCAAAGTCGAAGCTTTTTTTATCTCTATGCAAATCCAGCAGGGGCTAAAGAAACCCAACAAACATGACAGCAAGGACTGGGAGACTTAGAGACGGGGAGTTCCCGTTGTTTGATAAGTCCATGAATAAAACAGACATTATTAAACAGAAGTATCCTTTTTAACAGTTCAACAATGCAAGAGTGGTGCTGCTGCTTGATGCTAACCCTATCATTGCTGAATCATTGGATCAGTTTTCAGATTTTTTTAACAGACACCTGGCTGGTTGTTACCATCAAAAAAACTGGGGTTTTCCAGTTTCAAATTTCCCATCGTCCAAAATGGGTTATTAATATGTATATATATATGGATGGACAAATTGCAATAGTTCACTAAACTGAAATAAGACCTATACTGGGATAATTAGTTGTCAGTACTAACCATCATTCCAGTGACGTCATACTGTAGATCATTATGATTCATCCAATATATGATACAGTAATTGCTCTTCATCAATTCATCCAAGACGCCCAGCCAATTCGTCCAACGACATGCCGGAGGCATTGGGCACCGACACTGGCTGGCGCTTCTTTCCCTGTAGGAAGAACTTCCTGGCGTCTGGGGTGAGCTCCTTTTGGCTCCCTGAGGATTTCTGAGATTATGAGCTTTGTTATCCCCAAATGATTATATAACATATAATATAGGATTATCCTATGCTTGATAGTTATAACTATATATATATATAGTTGGTTGTCCTATGGTTGATAGGTCTTATAGTTGGCTATCCTATGGTCAATCACCAACTTTCCTATGTCTCAACCATCCAACTCTTTGAGGATAGCACACCAGACCGGCTATGACCAATGCACCTCACAGTTGCGGAGCCCAAAAAGAAATGACGTTCTTCCCCCACAACGCATGAACAACAAAAAATACTATATATATATTATTATATAATACTATGACAGGAAATGTGTTATAAGAAAATACTATGGACTACAATGAAATTCTGTGAAGGAAAGGATTTAAAAAAATACTAAAGTATGCCCAGACCACTTTGAGATCTTGTTTGGGGAGACTCCTTGAGACTCACTACCAAACAAAAATGAGCAGTGGTTGGTTGGTTCATAGGATTTTCCACACTGGATAGTGACAATACTAACAGTCCCCAATATCTTGGATAGTCGGATAGGATTTTCCATAATGGATAGTGATACTCAACCTGGAAGAGCCCCTTTTGTTGCTGTCCAAGCATCACATTCGGGATGTGAGGCTCTGGGAAGTATCTGCTTTGCAGTTCCTTAGTCATGTCAACAACTTGCTCCCGTGGCCAATCTTAGATATCCAGATGTGTGTGTTGCAATTGAGTACCAAACTGCCTATCCGGTTGGTTTACCCAGTTCCCGACCAAAAACCATCTACCATTCACATCATTCACACAATTGTCCATTACTTCACACCCCAACCCCCCCTCACCCCCAATCCCACCCCACTGATATAACTTATATACTTAGCTGGTTCGAGTTCATAGACTACTAAACAAACTGAACTACCCAGTCGGTCCCAACATGTCCCAACCTTGCCATCCACCCACCCCACAAAAAAAGACTTATTAGATTAGATCTTATTATCTGGTTGTTAAATATCCCCATTTATATCCACTTACAGCAAAATATGTCTCAAGACTTTCCAGTATCCACTTAAGGTCACCCAAGCTCCCAACCTTTCCCCCTCATTTTTCATATTTTTCATCACTTCACATCTCCATAGCTTATTTCTCCGCTAGCCATGGTGGTTCGATGGCCCATAGAAATAGATTCGGTTTACCTATGAAAAATGGGTGGATCTTTCCAATAGTTATGTTAATTTACCCATATATATATATATACATATATATATATATACCTAGCATATCTGATCAACCATAGTTATAAACCCCATTAACCATAGTTCTAAGTATCATAAACCATCCATTTATAGATGGTTTACCTATGAAAAAAGGGTGAATTTTCCCCACCCCCCCCACCATCCACCGCAGCAAGGGCGTCGTTCTCATCCGTGTCGATGACTGCGATGGCAATCTGCGGCTCGGCGCTGAGGAGCTGGGCCAGGCGATGAATCAGGGGCTTCAGCTGCTGACAGGGCGGACACCTCGACAGCGCTAGCCATGGCTTCATGGCCTCCTATAATAGCGCTACCATATATTATTACCCTCTGGTAATGACTAACATAGCTATTGAAAATGGCCATTTATAGCTGATTTTCCCATTAAAAATGGTGATTTTCCATTGCTATGTTAGTTTACCAAAGGGTAATATATATATATATATATATGATGGGGATATATGTATATATAATATATATATATATACACCCTAATCATCGGAGATGGAAAAGTCATGAAGAGAAGTCCGGAGGAGGGAACAAAGTGAATGATCTGAGTTGAGATATAGCTTTCATGAAAAAATATAAATGGGGTTCAAACAAACCATACATATATATATATATATTATATAATATATATATACAGTATTTCAATATTCACCCTTCATCTGAAATCGCTTTGAAACCAGTTCTCCAAAGGTCTTGACTTGCCCCGTATCCCCAATTAGTGTCGAACACTTCTATGACTTCTATGATTATGATTCTTTGGATATGGCTGATCTGGCCCGTACTTGACGCAATTTTTTTTGCTGATACCCAAAATTGAGCAAGATCTGTGGTTTACAGGCTTCAACAAATCTTGACCCGTGCCCATAATATATTCATACAAATATATACAGTATATATATATATTCCCTTGTTTCTGTCATACATGAACCAGCATGAACCCATCATGGGTTGAGTTGGTCTGAACATGGGATACTGCCAAATTTGGTGGTTTTTCATACCCTTTCCCTATGAAAATGTCCATGACTATGAGTTTTTCCATAGTTTTTCCCCATGTTTGAACAGCCCCCCATCATCGGTTTCATCCCCATTTGTCATCCAGACACCATGAGGCGCTGGCCACCAGCAAGACATGCTTCTGACTGTCCAGCACCTGGCAACGTATGAGCTTCACTATTCACCATCTCGTTGTTGGGATATCCACTTTTCCTCATTGGTCTGATGATTCTTCATAGCACGGAATGCACGGAAATGACGAAAAAAATCGATGATTTCATATCCCATAACTCTCCACAAAGAACAGTTGGGGGTATGCTTCATGCTTCCGACAAGCTAAGCAAGCTACTCAACATCGCCTATCCGGTTCAATGATCGTGAAACAGGCAGAGAAATGCGATGGATGGGGTGCTCCGATGGGGTGCTCCAATCTACTTCCACACGACCAAGGGACCAGTTCTCTGAAGGAATCTGCCGTCACCTCAAATCATGCAGGTCATGGATGACCATTTTCGAAGTGACTTGAAACACTAAATGGATCCCAATATGGTGGTTTCATCCCTTACATCCACCATGGGTTTCTGGCGTGTGTTTAAGATCAACCGGGGATGGGGTTATATATCATCATCAAGTTAGAACGTTGGTTAGAATATCATTAATAATGCTTAATTAATGATATAATATTTGAAATATACAAACGTTTTATTATCATCTCCCCCGTATCTGCCATTGTTAACCATGAATAACATGAATAGCCAATATTAACCATGGCCACTATTAACCATCAACCATCTGCGAAGATGAGATCACCAAACCTTCAGATCCAAGTGACAACCACTATGATCATAATAGTGAAATGTTGATTATCAACCATCATCACATTAAATGTTATGAATATTAACATTAACATGACATATGGTGATAATCATTATGATTGGCATATTCATATTAATAGTAACATATCATCATGGTGATTACTTACCATCACCAAACCTTCCAAGTCACAACTGTAAGTCCTTCCACTCTGGGATCGGCATCTCCTGGCGGTCGCGCGCCCGAGCGCGTGCGGGTGTTGCGGCAGCGCCAGCACACCCGGGCGTCCGCCGCGTTGCGCGCGGTGCAGCGGCAGATCCAGACGCCCTTCCTGGGAACCAGCAGCTGAAAGATGGGGATTTACGGGGATTTCCTGGGTATATGTGTGTGTATAGATATATATATATATATATGTATATATATATATATGTACATATATATATATATGTATATATATATATGGGTAAATTCTTCTAATTCACCAACCTGAATTAAGGCCATTTGGGGATGATTTCCCTTATTAACCATGATTCCAGTGAGGTCGCAGTGAGGTCGTTATAATTTACCCAGATATAGATATATATATATATGTTTATATATATATATGTTTATACATATATATGTTTATATATATATATGTTTATATATATGTTTATATATATTTATATATATATATATGTTTATATATAGTTTATATATATATGTGTTTATACATATATATATATGTTTATATATATATGTTTATATATATGTTTATATATATGTTTATATATATGTTTATATGTTTATATATATATGGGTAAATTATACTAATTCACCAACCTGAATTAAGGCGATTTGGGGATGATTTCCCTTATTAACCATGATTCCAGTGAGGTCGCAGTGAGGTCGTTATGACTTACCCAGATATAGAGATGTATATATATGCATGGTATATACTGGAAAAATTGGGTATATGGTTATGGGTCAAAACCATGATAACCCCTGGTCTACGTTTAATGGATGGTTGTTCCCCAGTCATCTGGTTATAGGTTTTGACCCCTCCGAATATTATGGGATAGAGTTCACCAACTGAATATTGGATCTTGCCCAGATGTCTGTGTCTGAAAAATGGACAAACATGGTGGAGTTCACCAAAGAAAATTGCTAGTTTGTATGCAATTCTTATTTAATGGAAATGATGATAAATATGACAAACCATTGGGCTTTGAGGGGTTTTCATAGAAATCCATGAAAGCCACGGATTCACCAATAGGGACCAAAATTGGGGATCTTTTGAGGACCAGAATTTGGGATCTAACATAGCCGACATCAAAGTTGAATCCCATGACCGAAGTCAGGAGATTTGTGGTTTGATATGGTTGATAATTATAGGGTATGTATAGGGATGTATAGGGTATATCCCGATGATAGAGACCACTTTTTCCCGCCTGAGTGCGCCTGAGTCTTTATGGGATCATTCCAGAAATCGCATTGCATGCATTGCCAGGAATGGAGGATTTAACATATCTAACTTGATTTAACCAGCATCAATGGCTGCAAGAATTCGTGGCGAAATGATGGCTTTGACCGTTCAGGATTACTTGAGGATCAAGTCACTGGTAACTATCGTAAATCATCTGCCAGGCACTGGCAGAAAGTGTGTCGTCCATGCATTGCGTCGCAGATGCAATAGGTATTCGAATAAATCTCATATGGACCAATAAACCTATATATATAATTATATATATATATAATTATATAATTATATAATTATATAATTATATATATATATAATATTATAATTATATAATTATATATATAATATTATAATTATATAATTATATACATATATATATAGAAATCAATATCTAACCTCAAACCAATATGGAATATCTAACCAAAAACATCCATCCCTTCCAATCTAGTTTCTCCAGCATGCTCCAAGAAACCTTTAATTGGTGAATCTCTTCATTTGCGTCCCATTTGGATCCATTTAATTTGGGAGTTACTATTGGGGTGGAATTTTCACATGCTTGCATAAGGGACATATCCTGGCGATATATAGTTCCATATTGAGATGTCAACAATTGTAAACAGATCCAGATTGTGTTTACTTTGGCATTATAATTACGTCACCTTTCATATCAAAAAAATCTAACCCACCTGAGAAAAAAATCTCTAACTTCTCATGATCTTCCAGCAACTTCCAGCCACCACAAGGGCCATCTGAAATCTCCACCGACTCAGCGAGCATCGGCAGCTGGTGCGCCCAAACGTCGAACTGGCTCAGGGCTTTGGAGTCCAAGCGCATTGAGCGCAGGTGTCCTCCTTTCATGGCTGTACAAAAAAGGGATTTCCAACGGGATTTCATGGTGATCTTAGGAGATTTCATGGTGATTTAATGTGATTTAATGGGATATAATTAATAGGATATGATGATATATATGATGATTTAATGATGAGATGATTGGAAAGAAAAGCAACAATGCGCTTGCCAACCCAACACTTCTGGGTTTATCGGGAGCTTGGCCTGAAAAAATTGCCATATCCAAATCGGAAAATGAGGGGAAAATGATGTTCGACCGATTCAACCATGAGATTTTTTTGGGTCCCAATTTTTCAGACATTTTTGCGAATGAAACCCTCGTCCTCATCTTTTCATTGCTAGAAATACGTTGTTTCCTCTCCATGGTCAGTTAGGTCCAAGTCAAAATCATCCAACCTACCAATGTTTGCTACAATATCTATAGTTAGATTCCAAATCCATAGGTCTAAGCCAAAATCATCTAGAATCCCAATCTTTGCTATATACTAACTTTACTAACTCCCCATCTTTGGCTTCAAAATCTTCCAGGCCAGTCAGCCCGACTGACACGTCGCCTGCGCGCCAGTCCGCCGAACCCAGACCGCTGCCGCCACGCTTGGCAGCGCTGAAGAGCATCATCCCCTCGCGCGGGTCGATGGAGAAACGACCGTCCGCCATCAACCCTCCTGGCGCAGAGCGGAGCGCGGCTGGCCGGAAATCAACTCGGGGATTGTTGGAGATTTGTGTGTGAGGAAATAAATCCATGGGATTATATACTTTATTTACTACTATTCATATACACTCTGGTAATTTTTAACATATTGAAAATGGCCCATTTAGTTCATTGATGTACCTAGTAAAGATGGTGATTGTCCAGTTCGCAAACTGGGGTCCACCTGGATCCCTCACATTGAGATGGAGCTCACCATCCAGGTAGACCTTGAAGGTACCTGAACAGGACGAGGACCATACGGAGATCGAAGCACCAAAAAAACCATGGAGGGAACGTTAAACCCGTTAAACGAAGCAGCAAAAACATGGGGGATTTGAGAAAAATTGGAGAAAATTGGGGATTTCATATCTGACCAATCAAGAAGTTGGATTTGAGACAAACAGCATTCAATGCTGGTGGTTGATCCATCCCCTACGAGCCGGCAGAAACAGTCAAGCAACTTGCCGGGAGATCAACCACCATAGTGGCCACGTGCCAAGTGCTGGCTTGCACTGCCTGAAAACATCAGAAGCTTCAATCCATGGATATCAATGGATATCAAATGGATTGTGTTCGCCAACAAACATGGGAGAAAATTTGAACTTCTAGTGTTGGGATGTTGTCGCTTCATTGTTTCGGGAGTCCTTCCTGGTCTGCCAAACGTGGAGAACCTTCTTTTACCTAGCCTGAAACAGATATTATAAATTGCATGTCTGTTGGAAAAAAAACAACAATTGAAGCTGGAGATACCTTGTCTACTTCAGGGTGACCATGCGATTTTTGATTTAGTTATTTGTGCTACTTTGGACCAATCAATTCCACCGTGTATGGCCCAAATATTTATTGCCAAACAGACCACAAGATTTGTCAATTCTCGGCATTAAACTATCCATTCTTGTTCGGGACAACCATTTCGAGTTCAATCCAAATCTGGAATAAGCCACTGATCTGTGGTATTGAAAAAGAAATACTTATGACATGCTGAGTCATTCGTGCAGATATTGCGGTGTTCCATGCAAAGGGAAACATCTGGCAAAGTGCTTCACCTGCGAACGCTAGCCCTAGACACGAGGGATACCTGGTCTGGCGGCAATGGAGGTTTCATAAAGTAGGAGTACCCCGAAATCATCCAAAATTGCTTACAATCAAAAATTGGTTATAATATTTTATATGTTATAATAAAATATAACAATGGTAAATTTATAATAACAAATATAATGGGATAATATTTTATAATAATATGTGATCATCAATGGGAAAACCCCATGGTTTGGGCTACCAAGTTCTTTCAGGAAGGCCGCAGAACTCCGCATCCGAGCGGCGTTGCCACAACTGGTCACAAGCAGACCATCCTGGCTCGTCCCATCCCAACCAGAGGGATTGGTGGTTCCCAGTGGTTAACCAATATGGATAGGTGGTGAATGGTTAATCAACAATAACTAATGGTTAACCTGGATAATTGGTTGATTTTGTTTTTTCATAACCTATGGTTGATTAACATCACTTATGGATTGGTTAGTGAATTCAATTGGGAATCTATGGTTAGTCGCATCCTATGCACACTTTTTAAACACACTTTTTAATAGTCAATAACTGGTTGGTGGTTGAAAGACCATCTTGAAAAATATGAAAGACAATGGGAAGGATGATCCATTCATATTATGGAACATAAAAGTCATGTTCCAAACCACCAACCAGATAACCTATGGTTAATCCAACTAGGCACATACCCACTATGGATAGGTGGTGAATTGGTAGCATTTAATAACATTTAAGAAAACCATAGTTTCTGTTCCCAAAGTTACATCTGGGTGCTGTCCCCAGTTAGCATGTAAGATGCGCATCTCCTCGAGTGGAGGATCAATTCCATATGTTACATAACCGTCATCCACTTATGGCATCTCCGGAACTATCCATAGGTTTTGTGTATGTATATATATATAATATAATATAATATAATATAATATAGTATAATATAATACAATACAATACAATACAATATAATATAATATAATATAATATATATATATGTTATATATATAGGTTATCGATACATAACCTATATGTATATAACCTATAGAAATATCATAGATGATATTATATATATATAGATAAAATATCTATATGGTTATATATGTTATCTATCTATAGACATGTATGAATTATAACATAGATGATATTACCCTCTGGTAATGACTAACATAGCTAGTTTTCAAATGGCCCAGTCAAAATCGTGGATTTACCCAGTGATAGCATGGTGATTTTCCAGTTCGTTTTTTGTACGTTTACCAGGCCGGGTAAATCCCATTAAATCCCATTAAACCACCATAAAACCACCATTTTCAATGGGAAAATCAACTATAAATGGCCATTTTCAATGGGTAAATTGACTTGTTGACTGGGGTAGACATCCAAGCAGGCTGCCAAGCATCCTCATCTTCTTCTTCACCTTCTGACTCGTCACCTCGAGGGATACGTAGATGGCAATGGAGATGGCAACAGGGCAACGGATAGCACCATTGAAAAAACATAAAAATCCCCAATAAATCCCATTAAACCACCACTAAATCCCATGAAATCCCCATGAAATCACCATTAAATCCCATGAAATCCCAAGAAATCCCAAGAAATCCTACTAAACAATTTCCATCCAATGCACCACCACCCCACAAGAAAATGCCAGGCCTTGGCCCCACTACCATTCTGCCGGGTGGCTGTCACCCGCCTTGTCTCGTTGCGGAACCTCCAATCGCAGTTTGGTGTTGTTCCAGCCGGTGATGGCCTTCGTGTGTGACTGAAAATTTGGGGGCCAGGGGGCCAGTTTTTGGACCTTAAAAAATGGAGGTGAATGGAGCTTTTTTCACATCCTGAAAAAACATGAAATATGATCAAAAAAATGGGGATATTTAAGGAATCACGGTTTGAATCAGTAACTGGTCTTGTTGGTTTAATAGTGTTTAATGTCCATGCTTGAGATATCAAACAGACTGCCACCCGGCCACCCGATGGAGAATGGTTGAGATAGTGACTGAAACAATTGCTGATAAAGGTTCGAAAAAAATAATGGACAATACCTGTCACTATCAACTATTGTCAAACCATGAATCTATACGGTGGCTGGTGAACATAATCCTTTTCTCAAGGGCTCCTAATGAGCCTCAAACCTGTGGATGCTGATCCCAGCTCCTTCATACTAAATTGATGTCTTTTTGGGAACTTCATTGTAGAGGCGGACGGAAGGGAATCTTGAGAATCCAACGGTATGCGAATGCTCACAAGAACAGTCTGCCAGAAAGGACTACTTACAACTACCTAGAAATTTGCTTGGTGCAACCCAGAAATGCGCGCAGCTTCCCAAATCATCCACAAGCGGTTCCATTTGAGGTAAAACTGAAAAACTACTAGTACAAATATACCACTACATCTCTCTCTGTCCCACGGCCTTGCATTTTGACCTATCCAAACTTAATGTTTTGTGGTTCCAAACCCTGATGAGTATATCATCTTGGGTTCGAAACCAATGAATCATCTGGGGAAAACAAATCTCTCCCGCACCGCTGGGGAAAACATGCTACTTTGAACTACTATTTCGGAGTTCGCAAGTTGAAAACCCTGGCTATGAAGTTTTGTGAGCGGATTTACCGCACATTTACACCACCAAAATTTCACTTGGAAGCCATATATATATATTCCACATGGAAGCCATATATTCATGGCTAACATGCGTGGCATCTTGGCCATATCCAACAGAAACATCATCAGAAAGATCATGTTCTAAAAGTCCAAATCCCATCTTTCAGCTGGTTGGTGGTTGAAAAACCATCTTGAAAAATATGAGTTCGTCAATGGGAAGGATGACATCCATTCATATTATGGAAAATAAAAGTCATGTTTGAAACCACCAACCAGATAACCTATGGTTCATCCAACTAGGCACATACCCACATACCCACATCCCATATATGAAATGGAACATAAACAATCTTTGAAACCACCAACCAGTGATTATTGATGGTTTCTTGTTTTACCCACATTATTACCAGATCACTGGGGAAATCACCATCCACAGCACTGGGACCAGCATTCAGCCATGGCACCAATTTGATGTCCTCCTCAAAGGGGATGTCTGCCGACTTCACCTGCGCCGGGAGAGTTACGGGTGGTTTTTTCTATAACTATATTGTGTAATAACTATAGTTACCATAACTGGGATAGTTACTATAGTTGGTTAATGTTGGTTATAACAGGTTGTAATAGTTACCCTCTGGTAATTTAAGATAGCTATTGAAAATGGCCGATAGAAACAGTTGATTTATCTATTATATAAAGATTGTTATTTTCCATAGCTATGTTAGTTTACCAGAGGGTATAGCATAACCAAACAAAACTGTGTTGAAGTATGTTGAAGTGTCTTACTCTCTGGTAAACGTTTACAAAAAACTATGGAAAATCACCATGTTCAATGGGTAAACCCACTATTTCTATCACCATGTTCAATAGCTATGTTAGTCATTCCCAGCTGCTGATGGCTTCTACCCATGGCCTCCACCATCTGCTCCCTGCTGTCACCCACCAGAACCTGAGATCACCAGATAGGGGGTATCCACATCGTTTACTGCACGTTTACTGCGACAAAAAATGGGGAAAAGACGTTTCTGACACAAAGGTTTCTGAGAAACATCCTACCGGGGTTTAAAAATTCAGCAAAATCCCGTGAAAAAAACTAAGACGTGAAGACCCATCATGTGTAAAACCGTAAAACCCAATAGACTCTGGTAATTTAACAGTTTGCTATTGAAAATGGCCATTGAAATAGTGGATTTTCCCATTAAAAATGGTGATTTTCCATAGTTTTTTGTATGTTTACCAGGCCGGGTAGACTCCATGACCAAAGGCGTAAAAACCAAAAGGTGTGTTTGTCCGAGAGGCCTTCATTTGCCTCACATCAAGGTCTGCTATGACCTCAATGTACCTGGTGGATTTTGGGTGAAGCGAGACATGGGGATGGGTCAAAACCCTGGTACCATTCGTGAAGCCCAAAATAGCTGGGATTTATGGATGTGAATAACCCACTAAAAATGGTATCTATAGGTATTGACCCATACCCACATAGAATTTTCAGGTGAATTTAGTCAAATGTGGTTTTACTGGCATCTATTTACTACCAACAACGTTTAAAGTTTATGTTGTCATCAAATGAGGCTTTATGTAACAAGGTTTCGAGCAACAAAGATGATGCAACTTGGTATTTACCAACCTTCCAGTAAACAAAAAAGTAAACTAGTACAGCCATGGAATTCATGGCCCACTAAGCCAGATGATTTACCTCTTCAAACTGCTATGGTCATCCCATGCTTTTGCAACCAGGATCATAGGATGAACCACCAAACATGTGTGACATACTGTTGTACTATCTGACTGTGTGACTGTATGACATACTATTTACTATATATATATATATATACACATACGACCTGCGCATATATGTACGGGTATTATTATGTATAAATACCTTCACAATCCTTCACACATATCTGTAGACATATCATTTCTTTTAGTTTTTTTTTGGCCTCCAGCACACCGCAGCCATTGAGGCACTTCTGGTACATATCAAAGACCTTCTTGTCACTGCCACCCTTCGTTCCACTTGACTTGACACCGCAGTCACAGGATTCGAAGAGGAAGTTTCCCTCAGCGGGGAGGTTTGGAGGTGGAACAGTTGAAGGTGACCTTTGGTCCCAAAGAAATGGGATTTGGACCCGAGCAACACCTGTAGAAAGCACCAACTTGGGGATGTAGGGCCAATTGGCACTTATATATATATATATATGCCAATATATTAATATATATAGTATGCAGTACATGCATGTGTATAATATAGTTCCAGCCAATACTATTCAGGCAAACTAAGCAAATCACACCATTGAGAGTTTGTTCCCACACAAATGAGAATCATCTGATATGAAAACAGCTTCCATAGACTCCATCAACATGCGCCAAAAAAGGGGAAACGAGCCCATAAAAGGCTGGAGCATGGAGTTGTAGCTAACTGGTTGGTCTGGTTAGTAAAATGTTTAACTGGGTCTATTTTATGAATTATAACTATGACTTTAGACCCAGTTGTCATAGTGTGTGATTAACTATAACTATGACTATAAGGTTATAAAATATTATAGTCCTTACATGTCCTTACAAACTAGTTGTGGTTAGTCCTTACTAACTCCATGGGTTGCCAAGGGGCTTCTTCGGCCTTGTCTGCGGGGACAACCTGAGCCGCAAAAAAAAAATTGAGGTCGTAGCGAGGAGAACATAGCTATGGAAAATCACCATTTTTCATGGGTAAATCCACTATAAATGGGCCATTTTCAATAGCTATGTTTGTTTACCAGAGGGTAAATATCATATAATATGATTTTAGTGAACCAAGCCCTGTCATGTTCGGTAAGTGAGGACTCGCAGTTCATGATTGAACTTTCCAAGCCTTACCAACATGAACGAGAATCGTACCGCTCTTGATTTAGGTAATTCCGTAATTCGGCATGGCAATTGTAATTGACACAGTCTATTCCTCATGCTGATTTCAATTGCAACACCATCTCATTACATGGGAACCTATCCGAGAGCAAGGCGATCGCAGTTCTGACTGCATTTGGACAGCCAGCCACGTTTGGGGCTGTGCAGTCGTTCAACGTCTGTGAGGTCTACAAATCGCAATGTTGGTTATGCAACTTCTCAAGTAATATAGCTTGCATGATACCTGTATATATATATATATATGATTATATATATATGCTTATATACCTTACAGTAGATCTAAATTTCGGCCATCCCAAGCAACTCGACCCGTTTTTTTATCTCGAAAATTTGGCCTGCAAGCTCTGGCAGGCCTCAAGTTTGATTGGTTTCAGAATGATTTCGGATGTATGGATTTGGTACCTGAAAGCCTAGGGGAATGCCCGGTTGAACCCCCAAAAATTGAATGCTTGATCAACATGTTTACCATGAAAACATCAAAATGGTCACAAGTTCCACCATCCCATCTGGCCCGTTTTGCCTGTTCCACCTCTTTTGATCTGAAGCCTTTTGACCCGTTCCGCAACCGCCAAGTGACCCCAACTTCGATAGATTTGTTTCCGTTCTCGGACTTGATGCACCTCAGCAAAGCCCTGGCTGTCAAAAACTCAGCCAAACATAGCCTCCTTCATCCATCTACATATCCTACATATATATATATATACGTATACTGTATACTGTATACTGTATACTGTATACTGTATACTGTATACGTATCCTACTATATACACACAGAACATCACATGCGGGTTTCCTGAAATATGGATATCCCAAACCATTGGTTTTCCCATTGGTTTTCCCATTGGTTTTCTGATTGGTTTTCCCATTGGTTTTCCCATTGATATATAATGACCCATTTTGACCATTTTGGATGATTTTGTGGTCCCCCATTTTAGAACACCTCCATATTACAGCTTGGACCCTCCCACATCCGCTGCAACCCGGATACCAACGCAGGATACCACTAGCGGCACTTTCCATACTGACCAACCTCAGTCGCCGTGGAAAAAACAGATTTCCATCTTGAAAACGAAAGTGCCCGCGTGTGACTGTATTTATACACGTCTTTTAAATATATGGTCTTCAAATCCACATGGGATTGGTTCCAAAAATGTGAAATACACTCGAATTGCAATGATATTTCATGGGGAAAGTGGCGATGAACTATCAATGTTCATCAATGTCCAGACAAACCCACATGTTTGGTTGGGAATTATGATTTTTGGTGGTTGGATAATGTTCACTTGTTGGTGTCCTATTTGTCCACTTGTTGGTGTCCTAGTTGTCCACTTGTGGGATATTGTCCACTTTTGGGATTTAATCTACAAAGTTTGGGTGTATCATCAGCAAAAAAAAACGAAACTGTTACTACAGCCATGGGATATCCAGAACCCACATGCCTGACCTACTGCGCAACCACCAAAAACATGGTTGAAACCCATCACTGTGCTGCGACTGAGGCGCATGTTGGGCCCATTGCCTCGTCATGCAAAACCCCTTCGATTGGGACCAGTGGTTTAGCCTGGTGATTACCCATGGTTCTTACCCATGCTGCCCATACTTAGTAATGGTGAATAATGGTGAATAATGCTTTATAACGGTTGATAATGATGAATACCATGCTTTTTTTTGGTGGTGAATAATGGTTGATAATGGCTATTGACAGGTCAATACCCTCTAGTCATTTAAGGTGGCAATCGAACATCTGAACTTTTGAAATGGGAAAATATATGGGAAAATCGTCCAACTGAATGGGTGTCTTCCATAGCCAGCCTAAATTACTGGAGGCTACCAGGCTACCTTTCTGTCTTGCATCTTTACTGTACCTATTGCAATGAACAAAGGGGAATGTGCTTGGTATTAGAGATCCAGTGGGATAAATTCTGGGTCGAGTCTGTGCATGAAGATGTAAGATATATATACGTGTATATATATATATATATATGTCAGGTCCCATGACTATCGTGCCACTACTGTCTGATGGACATGGTCTTCTCTGGGTATACCCTATGCTGCTATTACAATCCCTACTAGAAAAAATGGATGTCCGTGGCCGTCTGCCACTCTCGGATAACCTGTAACATACTGTCCCCCACACGAACTTCTCCGGATCTTCGTTGATGAAAACAAAAACTCTGTTGTTTCGTATTCCCCTATTTGCTGGCTAAGGTCGACATGACTTCTGGGTTACCCTCTGGTAAACTAACATAGCTATTGAAAATCACCATGTTTAATGGGAAAATCCACGAACTAAATGGCCATGTTCAATAGCAAACTGTTAGTCATTACCAGAGGGTATGGCCATGATCGGTATATGGGGATGGGTCAAAACCTTGTACCCCTTTTTTGTTCACATCAAAATAGCTGGGATTTATGGATGTTCATCCCCTTAAAAATGGTATGTATAGGTATTGATCCATACCCATATTTATGGTAGTATCATGGGCATAGCTCTGACATTTCGCGTTTTTTCACCAAGCTTCTGCAGTGTGCTTCTTCCGATCCGCGGAAGTTCCAGCAGTGCTGGGAACACAGCCTGGGGGCCGTGGCTCCACCATGCTGGGCCAGGTAGGATGTGCATCCCACTTAGTAAGTGGCTTATAATCCCTATGATATACAGTATATACTGATATATATGTATATTTATTATGTATGTACTTATTTAATCATATGTGTATATATATATATATGCCATATAATCATATGTGTATATATATATGCCATATAAAATTGGCTGGTATTTTATATATCTAGCTGGGGGTACAATCAATTTACAAAGAGGGATGCGCCCCCACGTAGGTATAGCAGGTGTAACCCCACGGCAATGTCGCGTCTAAATCTGTTATAAATTATAAATGATATAACTGGTCGCGAGCCGCACCCAGGCCACTTGCGGAACTTGTCATTAAGCAATGAAAGCCTGTGGGTCCCGCCCGGTGATGTTTGCTGGCTTATCCCAATGAAAACTATAGTTATAATATATTAATATGTTATAATTGCAAACAATTGCCAGTTATGCTCTAGTGAAATTGGAGTTTTTTTTTGCACCAACTCAGTATTTGGGGGGCCAAACTTGGCCAATTCAGGACTTGTGTCACCCTGAAAGTTGGAGAAAAAATATGATTAAATCCTCGCTGTGTGTTTAACCGTGCCCTGTCGGGGTCTAGCCAAGTTTGCTGGCTCGTGCATCTGATATATATATATATATATACATATAAATATAATACATATATATATATAGAGATAGATATATATATATATAAATAAATATAATATATATACACAAACAGATATAGTGCACAATGCCGAAAAGCAAAGAGTTAGGCCATGTTTAGCATGAAAAACCTCCCTATTCCTTTTTGCCAGACCGCTTTGTCTCTCGCGCGGGAACCCAAGCGGCTCAGTGTCGAAAGATGCGTGGACCACCCGTTTGATCGCCTTCCTGACTTTTTCCTGGCGTCAACCCATGGTCATCCCCTCCATGGCTAGGGAAATCCCCCAGAAATACAGCGAAAAATGCAGCACAGCTGGGAAAATATGATCTAATCTGGGGGGAATTTTCAATGGATTGGTTTAAGGGAAAATTTACAGGAAAGCCCCATATTTAATGGGAAAATCTATGGTTTCCTGTAAAATTTCCCTTAAACCAATCCAATCAAATTTCCGCCATCTTTACCAAAGGGTATCAATCGAAGGTTAGATCCTCTGGTGATTGGGCATATCCTCACGATGTTTCGTAAATATTCTTGGTTTAGCTATCCCATTTCTGTTGGTCAAACTGCATTGTTGTTGGGCTGAATATCCCTATTTTGATCCATGTTTGTTGCTACATATCCCATTGTGAATATCCACAAAACACGGGATGATGTTGAAATGGAGGTCCTTCTGTTGCTTGTCAATGCCAACCCACGCAGGCGTAGGCTTCAAGGCTTCATACCTGTGCGTGCTGAGTGGAGCGTTTCGGTATCTCAAGAAGGCTAGATGGTGGCCTGAAACTTTGGATAGTAGTATGATTAGAAGAAAAGGTTGGATGGTATCCTAAAAACTGGGATATGAACTAACTAATTAAATCAATTGCTGGGACATATTAGCCGCAAAACACGAGGCTATATCATAGAGGAACGGATAGGCAATGCGACATATTACAATCGTCTGACATGGGGTTCAATCATGAGACATTGGGACGTGATGGCTATAAAACCATACTAAAGCCAGAACAAATGCATGTAAATATGGGTCTAGGCACTGGGTATTCAACCATAAAAACCCAGCAGCCTCAAAGGTTGAGATTCCACGTCAACAATCAGGGATGGGTCAAGCCGTTAATGCCCAATGACCCTTGAATCTGCCAAGAATCGGGCGTTGATATGAATGCCCAGTAGGCATTCATATCGAACATGCCTAATCATATCAAAGTTTTTAAAATAACAAAAACAACATTGAAAAAAATACATCACATATCAACAAATGATGAGTCATCTGAGTCATCTGAGTCATCTGAGTCATCTCATTTCAGCAATTTCAGATCCAGCAGATCCTGGTCCGCAGCAGCGGCGTAGGGCACTCGTGGCCAACCACCACCATTCGACATGGGCTCCATCCGGCCTGGCATTCATCAGTCCATAGGGACATAGCCAGCCCGTATGCATTTTTTTCAGGATTCCCATTGTCGGATGGATGACCATAAACCACAAAAACCCATGTTTTGACCGTACTCTATAATATTTGGATATACAAGCAACTAGACTTGAAACATATTGGGATATATGATATATGCATTGATATTTCGCGGATATGTTTTCATAATTTTTCATGATCATCATTTTGGGAAATGGAAACAATTCACCGACCTGAGAATGGCTGAAATGTTGGGCCATAGTGAGGTCGGCATGCTTTTCATCGATGTATCTGACAGCGAGTACCGGAAAAATAGTAACCGTAGGGTTACAGTACAACATGTTACCAGTAGTACCGCACAAGGCGGTGGCTGAAGTTTCAAAAACAGGAAACCTATAGGAGAGGTTGGTTGTTGTGAATCACGGATGGCACAGCGAATCCACTGATGGACATAAAGCTGGTTGTGGAGTTGTGTTTATTAGAATGGTTGCAATGGTTGCAGTGGACCTCACCCACAACTGCTGGATGTAGCGTGCTGTAGCGCAGCTGTAGTTGTAGCTGTAGTTGTAGCTGTAGTGTAGTGGAGTTGTAGCTGTGCTGTAGTGTAATTAGACTAGTGTAGTTGCAGTTGCATTTGTGGTGGTGTAATGAGTGTAGTGTAATGTGATGTAGGGTAGTGTAGTGTAGTCTAGTGTAGCGTAGTGTAGTGTAGTTGTAGCTGTAGTTGTAGTTAATGTAGTGTAGTGTGGTGTGGTGTAGTGAAATGTAATGTAATTAGTGTCGTGTCGTGTCGTGTCGTGTCGTGTCGTGTAATGTAATTAGTGTAGTGTAATGTAATTTAATTAGTGTAGTGTAGTGTAGCTGTAGCTGTACTTTTAGTTGTAGTGCGGTGTAGTGTAATTGAATGTAGTGCAGTGGAGGGTAGTATAGTGTAGTGTAGTATAGTGTAGTGGTGGTTGTAGTTGAAACTGCTAAGAATCTCCACGTTTTGCTCACTTTTGGCAAGGTGCGCAATCCCTTGCACCTGCCACGCAAAACGACATCTGAACGTCCAAAAGTGCTCCGTACCCTTCAGTGTTCTGCACTTTTGACTTGGAAATGTGCTTTGCGCAACAACAGCCTGCACTTTTTTAAAATCTCAACTTCCAAAAGTGGTCTGAGAATGGTGTGCTTTGTACATTTTGACTTCGAAATGTGCTTCGCGCCACAATAGCCTGCACTTTTTCATCATGTAATCTTCCAAAAGTGCTCCGAAGCTGAGGTGTTTTGGAAATTTGCGTCGTGCCACATCGGCGTGCTTTTTCATCTCTCATCTGGCCAGATGGCTCCGCACCCGCCGCTTTAGCGAGCCTATTTTTTAACCGTTCGGAGCCATTAGCGAGCCTACTTTTCGACCCTCCGAGCCACAAATCATTGGAAAAACGGAAAAACACAATGTTTCGCGACTTTCTTACCTTTTCGCGCACCTGGATCTTCTTTCTTCTGAGACTTTCTCTTTCTTGATCTTCTTTCTTCTTCTCTTCCCTTCTCTGACTCTTCCCATCTCTGCTTTTCATCGGTCCATATTGTCGGAAGTTTGACTTCTAAACTTCCTTCGATAATCATTAGGTTTTAGCCATAGCTTGCCGTGTTTTTTTTCTTTCATGCTCATAGAACATGAGTGGAACTCAACACCGATAATGTCAATCCGGATTGCCAAACCCCTATGCTATTTGGTTGGGGGGGTACCAAATCAACATAGCAAAACATCACTATTTGCAGGGGTACCCCCTAATTCATCAATCAACAAAGGTCAAAATGTATCCAGACAACCAACATTTATCCTTTCCCAAAGTGAATTCGACAATACTGTACTATAAAGCAAACTCATTATCTATACATATATACAATATATACAATATATATATACACAAAACAATATATATATAATATAATATATATATATACACAATATATATATATATACACTATATATATATATACAATATATATATATATATATTATACAATATATATATATATACAATATATATATACACAATATATATATATATCAATATATTATATAGATACATATAGAATCAATTCTAACATATTCTAACTAATATGTAGCTACTGGATGGCCTGACACATCCTCTGTTTCCCTACCTGGTGTTGAACCCAACCACCACCAGAGGACTCCAAGGCAATCTGCTCAACCATCTCTCCGTCCTCAAAACAGCTCCGTCGAACCATTGAAATCATGACATAAAGGAGGGATGATGACTTCAACTACTTTTCAACTCAAAAAAATACTTTCAAAAAAAGAATTCAATGGATTCTTATGGATTCTCTCGAGGGAAAATCTAGATAAACATGATGAAATCCCTTGTCTTTGCACCAAATTATAAGGGTGTCCTACAGATTTTCTTTTAACCTCACAGTGGGACCTTTGGGGCTTATTAAAATGGCAATTATTTTCAAATTTAAATCCAAACAAACGGAGTCAAATGAGAATCCCCAGAAACATGATGCCACATGAGTCCCCTTCCACAGGATCTCTACTCTAACAGTTTCAATCTCAAAAAAACGGGTCTTACATAGTCTTACACATCATTGTTCTTCATAAATTGCCCATACAGCTTCCACTTCTCCCATCCTCTGGTCATTTAACCTAGCTATTGAAACTTGCCATTTATAGTTGAATTATGTTGAATTCATAGCTATGTTGCTATGTTCGTTTACCAGAGGCTATCCCCATCCTATCCCCATCCTATGCCAGCCTTCATGGCACGCCGTCCCTGTGAATCCCGAGATGGAAGGGCGTAGACGGGCCAAGCTTTCACGGCCTTGGGCAACTTCACCTGCGAAGGCTTGGATGGGGAATCTATGGGATAAATTGATGGAGATTCTTGCGGTTTTTCGTGAAATGTTAGGGGTGCACGTTGGGGAAATGGTTGGGACTGATTTTGAAGAGTTCATGGAGGTTTCTTGGGATTTTTGAGGGAATGAATGGAGGAATTCAGAGGAAATGCTGGTGAATTGTGGATGACATGGCACAACTCTGGCGTGTGCAACTAATATGGGCCCCGACCCCCGACTTCCCTTAAAGTAGAAGTGTAGCAAACAACTGGGTAAATCAGATAAAACTGTTCACCTGATATAGCTGAGCAGTCTTCAAAATCCCTCTATCATTCCATGAAATACTGGTTGGTTTGTGGGGATTCCCCGTTCTTGGATTATTATAATTCCAAATATATTGGGTAGTATAATCCTCTATAATCATCAACCAACAGGGGTTTAGCAGCCACTGCTCAGCTGACTTTGTTGATCACGTTTGGGATGATCGCACCTGCCACAGTGGTCGAATGTGCATGGACTCTCCTGGGCGGCAAAGTCATTGCTTGGTGGCCTTGATATCTTGCTGGTGACTATAGCTCAGAATCACCATCAAATGAGGGTTTCCTAAAGTACCCCAAAATGGATGGTTTATCATGGAAAATCCTATTCAAACGGATGATTTGGGGGTAGCCCCATGACTTTGGAAACCCCCAAAGAAAAACAAATCTATGGGTTTGCCATGGTTGATTGTCAGGGGGCACAGAAACTGATACTGGCGCCAGCATCGACTCCGAAGGGGAAGTCATCTACCATGGTCATCCAAGGAAGCACTGGCCGCCGTGTGGGGGATCTATATATCATTAAGGGATCTTAATGGGATATCGGGATATCCTATCATTTCTGGTTGGTGGTTTTTCGCCACCCCTCTGAAAAATATGAGTGCGTCAGTTGGGATGATGACATTCCCAACTGAATGGAAAAATTAAAAATGTTCCAAACCACCAACCAGCTATCATTTACATTCCTCCATGTCTGTCCAAAACTCCGAACAAATCTAAATCATGATGAAGCTACCATTCACCAACGTTGACGCGCATGAAAACATATAACAGTTATGGAACCATATGGAACCAAACAAAAAGTAATGTGGGCAAAACAATGCCATTGATTTTTACCACCCTTCTGACTGGGGAATATTCTTTATTTCTACCTATTAAAAAAATTTGGTGATTTTTTCATAGGGGGATGGTGCCAAGATTCCAAGGCCCATGGAGGCGGGTACGGTGATGGGTTCCAACTTGGAGAAGTCTGGATCCTGCCGAGGATTTTTTGTCAAACTCAATGGCTTGCCAAATGGGGAATTTCTTGGAAACCCATCAAGGTGAAGTGGATAGAGAACTCCACTTTTGTGGGGTCATCATCGGTAGGGAGAAACGATAAACAATAAACGAAATGTGCAACCGTCAACATCAAATGTTGCTGGGGAAAAAAAAAGATAAATGTAGTTGGGAAAATCATCGAACACAATGTCTTTTTTTTCTCCGGCAAGCCATGTTTGCTTATCAGAGGGTATCCGCTAATCATTGGTGGCATCCCCAATCAATGGTGGGTACCCTCTGGTAATTTAACATAGCTATTGAAAATGGCCATTGAGTTCGTGAGTTTTCCCATTAAACATGGTGATTTTCCATAGCTATGTTAGTTTACCAGAGGGTAAATCCCCGGTTTTTGGTGGTAAAATTTCATGTGACCAGTGTTGCAACCATCAATCAGTCTATGTGTCTGCCAGGTTCACGGGATTCTTGGGATTCACCCAACTGGCTCTCAAAATCTGCGGCAAATATTTTTTGAAAACCAAGATGAAAAGATAGGATGCCTTCGCCATCATTGCAATAGTTGGCGATTCCCATGTGTGAATCCCAATTTTCATGGATACTATCTAAAGAACTCTCCGTTTAAAACGGTTTGATCCCAATTTGATCCCCAATTAATGATCATGTTCTCCCATCAATGCTGGTTAAAATGCATCCAATCTATTCGACCCATGATTGGTTAGATCCCATTGTTCCCCACCTGCCAGTTCAGGGTCTCTAGATTTCAACAAAGGCGCAACTCCCGCCCGGAGCCGCGCGCGGACCCGAACCCTACCACAAGCTCGGGATTCGGCTGGGCACGCACAGACCCGAACACATACCAGAAAGAAAGTGCCAGATAGAATGTCAGAATATATGTCAGATATAACTATAACGCCAGAAAGGATAGAATGTCAGTCAAAACATATGTCAGATAGAATGCCAGGAAGGATACCAGATCGAATTTCAGAATATATGTCAGATGGAATGCCAGCTCAAGTGCCAGAAAAGAATATCAGATATAAAACGTCAGACAGAACGCCAGAGAAAATGTGCAGATAGAATGCCAGATAGAATGTAAGATATAATGCCAGAGAGAATGTCAGAATACATGTCAGAAGATATGTCAGATAGAATGCCAGAAGCCATCTCAGGTAGAATGTCAGAATATATATATATACATATGTCAGATAGAATGTAAGTTGGAGGGGATCACTCGAAGAAGCTGTATTGTCTGTTCTTGTTTAGCAGTAAATCCCCATATTTGGACCAACCCACGCATTGTAGTGTTAGTTAATAATATATATATATATCTCCCGTTATTGCATCCCATTGTATACTCAGTCCAGTTGCTTTTGGCATGCATGTTTGTTGGTTGAAGATAAGATCCAAATTTGCAATGTCCAATTTACTCCCCCACTCTCTTCTGCAGATCTGTTGACAAGCTAAATCTTAAGCCATGTTGGTTTATGTCGTAATATTTCTGGACTTACGACATAAATGTCAATTTCGCCAGGCAAAATCCAAGAATATCCATGATTCATTTCATTGCTTCATTTCCAATACCCTCTGGTAATTTAACATAGCGAACTGGAAAATCACAATTTTTCATGGGAAAATCCACTATTTCAATGGTGATTTTCCATAGTTATGTTAGTTTACCAGAGGGTAATTGCTGGGAAATCATCCAGGGTTTTCGCCATGAACCGGCCTCTTTGGCTGCAGCGGCTTCACCTGAGGACTTTCCCCCGAAAGTTGCGGTGCTGGGGGCTTTCAAAAAAAAAAAATCCTTGGGGTAAAAAAGCGGCAGAAATGTGAGGTGAAAAAAGATTATAGGGTGTTTGAGCATCAAACATACCCAAACACGATTTTTTGGTGAGCAAACATGAGGGGGTGAACGACAGTTTTTTTTTCTGAGCGTACCAGCAAACCCTTGGGACTGAACTTGGAAGCCCAATGACTGGTGGCCCGTGGACCAGCGTCTGGTAAGCTAAACATCGTTAAAAATGGCACTGTAACATATTGGGAAACATGGATGTGCGATTCTACATGTTGCAGACATTCTTTGGTGGTAAATAAAGGTTCTAGCTTTTCCCAGAAATGGATCCAATAGACCTTGCAATACCGTCGTACTTATCCAGCACCTAGAATCACCTAGATATCCACTTGTGGACAGTTGTTGTTTAGTTGACCCACTAGGGTTCCTTGACAACCAGCACCAGGAGCCTTCTTTCTCCTCATCATCATCATCTTCCATATCAGGGAGCAGCGGCTCCAATTGCGATGGAGGAGGAAAGGAGAAGGCCACCTGACCTCAGATGTTGTCTCTGGTACCTAGGTGAACCTCAAAATAGTTAGTTTTTACGGATGTTCCTCTACCACAAATACGATACCCGGTACCCTAGGTTTTGACCCATAGCTACCTATTCTTGGACATTGACCTTAGCTATGCCGTGTGCAGTGATTTCGCCCTGTGCAGTGATAAAACATATGGTGATAGTCATAGTTGACTTCATCTGCAAGGCCGAAATCTTTTTGGCACAAAATTTTCGTGAACCGTAACACATGACATACATAAGTGGCACAGTCGTTTACAACACACTCTGTTCATAAAAAAATCAGGTCCGTTCGCAACCCTCAAACCCACCTCTGCATCCCTTCGCGGGTGCTGCGTCCAACGGTCCAACTCGATGAGATTTTCATCCACACAAAAACCATTTGCCCATTTCTAGATGACCTGCGATTTGCCTACCAATGGTTTGGGGTACCCTCTGGTAAACATACAAAAAACTATGGAAAATCACCATTTTTCATGGCAAAATCCACTATAAATGGGTGAATTTCCATAGCCATAAAAAATTACCAGACGAATATGAATGCCTGTTTTACTGTACAAATATAGCCACCGTGGTAGCCTAATGATCCTAGCAGGATCAATTTTTTTGGGGGACCATGCTGACTGTTGTCTTGAAGCATCTGGTAGTATAGTTTGAATCCCATTGCTGATATTGCTGACTGGTAATGGTCCCTTCTTGCTCCTTCAATTGTTGGAATATGGGATGTTTTTACCCACACCGAGTCGCTGTTGCATCAATTCCCAGTGCTGGTTCTTGTCCCCATCCCATTGTTGTTGGTTTCATTTCCGTTTTCCATCTGGGGGCTTCCTGGAATGGAGGCATCCCAATAGCTGGATGGTTTCTTTCATGGAAAATCCATCTATAAATGGATGATAAACGGGGGTGCCCAACCATGACTTTGGAAACCTCCATCTGTACATGTGAATCATCAAGCTCCGCAGAGTCGGGACGAAACTGATGAACAGGAATTCCCTTGCATTTCTCATGCCATGGTCACCTGGTGGTTGAGCCACTCTGAAAAATGTGAGTTCGTCAGTTGGGATGATTATTCCAAATATATGGTAAAAAATGTTCCAAACCACCAACCAGTCACAACATTTGAACCCCAAGAAGTGCCACCAAGCCGCCCATGTTCACACGCAGCCGTCCGTTCTCACCAGCAGACGCCATTAGACAAAGCCTCGAGTTGGGCCTCGGTGGGGGCCAATTTTCAAGCAGCAAAAAATGGGGTTTCAACATGTTTTCAGCGACCAGAACGGGGATGGGTCAATCTTTCGGATTTTTAGAGAAACAAATACTTGGGAGTATAGTATTTTTTGTATTTTTTTGTGTCCTAGATAAGAGTTGTTGATTCTGCTCAATAAACCATGGTCGAATGGTCGGTGCCCAATTCATTGGCAAACTGGGATGCATTGGAGATATTAACAGGCAAGATATCTAAGACATACCATCGGGTAATTCAAGAGTTTGCTAAAACAACCATTTTAATGGATGAAACATCTGTGAGGGGTGCAGATGTTTTGCGCGTTTGGTTCTTTCATTGGTTGTTGTTTTTCAGTCTGGGTCACTTTCCTTGCTATTTGCTGCAAGTTGGAGTTAAAATATGGGTATGGGTCAATACCGTATACCTATAGATACATTTTTAGTGGGATGAACATCCATTTACCAGCTATTTTGAGGTTCACCAGGGGTACCAGGGTTTTGACCCATCCCCATATGTAATTTGCTCCATTTCGAAGCTAACATCTGTCACCTGCAGGCTGGTCTGCAGCACCTTGGAGTCAGCATTTGCACGCGCCAATCGGCAATTTGCCATGGTATTTTCTGCAGGTTAAAAGAAAAGAAGCCTGTTTTCATGGTTATTTAGTTGTTTTCTACCTTGTTGACAACACAATAGCAGCACATTGGCATGTTTTAGGATTCCTTTAGGGTTGCTTTAGTGCTTATTTCCAGTTGGTTTAAGGTTTATTCAGGGTTGGTGAGTGTAGAATTTATAAAGCGGGAGGGGGGTTTGGGGGTAGGGCGCAGCGCCCTCCGATGTAATGCTGTACGTTGAATATGGTACTCAGGGTGTTTTTCATGCACAACATGAATCTTGTGAACATATAGAATGCAGGTTGAAGCAGAACATAGCAGAACTGTGTTGGGTGCAACTAGTAGTTTCATTGGAGTGTTCGTAGAAATTCTATTATTGGATCGTGCCGTTCTTAAAAAACATGGTCGTTGTCGTTTTATATTTCCTTGTTATGTTTGAAACGTGTTCGGCACTGTAGGTGCAGCATACTGCCGAGAAAGCAAAACTCGCAAAAGGCACAAAAGCTCGAAAAGACATGGCAGCCAAGAAGCCTGGAAAACACAAATCAAAATTAACATCACCATCTATGGCTTGTTTTCCATAGTGTTGAATTAGCATAAGCAAGTATATTACTAACCGTTATAACATACTATAGATACTTAGTTCTTATAGTTATGATACTTTCCATCTATAGATATTTTAGATACTTATAACATACTATAGATACTATAAAATGAGCATAGATGGAAAGAGCTATAACCGTTGTAACCCAGCTCTAGAAACCGCGTGCCCATGTGGCACCAAGGGGCGGCAATTTCAGATCAAAGGCCGTGCCCATGGGTGCCTGGACGACTGGATGAGGGTAGCCCACCAGGGGTACATGTTTATACAATATATGTACAATATATATATATATATATCTGGTTGGTGGTTTCAATCCCTCTGAAAAATATGAAAGTCAGTTGGGGTTACTATTCCAAATATATGGAAAAATAAAAAATGTTTGAAACCAGCAACTAGATATATAATTATACCCACTATACTTCACTATACATTGTATATTGTTGGTACCTCCAATTAATACAATTATAGTATAGTAAAAAAAAATATATACTGTATATATACAAGGTATAGCATGTTCCCTTCAAAACATTCACCCACATTTGGGGATCCATTTTTGCAAATGAATTTCCGACAAGAAAAATGCCCCGTCAAGTTGACTGTCACGGCGTTGCATTGGATGGTACCATGGCTAGTCTTGGATGTTCTTAAACAAAAAAAGACATGTTTGGATAGTTTGAGGTGAACTTCTCCTTCATAAAATCTCTTACAGCTAGTTCATTGCTTCCTGGATCTTCCGCGTAATACGCAAACAATCACAATTCCAGTGTTTTCCATTTTTTTCAGAAAAAAAATTGAAGATAAATCCATGTGCAAGCACCATAAACAACTAATATAAATGGTGAAAAATCATGGGATTTGGCCTGGAAATCTCCGTTGAGGCCAAAGGCGATGATGCCGGAAGGCATCCTCAGCCGCGCCAAAGCCCATGGGGAAGTGGGATTCAACCAGCCATTTTATGTAATAGCATTGGATTCCATGATATAAGGTGATATAAATGATGTATAAATGATGTATAAATGATGTGTAAATGATGTATGAATGATGTATACATGATGTATGAATGATGTATAAATCATGTATATATGATGTGTAAATGATGTATAAATGATGTATGAATGATGCGTAAATGATGTATAAATGATGTATACATGATGTATGAATGATGTATAAATCATGTATATATGATGTGTAAATGATGTATGAATGATGTATAAATGATGTATAAATGATGTATGAATGATGTATGAATGATGTATAAATGATGTATGAATGATGTATAAATGATGTATAAATGATGTGTAAATGATGTATGTATAATGATGAATGGTGTATTCACATGAAACCAAGCATCTTCTGGGATTAAGAAAAATGGATCCAGTCACCTGTGGGGTAATCAACGCGAAAATCTGGAAGAATGGAACTTGAAGCTGGTTACCAACCCTGCAGGCCACTGTCAGGATATCACTTTCCAGAGATTCGGGCCAACTTGGGGCATCTTCAAGAAATCCAAGCCTAGCAGTTTAGCACCTGGCAACTGTCCCACCTCCCACACTTGAAATGTCTTACAACATGGTGTCCGCTTCATGAATTCTTAATCCGTCAACCTTATCGCTGGTGGATCACACCACTAGTTCTTGGTGATTTTCTGTGTTGTGTCCACCAAAATGGCCGCATTTGAGGTACATCATTTCCAGTGCCAATCTTAGATACCCTGCAAAAAATTATATTTTTAGCTGGTGAGTAGAGAATCCCATTGAGACCAAAAGACTAAAGGATTACCCTCTGGTAATTTAACGTAGCTATGGAAAATCGCCATTTTCAATGGGAAAATCCACTATAAATGGTGATTTTCCATAGTTATGTTAGTTTACCAGAGGGTAAAGTACCCATCTAAGATTGACCTAGATTCCTGGCCTGGCATAGCCATCACCTCCCGACCAAGTCGCAAGACCTGACAGCAAATCACATCACCCTCTTGCCATTTGTCGCCGTACCTCAGATGCGACCCACCTGGGAGTTGAAACAGCACACCTCGGCATCTCATCCATAAAAAGGGGCAGTTTCACTAGCAAAATCCGGGGATCTAATCAGCAAGAAGAATATGAAGAGGCAAAAAAGCAAACAAACAAACCAGCACCATCGTTGGTAGTGTAAGGCCCTGCACTTAAACGGGGACAGCCAAGTATATCTAGATGGTTTTCATGTTTTTCGCATGTCGAGAATGAGGTTTTTCCCGCTTCGGTTTCCGTCGCTTAGAAAGCTATAGGCCTACAAATCTAGAATCAAATGATTGACACGCATATATATATATATTATATTATATTATATTATATTATATTTTATTTTATATATTCTAAATATATATTTATATACACAATATAGTATATGCACACACAATCTGTACGTTTGCACGTTTGCGTAAATTGCACACGCGCAGACACAAATTGCACTGGTCACGTGAGTCCCATCCCATTCCGAGCTGCGGTTTGGCGAAGTCCCAACCTGGGCGAGATAACAAACACCACCCGGTACCCTACAAAAATGGTCATTTATAGTTGATTTTCCCATTGAAAATGGTGGCTTTATGGTGGTTTAATGGTGGTTTAATGGGATTTAATGGGATTTACCCTCTGGTAAACGTTTACATAGCTATGGAAAACCATGGATGGTTGTTCCCCCAAGTATGGTAAAAAGAGGTTGACCCACCCCCACTTGAAGTTCGTGAAAATAACTTACAGAGACTTCCCCGCTCGTTCCAAAAACAAACGATCAGAAGAGACGACACTCGCATGTTCATCTACTCATCTACCTCGCCTTTTGTGTGACTCAACTTGGAGCCTTCGACCTTCCCAAATCCTAATTCATTGCATTTAGGTTGCCAGGGTAAAACACAATTGGCTAGTAATTTATTTTACCCTCCGGACCCTCCGGTCATCATAATATACAACCTGGCTGGCTGGAAAATCGCCTACAATGTGAAAATCACCTATAAATTGGGCAATTTTCAATGGATTGGTTTAAGGGAAAATCTACAGGAAACCATGGTTTTTACCATCAAATATAGATATAGGGGTTTCCTGTAAATTTTCCCATCATCCAATTCTATGAAATTTGCATCCTGAAGAGAAGACACAAAGTCGTATGAATGTCTTCTGAGGAAAATTTCACAAAACATCATGGTCTGAACCTTGCAACCATTTTAAGTCTGGATCGTTGAACGCGTCTGGATCGTCAAATCACAACTTGCGTCTGGTTGACGTCATCCTACTCAGTTGATGTCTCAAAATCGGGTGTCATAAGTTTCCCTTATGAAGATGGCAACTTTAGGCTCTTATTTCGAGACAAAGCCACATTTCAATCATTTACCGGAAGTAAAATTTGGTACCCCCAAGTGGCGATTTAATACAAATCCAAGTTCTGTGTGGGACTTTCCCATAATTGCCCAATAACTTTCCCACAATTGTCCTATAATTTATAAATGGGGAGTTTCCCCCAATTGTCGACGAGCAGGCCTTTCTTCTTCTTCTTGCCATCATCCGGTGCTTCTTCCACCTGCACCAAATTATGACCGCCAATGCCTGTAAGGTGCGCAAGTGACAAAATGGGCGTATCTAAAAATGGCTCATACCCCCAAATGGCCACTTGAATTGGGAAAGTTCTAACAAAACCAGTGGATGGCATGGGATTGTCCATGGTTTTCCCGTAAATGTTCAAACACACCCCGAGTTTTCCATGGTTGGGACTGTTACCTCAATTGTTATGTCGCGTGTTGTTTGTTTCCCTGGAAAGCCCGAGTTTAGAACACATCTCGGTCCCCTCTCACCTCCTCGTCCTCCTCTTGGGGCTCTTCTTCAGCACCTCCAAAGAGATCAAAATCATCCTCGTCCTTCGCTGCGCCATCCCGTCTCCAGCTCGTATCGATTGGTTGAGTTGGGACAATTGAAACCGGAAACCGGTGGTGGTTTCCGATTTCGAGTTTCCCTTAAACAAATCCATTGATAGTGCCGGATAGGTGCGAAACATGGGAGCAAAACCGGCAACACACTTTATATTGACTAATTGATTTGGGGTCTGAAAACATGGTCCCACATTTATGTTTACCCTCTGGTAATTTAACATAGCTATGGAAAATCACCATTTTTCATGGGAAAATCCACTATAAATGGCCATGTTCAATAGCTATGTGTTAAATTACCAGAGGGTATTCTTTATTGAAAACAGGATCCCACCACATTTAAGTCTCTCATCAGAAGTCCATCTCCTAGTCTCATCGACACAGACACATCACCATCGGCCGAACAAAATCATTGGGAAACTAAGATCGAACACCCCCAAGAATCAAGAAAGTGATGGCTATGGGTCAAAATTAGATCTACAGTCACAGTATGTTGATGTATGTTGTATATATATATATACAATCAACCCCAAAAAAATATGTTGATTTATATAAATAGATTCTTAGATAAATCTTTGAAGTGATGCATTATCAATCAACCCCCAAGAATGGATTATGTAACACCAAAAATTTATTTGTTTGTACCGGGGGTAAAACAATGCCATAAACCATCCCCCAGTCATCGCATTTTTTTTGTGGTATGGTTACCATTCCCAGTCATGGGTGGTTTATGAGTTTATGGCATTGGTTTACCATGGTTTACCCACATTAAACTATATTATAGACCATAAACTATGAGTCACTCAACACGACTTAGGGCTTTATGTAGGTTTCAAAAAAAAGAGCTTTTTTTGAATACCCACATTAGATCACCATTTTCCATTGAATCCCCATTTAAATCCCATTAGGATCACTATTTATTTCGTTGATCTACCTATGAAAAATTGCGCATTTACCATGGTTCACTGATCCCCTGACGCAGCACCTCGTCCACCTGCTTCTTTCTCCTGGCCTTCGTTTCCTTCCCCTCACAGCGCTGTCGTCCCCAAACTTTCAACGAGAAGAATGATGGTTTTCTATGTCTGAAATGGTGTTTTAATAGGGATAATAGTGGGATAATCATGGGACAGTGGAATAAAATTCCAGGATAATGGTATGAAAAAAATGATGATCATTTAGTGTTTTAATGGGATTTAATGGTGATTTTCATGCTGTCTTATATGCTTTAATAGAGATGGTCATGGGATAATGGGATGTTACTGGATTGACCCTCTGGAAACGTGGCTGGATTGAAGATCCATGAACTAGTCATGGGGGTTTCTAGCTGGGAAAATCATCGGTTACATGGGGGAAAGCTACCAAATGGCCATTACCCATAGGATCCATGTATGGTATATATGCTAACATTTGGGGTATATTGATGGTAAATGTTACCATATATAGCATACATGGATCCTATGGGTTATAAATGTCATGGGGAATTTGATGATATATAAATGCGATAATGTTCCATAAATATAATTTTAAATGTCAAAGTTAACCACATTTTTCTGGTCAATGAGATCATGTCCATAAATTATCGATACCAACGGTAACACGACCAACACGTCAAAAGCCTCGTGCAGGATCAATCAACGGGTCTGCGGAGAAAAAACACAACAAAATACCAAACATGTTGTACATAAAAATAAACTCAGTAACTAGAAGAATCTCAAAAATAAACCCAGCACAGTATAGTTATATTGTCAGAATAATGTCGGAAACAGATAAACGAAGACGGAAACACTTCACCATCAGCGTCATTCGTACCATAGTTATCATCACTAGAACTAATGTTCAATAATAGTTATTTGTGTATGTCCCATGTTGACCATTGTAAATATAAACACTGTAATTATATACTATTGTCATTATTGTTAATCGTGATTTTGAGGGGTTAGAGCCCCATTTGCAGACAGATCCATGTGGAATATGGAAGAATATGGAAACATGCATCATCACCGCCCTCTTTTAAATCAATTTTCACCAACGTTAGCGAAGGATTTGATCCAATAGATCCCATTCAGTCCCATTTCACTGACCTGAAATAAGGCCATTTGGGAATATATCTTGTCTCTTACTAACCTTGATTCCAGGGTTCGGTCGCAGTGAGGTTATAATTGACCCAGCAACAAAAAAAAACAGTAAATCTCCATATGTATGTATATATATAATTTGTTGAAGCACCACTAATGATTCAATCCCTGAATTTTCGTTGGTTAAGATTTAATCATCCCACTGTTTTTCTCCACTAGTTAGTATATGTAGCACTATTATATAACCACTAATGATGCTTAATGATATATATATATATATACCCTCTGGTTATGACTAACATAGCCATGGAAAATCACCATGCTATTTTTTTTGGTAAGCCATCTATTTCATTCTATTTCTATGGGCTATCGAAATCCCATGGCTATGTTAGTCATAACCACAGGATGATCCCTTTTTCGATCCCTATAGATCCACGGCAACAGCCACGGCACTGATGCTGAATCCTTGGAGTTCTTCCTTTGGAGCTCCGGCACTTCCTGCGGCCGGCCAGACAGGTCCTCAGTACGGCCATGGGAAATTTTTCATGGGGGAAGTTATCAAGAAGACGGGAAGTTCATGAGGAAAATGATGAGAAAATGGCGATCTTATTGGGAACATGATGGAAAAATTGCGAATTTATAAGAAAAATGATGGGAAATGTATAATTTCATTGGAAAAAAGATGATAATGTCTCTTGATCCATGGGATTTGTGGGGACATACTGGGGATCCGGATGTACAACCAACAAACAAAGCACCAAACTGGGGATTCTTACACCAAACAGACCAGTGAAATCGCATCTTTTATCTGATTAAATACGCAAGTCCTATTTATATATATATATATTATTATATATAGATATTCTTGCAGCGAAATTGCATTACTAGTACCCTTCAAACTGAATTTCGTAAATCACATCAGACTTATATCAAACTTAATGGTGGATTTAAACTTCAAATATGTGGACATTATGAGGCTGAGGGTATATTGAAATATGTATTGAATATCAAATTTACAAATCCCAGACCTGATATTCGAGATCGTAAAACGGCTTGAAACTAGTGCTTGCCCCTAATGTTATCACATCCTAACCATCATGATCTCTGGCACTCGAACATGGCCACGGTGGCCGGGTCCTAACGTCTTTGCATAGGAACATGATCATCTGGAGATCATTGGCGATGATGGGATATCATGATGCCCCGCGGATCCAATGAGTTGTTTTCAAGGCACCAACTTTCGAGAAGTTCGGCCCTCGATGATGGCCATGCGAACCAAGATGGTCTTTCCATCTTTCTCCTGGAGGATTTCGGTTGAAAAGAGGTCTCATGAACAACAACTTGGGCATATAATTGCCGAAGAAATCAAGCAGTTGACTATATATCATATAATGAATCACTCTTGAAAATTCCAGTGATATCGATCTGTTCACAGATGGGAATTAGACCCCAAAATTCTCATGTCAAGGGGACAATGATGATAAACTGGAGATTTTTGGTCGCTGTCGCTTCCTCCATCAGCCCGAAGCCAAGCATTGGCATGGTGCGCCCGGTGCGGACCACGCGGACTTCGACATAGGCACTGCCTGGCCAGTTCCAACGTTCAATCCTCATATGGGAATACTTGATCCATGTTCAACCCCAAACTTAGGATTTAGATCTTGAGTTTGATTCATTTTAAGTATTGCCCAAAGATATAAGATATGTAATGTGTAATGCTGATTATGGGTCAAGGGTAGGTCAAACTTGATTACCCAAAATTTGGGTGGTTAGTACATTAAAAGATACAACATGTGGCCAAACTCTCTGATTTGTTGGGTCCTAATCTTGACCCATATAATGTATTTCCCATATGCCATAGGGGATTCATTAGCACCTGGAGCCTCGCCACGGTCAACTCTGCTGCCGCGCCTTGCGTCACTGGGAAGCGCGTGAAGGACACACCTTCAAATTCATCTCCTTGGCTGCAAGACATGTGCAAGACATGTGCAAGACCCTTGGCTTTTAAGTTCATGAGAGGACTGGAAGTTACTGGAAGTTAAATTAATGTTAAATTAAAGCCCTGATTGTGGAGCTACGCCAGGTACGTGCCAAGGTGTGGCTCAACATGAAGCCCCATCCATTTCTGATAAGAAAAAAAAACAAACAGAACTGATTTTCGGTTCCATGTTCGGGTTCTCCATGGGAGCTGATTTTTCCATATTTTTCTCTGAGTAGGTCGTGTGTCACACCATGACTTAAGAGATATCAAAATGGGATGATAAGAGCCACACGAATGAAACCAAACCAGCAGCATCTCAAGCTCCCCAGTCCCACTGTTCTCTGCCATGCAGCCCAAGGGGTTGAAGAGTCTGGAATCATCTTGAAGCGCAAAGGCTGGAACCAGAGCTTTCTCCTCTGGAAATCCAAGATGGCAATATGGCAAATCCCCCAGGCCCCGATCATTGATAGATGATGTTCCCATCAAAACCTCCATTGATAGATGATTTTACCATTAAACTCAATAAAAACCGTTGCTGCGTTTGATTACTTACGGGAGGGTATCATGTTTTTCTCCACATCAGAAAGAATATCCAACTTATCAGACAACTGTCCCAAGTATACTTCGAGTTCCAACTCCCCCCTCCAGTCAAGCCCAGCCCTAGCCCGGGCGCGGACACTCCCCATGGTGTCTCCTGATACCACCAGGTCTGACCATTGGGTGCCTTGATGTTCAGCGGTTGATCTGAACCTTGATTTTCCTGCATCACCACACCAGTCATCCCTTCCTTCCTCAGGCGCAGTGACCGTTGCGGTCCCCAGCAAATACCCAGATCCATACCATGCAAGTTGCAAAGTTCAATCTTCTTCCAATCCCAAACAAGTTCATTTGGGGATAACAGATCCTCTTCCAGGTGACCGTTGACCCATATCAACTGTGACCACAACTGTAGAACAAAGAAGACTAAATGACTCCTAAACATGGGTGGATTGAATTTTAAGTCCAAAATGACCTATAATGACCTATAACCTATAATGACCTATAATGACCTATAATGACCTATAATTAATGACCTCTAATGACCTATATATTATTGGCCAATTGGTATGATGCACGTCCATCTCCATTTCCCACACCTGCAAAGACTGCTTCAATTGAGCCGAGCTGCAGGGGGCCAAACCTAAGCGAGGTTCGAACCCCATGAATTGCAAACTTGGAAAAAATAAACTCTGATTCATGTGGCCAAACAAATAATCATAATCAATTTAGCCAATCTAGTAATCAAACATGGTTTGCTGGAAAATGCCCTCATTAATCCTAATTCTAGAATGATGGTCCGCGTTTTCATGCGTTTGCAAAGACCAATGTTTCGGCATCAGCACTGCCACGGTCATCCCATGTGCAAATTGCCGCCCTCGAAAAAGAAAAAAATATTGGGAGAATCCCCGATTCCTGCGGCTTAAATTCCCTCCTCAGACTCCATCCTTCGGCCAACCTTAGCCGCCATAGCCCAAGTGACTGTGCGTCACTGCAACTCTTGTAGACTTTCGAAAGCTTCACCTTCATACCCTTCCTGACGTCTGGCGCAAGCTTTGAGTTTCAACGAAATCCGGATGCAAACCCGAGCTGAAAAATTTGATGGGTCAAAACTCACCCTAGATCCATTGAAACTGGGCTCACCTTCCGACCCTAAATCAATGTATGGTTAGGTCGACCATTGAGATTGTTACCCCACATAGCCACTCCCCCTCACAAAAGATACAGTATGTAGATGATAGATTTTGAAAGCTGGAACTAAATTATCAGGGTAAACGTCGTCATAGTCATCATCATCATCGTCATCATCATCACATATTGGATACCCCGCATTTTCCAAAAGTTGCTCGGTAGGTTTTTCCGGATGTGCAAAAGGTTAAAGTGCTGAAGTGCCCATCCAAGATGAACACAGCAGACCTGGTTCCATTACTTTCCAAGCGTCTTCAACAAGCCCGTCTTCACTTCAGCGGTGGCGGAACGAATCTCACAGCGCTTTGGCTCCCACTCGGCACCGCTGTCCACCATGGGTTTCAGCGTCCTAGGCGTTTAATGAGTATCATCTATGAGGTGAATTTTCCACTGCCATGTTTGATTACTGGGTAGAACACTGAATCCCATAAATGCAGGGTTGATTGCCAATGTTTCATGGTTAGTGAGCCGGTCGGGCAATGATCAAAACCCGAAACATTATTCTATGAAATACTGTTTGGTAAGAAGGGATTCCCAACTGGCAGTGTGTCAAAACCTTGTACCCCTGGTGAACATCAAAATAGCTGGTAAATGGATGTTCATCCCCCTAAAAATGGTATTAATAGGTATTGATCCATACCCAACTCATGGATTATGATAATCCCCGGTATATTGGACAGCGTAACCCCTGGCGATCAACCAACCGCACGTGAGCACGTGGATTCTGGTCTTCATGCGTTTCTGCGACCTGGTTATTTCGTGATCGTTAAATCCCCGTTTCGGTCGGAGCTCATCATTGAAAATGGGCGTGCCCACCAAAAACTCCAACGACACTTTGAGGGGGAACCTGATGATAACCACTTGTTTTTGCGGCTTTGATATTTCTAGACAAAACCAGTTAAACCGCTCAAAATCGAGAGCGTCACCAAATATGGGCCCCAGATTTCCGCGTAAATTAGTTGTTTTTAGATGATTTTTGTTGTAGTTTCTACTCATTTTTTTTAAGAATGATTTGTTTGTGTTTTATTTTGATTACTTTGTTCCTGCTACGTTTCTTTTTTGATCTTGTTTCATGTGGTTTTGTAAAGTGTATATCAAATAGTCTAGTAGGAGTGTAGGTAAAGCATAAATACTTCGTTGCAAATTGTTGTTCCAATGGTTTTTGCAAAGTCCGCTTGGAAGTAGACCCATGGTGAACAGCTCGCTCAATATCTGTATGTACATGTTTGTGTCACAAGAAACAGGGTTATTGCGTAACTGCATACATGCAAAATTATATATATATATGCAGAGAAAGACCAAGACTGTCTGAGTGCCCACACTCAGTAAGTCTTTGGGTCAAACCTTGACACAGCCCCAAGCCAAGAAAAACTAAAACACATAAGGTGATGCAGCTCTTCTATCTGTTGTTGTTGACTATGCAGGTACGTCTGGCTGCCATTCCATCAAGTTCATGGATGTGTTTGTGCAGAGATGCTCGCAAGAGCATTCTTGGAGGTTAAGACGAATTGAACACAGTGTCCTGCCTTCGGCCAACAGAATTTGAAGATGACGGCAAATCCGATATGCTTAGAATTTCAAGCCCCAATGCAAAAGCCCTCTGTCAAATGCACGCTGCATTTCTGTGTCCACCATCACATCCCAGACAAAACATAAATAAAGAAAAACTCATCCATAGTATATACACAAACAATGTTTAGATATCATCATCCCGGTGTGTATGATATGAAAAGATATAAATATTACACCTTTAACAAACAGACACTCAGATTGACAATCAGGCTGAGCAAGCGTCGCCAAAGCCCGCGTCAGGAAGGAGAGGATCCAATATGTTTTATGTCTACAAGCGATTGAAATATACTTTTGTATTTATATATAGTTGCAGACAGATTGATTCATATTATGTGTATATATATATACACAAAGACCAACAGTATGTGGGGCATGAAACTGTGTTTAGACATATACATATTCTCATTATGTACATACTTATATGACTTATATGTATGCATGAAATTACGTTTGGTAGTTCCATTTATACAACATAGTCACATGTGCTCATCTATTAAAAAAATGTACAAATCGAAAATCGACTCTTATCGTTTTCAAGTGTTTATATACATATTTCGTGTCTTGACAACATTGTATACAAACACAACTATTACTATGTGATAATTTATTTATATATATATATAAATACATACAAAATATATCTTGGTGAACACATATATTACAGTAAGATTTACTGCATGCAAAAATCTTTATACGTATGTATATATCTACTTTAGATATAGTGCGCAGGACATTCAGTGCGTACGAATGAAAGGCAATGTCGTAAAAATATTCACAGCTGAAAGGTCCGAGGAGCTACCTTTCGTAAAAAGTTCTTCCGAATCCGCGGTTGATAAAGGATATCCTCTGCAATTCATTGGGTGATGCTATCAGATTATGTCAGATTAAAGCATTGCCAACATGTTCATCCTATCTATCTCGAGAAGCATCCTCCCGAGGTATATCGGCAAAAAATCAATGGAAGCAATCATTGCACCTTGTTGTGCATTGCCATCTGTTGTTTTTAATCTTGAAAAACCAGAGAAGTATTGCTGACTCTATTTGAAGTTAGGCTTAAAATGTCCATTGTCTGACTTAAATTCCAAAGGAACTCTGAACAGCTTGATGAGAGCATAGTGGCCACGCCAATGCAGACATGATATAGCACGTTGCCTCATTGAAATGACATCAAATTGTACACTTAACAAGGTAGCCACCAAAGATAACGTTATTTTTCATTAAAGAAATGCAACTTGTTGAAAGCCTGTTTGAGGAGATGAGCCCGCAATCTGATGAACAAATGAGCGTAAGTTCGGGAGCTACGAAAGGCTCTTAATATCTTCGAAGCTCTAGAAAATGTCAGAAACATTACAAATGAGGATTTTCAAGCTCCAGAAGATTCCAAATGAAGATTTTGAAGCTTCGGGAGGCTCCAAATAAAGATATTACAGCCTCCGAAGGTTCCAAGTAAAGATTTTAAAACTCTGGACGGAAGGCTCCGAATGAGGATTTTGAAGAGTCTGGAGCTCTTCGATCTTTTTTTCGACACCCCGCCCTCTGAGGGCTGTGTAGTGCATTTACTATTCTTTCATTTTCTTTCCTGGTTCCTCCCCTCCCTATATGTGGGGATCAAGGAATAGCTAGCCTTTGAGGAAATTGCTTCAGCAATACATGTTCTAATCTAAAGAAGCAATCCCCTTTAATCTTCAAATATATTTCTAAGGGGAAACTGCTTCTGCAATATGTCAAAAGAACATTGTTTGCGCGTACGTGCTTCAAAGGAAAATAGTTTCTGTCATGCATTTTTTTAGGAAAACGTTTTTATGTTTAAAAGGCGTTTTTGCAATACACTGTCAATCACATTTCTTTGCACTGCATGCTCAATCAAACAAGTATTCTGACTCAATGAGGTGTTTGCAACATGTTTAAGGTTGTACATGGTTCTATGCATTGATGTTTCCATGATATTCATTAACGCCATGCAAAGCTCTTTAAGGACACATTCAAATATCATATGGAAACATGTGTAATTTTGAAACCAATACTGCATTTTCAGAAACGTTGTAAACTGTTTCCCACTAGATACCAGTACTATTGTGGATGGAAGAAATCCTGCACCACCAAAAGGATGGTTAAAACCCATCCTAAATAATGGGATGGTTACCACCTATTAACTGGTGATTCGGATTTCTTCCATCCCCCCAAACGTCGGAAGCCATGTTCAATCTCCATTGAAATGACCAGCCCCAACATGGGATAAATACCCAACAGTTACCATGAAATACCATTGGATAAATCCATTAATTGGATGTGAAATACCATTGTAATCCAACATTTAACATGGTTCATTGGATAAAATCCATACTTTTCAATGATGAAGAACCGTTGCCCCATGAATGAACCCTGGCATCCCTTGTCCATATCTCCGTTTTTGGATGCTACATCCCACCAGCGTTACCATTCTCTAGCAGTCTTCATGGATGGTTAAATTGTTGGTTCAATTTTACCATTATTGTTGTTTAAAGTATAGCAATAATAGCACTATTGTTGGCTCAGTGTATATATATATATCGTTATTGGCTTAAATCTCTTCGGCGTTATCCCACTATCAACGAATAATTACATCATCCCCATTTACCAGTACACAAATACCACTACATTCTACTTTTTATCCATTCTTCCTTGATGGCAACAGTAAATTCCTTCATGGTTACAAGGGAATTTAACCTAATATCATCATTAAATACCATGATCATCATTAAATACCATGACAATCCATTATCTTAACGGTTTTTCCATCCATGGTTATAATAATTAACCCATGGATAAACAACCGCATAAACAACTAAGAGCATTTAACGTTAACTAATGGTTTATCGGTTTATCCATGAATATCCATGAATGGATAAGGCTTATAACATGTTAAACCAAATGTTTATAACGGTTACCCTCTGGTAAACTAACATAACTATGGAAAATCACCATGTTTAATGGGAAAATCCACTATAAATCACCATTTTCAATAGCTATGTTGACATAACCAGAGGGTAAACCATCTGAAATCCTCCATGTTTTTCCATGGTGACACCAAGCATCTGATGCACCGCCTGGCGCCCAATGTGCCGTGCGCGCCAGCGACCGCTGCCACCGCTGCCAGCGCTGTCGCTGGCGCAACGCCAGGAGCCACGCAGCCAGCGGTCGCTGCCCAGCTCGCCCTCCCAGGTGGAACCAATCCTGGGATGGGCACCCCACGATAGGTGGAAAATGCCTGGAATGTTGAGTGAAACTTAGCAAGAGTTGGGGAATGTAGGTACAGTAGAAACATCTAGAAACATATTTAGAATTTCTTGGTGTTTCTGGTGAGACATCAAACATTGACTTACTGGTGGTGCTAAACGTAGGGAATGGATGGGTTGCTGGGGGTTGCTGGGATGATTATTACTAGTGATGAAATGGATCATTCCCGAAAATTCCCTGCTAAGCCTAAGCACCAACCAGTAATTGAGGTTTCAGATCCACAGGCTGCATCCACTGCTAAGCACCTACTGTCGCTCCAAGTGGCCAATTCTTGGCTCCCAGGGCTTCCAGTTGCGACAGATCGGAGTCTTCGGCTCTCATGGTGAACGACACCAAGCCTTTGCCAGTCCTTGACATAAGGGATGGGTCAAAATACCTGGAATGCGCGGATGTTCATCCTCCTCAACATGGTACAGGTATTGATGCATAGATATGCATAGGTGGGGAAAAAAAAGCTTTGGACATCAGATATGTTGAGTGTATTTTTGACCGATCGCAACATCTGACTTGATTCGGCTTCCTTGTGAACCATAGTCACATGTCATTAATATGGCCCAGTGGCCAGGCGCCATACCCAGGCCCAGAACCCCCAAGTTTCTGAGTTTGATATTCGAATGCTGACTGGATTCATACCTGCTGTTCATTGCTTAAGTGCCGGAGGTTATCACCTTTTGATCACCTTGATTTTGCTGATACCCCATCTTGGTGGAAACCCTGGCTTCTTTTTAGTTAAAACATGTTGCGAACATGTTTACCCTCTGCTAATCAAACGTGGCTGGCTGGAAAATCACCCAACGAAATGGATGTTTATATGGGAAAATCCGTCTATACATGAGGGATTTTCCAGCAAGCCATTGATTCCCAGAGGGTAAATCCATTCATAGACCTGACTATCCCATGATGATCCCTTTTTTAACCATACAAAGCACCATTAAATCTCATTAAAACACAATTAAATCCCTTTAAATTCCATTAAAACGCCATTAAATCTCATTAAGACACTATTAAAACACCATAAAACACCATTGATATACCATTAACACCATTAAAACACCATAAAATCCCATTACAAACATCATAGAATCCCATTAAAACCCATTCAGAACCACCATTTTTTGGTGGCTTCGACCCCATGCGTTTCGCCGTGCGTCATCTCGCCGCTGATATGCAAGGCTGGCGGCGCGTTCTCCGGCGCCGAGCCCTCTTGGAGCATAGGCCCCGCCAGGGCGGAGCCGGAGACCTACCAAGGATCGAACCATGGGGATTCAATGGTGGTTGGGTGGGATTTCATGGAGATTTTTTTGGAGATTTCATGGTGTTTAAATGGATTTAAATGGTATATTCTAATGGTGTTTTATTGATTTTTGACGGTGATTTAATGATCTAATGGGATTTCTTGGAGATCTTTCATGATGTGTCATGGGGGATTCATGGGTTTCAACTGGATTTCCATGGGGAATTTTCATCGAAACCCATGAAAAATAAGGGTGTTCACAGGTGTTAACCATCAGAAGGTGCAAAAATAATGATTTGACCAAGAAAAATATGCAAAGATTGGGATTTAATGAAAATATGAAAATTATAACTAACTTGTGATCCTGCAAATACTGGTTGGTGGTTGTGCGATGGTACTCTTTCACTTGTACAGTGTAAAAAAAAATCAATCTAACATTCCAAATGGAAGCCGCCTTCTTATACCATGAAATTTTCCTGCATACAATGTGACTGGTACGGCAAAGGCATGTAGCTGCCCTCTGGTGCACTTGAAACCGGAACAGCTGCCTACCAAAATGACCAGCCGAATCTGCATGTCACTCTCAAACGTTGAGTCCCAACCTGTCTGGCCCAACTACGTGATGACCTTCCCATCCCCCAAAATCCATCAAAATCCCCCAAAAGTCATTGGGTATACTGACCATATCTGACCAAGTCTTGATCAATTCACCTCCACCAGCTCCCCGAAACTAGGCCCCACCTGAATGGTGGAAGTGTTGCTGCCACTGCTCGGCGGAAAGCTGGAAAACCTCACCGAAAAGGCCAGGGTTTCAAGACTTGACCCATCTTTGCCAAAAGCAAGGAGGAAACTGATGGGACTTCGGCTGAATAAATCCCAACAAGACGCAACAGAATAGGACCCCAAGGCCCCGTTCTACCACTTGGGTCACAAATCGCAGGAGCATCAGCTGACCCCAAAAAATGTCTCCCAGTTCTCAGCGGCTTCTAACCATCAATGGATTGTTTTAAGGGAAAGTCTGCCGAAAAGCCATGTTTTGTTTTACCAAACATCGAGGGTTTCCGTGCGTCAACGACCATGTCCCAGGCACCAGCAATTCCACGCGTGTTGCATGGATTCGGCCCCCGTTTGCAATTCCACATGCCAGAGACCTGGCAAAAACTGGGAAAACCAGGCCGTGACCTACCCGGGAAGTTGGGTCTCCCGGGTCCAACAAACCCGGGAAGTTAAGGGTTTACGAACTGGAGAATCACCATTCAAATACTAGATCAATCATCATGTTTATCATCTATAAATTTAAATGGCCCATTTTCCATAGCTGTGTTATGCTGTGTTAACTCAACAGAGGGTTAATGTCTCCATTCCTGGGCGTGCTGCTTCTTGATTTTGCCAACTTGGCTGATACTCGTTTCCTTTGCCTCTCTTCAAATCAATCAATAATTGACCTTCAAAGCGAGCTCAGAAATACCCAGTAGCCTCTGGTAAACGTTTACATAGCTATGGAAAATCACCATTTTTAATGGGAAAATCCACTATAAATCACCATTTTCAATAGCTATGTTAGTCATAACCAGAGGGTAAATCACATTAAATCCCATTAAACCACCATAAAACCACCATCTTCAATGGGAAAATCAACTATAAATGGCCATTTTCCCATGGTTCCCCCATCTCCCATGGCCACCCCATCTCCGTTCCGAGGGCGCCTCCCAGTGCCAGCCCCGCTAGCGCCTTGGTGCCCGTCAGCTGCCCCGAGGTGCCGTCCGCCGTGCGCCACAACCCGCGGATCTCCAGCCCGGCTTCGGCGTAGAAGACCTGCGCGTCCACCTGCGGCGGAGGTGGGAGGTGGGAACAGGTGGGAACAGGTTGGAACAAAGATTTTGTGGTTGGAAAATGTTGGAAATTTCTATTGCTAGTTGCTGGAAGATATGGCCCTGGTTTGAATACCACCTTTCTGTGGAAGTTTATAGTTTATGGGATAAGACTAAGACTGAGATATTTAGCAGTGATTTAGCTTTCAAACAGAAATTGGCAACGGGATTTGACCAATGACATGGGTCTGAAATCAGAAAGATGGGAAGTTAAACTAATGAAGTTTGCCTGGAACAAAAGAAGGAGCCTGGAACAAAAGAAGGAAAGGGATCTGATCAAGAAAAAACATCTAGGTATACCATGATACACCTTCCAAGGGGGAGTAGGCTAGTCAATTCTCAATGGACCCTCATTTTTTGTTGAGAGCCAGAAAAGTACCCAGTCTAGTTGCATCTGATGAAGGTATGCGCCTTGTGAATCACATGGGGTCCCAAACTATTCCAGACTATGATACATACGTGTATATATATATAAATATATATGTAAGTAACTGTAAGTCTGTAAGTATATTATATTATGTATTATACACACTATATGTTTAAGCTTCATAAAATGAGATAATTTCTTGATCCGTAGCAAAAGACCACCAACCCCTCCATTCTCCCAGTCCCATGCAGCGCCAAGGCCACGTATGACGACATGAAGCCCATCTGCACCACGTCGAAGTTCAGATCGATCTCCGCCGCGCTGGTCTCCTCCGACTTCTCGGCCCGGCCCTTGCCGACCCAGCCGCCTTTTGGTGCGAGGGCCGGGGTGGTTGAAAGGATGTGGAGAAAATGCTGGATAAAATGATGAAACGTTGGGAAATGCTAAGAGATTTTAGAGAGTGGAGGTGGTTGGTGTTGTTGTTTAAATAGATTTGGGGAAAACCTAGGAGATTCGGCACTAAATTGAGCAAATCAAAAGAGAATCAGCTGGGCAGCTGGCACGCAAACATGGCTGAAGCAAGATTTATCTTTGCACGAGTATTTTGGTTTTTAGCGGACACTATATATACAGATCCTGGAGGTGGATGTCCTGATTTGAATAGTCATTTCGTGTTCCAAGTCACTCTGATGGTGCTTCATCCCCGCCTTATCTTCATCTGTCTTCAACTTGACTTTACAAGTTCCAAACCATATCCAAACCTAATCTCAATCCCCTGCTCCATGTCGGCCTTCCAGTAAAGGATTTGGCAGCTGTTGACTGAAGGACACATAGTTGGCTCGAGTCGACGGCAGCCCGGCCCACTCCGAATCTGTTAGAGGTACCTGAGCTGCGAGAAGCGGCATGGCAACTCTGATTTTCACGCGAGATATGGAGTCTTTCCATGGTCATCACGACATTTCGAAAAGCACGTGGATGTATGACATGATTTAAACATTGCAAAGACATGCCAAAAACCCATGGCATTTGGCCAGCGGGCACAGAGATATATCACAAAATCAACTGCTCTCAACTGGTGTGTGCGGACTTTGGATTGGACCAACTGGATGCAACGGTTAAGACCTAAGCCATGAATAGCCCTATCCTATGCGTCCTATGCCATTATATTGAAATCATACCACGGTTGATTGATAGTTATTCTGAAATGAAATGGCTAGTAACGGCTGGTAATCACCGGTCGCCAAAGACACAAGAAAACTATGTTTCATCATCCCCTTATTTTCAGCCCAGAATATCAATGAATCAACGATAATCAACGGTTACCTATGACAGTATCCCCTTATTTTCCCAGAAGAAAACGTCCAGAAAGGTACCCTCTGGTAAACTAACGTAACTATGGAAAATCACCATTTTTAATGGGAAAACTCACTATAAATGGCCATTTTCAATAGCTATGTTAAATTACCAGAGGGTAACCGTGGTATGAAACGTATGGCTCACAAAGGTCGCCAAAGAGCCAGTCCGAGCGCTTTGGGATCTACCTTCATGACATCATCCTCTGGATACCAACGGCCACCTTTCTTCGTCTCCACCTTGGGATGTGATGTGCCTGGATCATATCACTTGATTACCCTCTGCTAAACTAACATAAGGAACTGGAAATTGGAAAGATCCACCATTGTTTAATGGGCAAAATGATATGTTTTTCTTGTTGGATGTAAAAAAACAGAAGAATCAAGTGATATATCTTGGTTTCATGGTCATTGATTTCATGTTCTTTCTGTAATGCTCATTTAGGCCGTGTCGATGGGTGTAGATATGGGTGTATGTTAATATATTTCAATATATTTCATAGGTACAACTACAACAACTCCTCTTGCTGGGGGATGACAACCCCATTTTGGGAAGATAAGCCATGTAACTTGGCCGTAGCACATATGAGGCCGCCATGGAAACAGCCCCCATGTCCAACAGTATCCTGGCCGTATCCCACAGTGGGCCACCCAGGATCCATAGCCAAAATCAGCTACCGGATCCATCGAATTGGTGAGTATTTGGAGGTTTCCTAAAATGGTGGCATCCCCAGTCGTCACCACGGTTTCTGAACCAATACTAAGTTACTAAGTCATCAATGACGACTGGACGATTTTGGGGGCTGCCATGCGGCTCCACCCTCTGAGCTGCCCGACATGCACCTGACCTCGGTTGAAGTTCACATTCGTCACCTGCCCACAAGCCCCCGAGCTGGACCCGTTGCCATACATTGGGTGGGATCCCAAAATGAATAAATCCTAGGGTAAAACATGATTCCTAAAGGATCTAAAGGGAGGTGTCTATTAGGATATGGATGTGACGTATTGGAAAGTAGTCAAGAATCCATGGCTTACTGGCATTTGTAATTAATTGGCAAGACTATGCAAAACTATCCATGATTACTACCACTGCAAAGCTACGATGCAGATAATGGTCGTCCAAGTACTCATGTGGTTATCATATTCCCACTTCTGGAGATTCCCGAACGTCTTGTCCATTGGTCGTGCTTGTACTTGCTGATAGGGATCTCCAGAATGGGCCATAATGATCCTCGTTGAAGCTGGCACTGTGGGGCCCCAATATCATCATTCTTATTTCTCAGATGGTCACGATGATCTTATATATCTGGTTGGTGGTTGAGCCACCCCTCTGAAAAATATGAAAGTCAGTTGGGATGATTATTCCCAACTGAATGGAAAAATAAAAAATGTTCCAAACCACCATTCAGATATACATTGTGGAAATCAAGGTGCCCTGACCCAGATGCTGCATGTGTGCTGCTTTCCCCAAATAGCCGACACTACACATGGAGCAGCAGGGTAACAGTTCTACGGCAGAAATAAAGTTTGACAAACATGACATAATGATCTTTGGTTGGGCAGTCCTGACATCACAGCTGTTACAGGAGTCTTGACTTCCATATGTTTTCTACGGCGTGTCTGAAATTGGGGTAAGTATACCTGCAAAACTCCGGGTAAGTATACCGGTATACTCCCAGTGGCGAAAAAACGTCACTGCAAAAAAGAACACATAGGCTTGTTGTGGGCGCGCAAAAATGCGTGATTTAGACCTCACATGCAGGCCTTCTCATATTAAGAAAAAGTGTTAGACATATCCTCATAAAATGTTGAATTTGCCGTGGATTAATCCAGATTAATCCAAGAACCAAAAAAAAAAAAAATATTTTCCAGACTAGTCTGATCATGGCTATATCCAAGTAGTCCCCAAAACATTGGTGTTTTTGGTTTTTTGGGGTTTTTTGGTTTTTTTGTTTTTTTTTTTTGTTTTTTTTGGTTCTTGGATTAATCTGGATTAATCTAGATTAATCTGGATTAATCTAGATTAATCTGGATTAATCTAGATTTATCTAGACTAATCTCAGGCAATCCAGTCTGCAATGGATCTGCTGAAATTTGTTATGTCCTTCTAGCACTGTCTGCATGTGAAATCTATCTGTAAGTCTTGGCTCTAACAATATTTCTTTTGCTATCCTTCTGCGCCATGTCGTCTGTATATGAACCAATAACTTTTGACTCATACCTTTCTGTTTCTTCATCCCAAGTCTTCACTTCATCAATCAGGACATTAATTTTACCACCGTATTTTTCTCTATAATATACTGCATCTTCCATCTTGTTGAATGTCATTGACTTGCTTTTTATGTTGGTTCCTTTTTCCAGTAATCCAAAGTTGATATTGGCAATCATTTTTTTAACAGCCTTGTCCAGCTTATCATCACTGCTGATGTCAGTTTCCCACAGTTTCTTAACTAATTTCTTGTAATCAACTTTATTTATGTGTGATGGAATTTTATATGCTAGAATCTCAACATCATTAACATTTTTTTTTCAAAAACATACCGTAAACTAAACCAAATTGTTTATTCAACATCAAGTTATAATATTTACATCTTACAAAGTATAAAGTCAAATGTTCACAAAAGCTGATGTGAAAGCTTTATTAACATCAATTTCCACAAGCTGGTTTTTAAATGGTGACTCGTTATCATATCTCCAAAAAACACCATTTGGGACTATGGTCCTGTAATCTCTTAATATCTGCATATCTTGTTTATCATAAAAGGACTTATGAGATGGTGAAAAAAGACTCTTATTAAATTCAAACAATGATGCTACTGTCCACCAATGATGCTACTGTCCACTGCATCCGCTACACAACTCTGACTTCTGACATTGAACACTACTGAGTTAAATTTCATTTTTAAGTTTTCTATCTGTCCCGCCTTCCAAGTTATAAAAGGTGTATACCCTACCCTTTTCAAATCACAAAATATCTGCATTAAATTATTTTCAGAATGTATCAGGTTGAATTCTAATTCCTCATCTTTATTTTTCTGACACTCCCTTAGAAAAGGTAAAATGTCATCAATGGTATTAAAGACTTTATACTCAACTGGTTTTTCATTCCTATTGAATATAAAATTACTTGATGCATTACAGCTAAAATTCATTTGAATATTTTTACGGGCTAGACTCACAATATTAGAATTTAAAGTGTAGATATGGTTATCTTTAACCAATCCAAAAAATGCTGGAATGTGTTTATTTTTAATCTCAGGGTCATATGAATAAAACTTGTATCCCCAACAGTTGTATTTTCTGACTGGGAACTTGAAGTATTCAAAAACGGGTTTCATCTCCTCAACTGATCCCCCATTTTCTTTAAAGTCTTCATATGCTTTACCTATCAGTTCTAAGACCCTTTCTCTTGTTAACCTTTTGCTTTTCCACTTGTTAGGACTCATCAACGTATTTTTGTAATGGTCATTGAGTGAGTTAATCCAACATTCATCCTCAAAAATACCCTCATCACGTATTGCATCATAAAAACTATCATAACTTTCCTCTAATTCTGTGTTAATGTATGAGTGATACATACTTATCTGCTTTCCATCTCTCAGCATCTCTTCTGCTCCACTCTTTCTCTTCTTGCTTCTGCTTGTGATTTCTGAGATGTCTTTTATCTTGATACCATCTGCATATGATTCAAGATTATGAAATTGTTGTCTGAAAATTCTATCAGCGTTTAACAGTCTTTTAAGTGTAGACTCAAACAACTCTGTGTTGTGGATGACTCAAACAAATCTTTTTCTAGGTGGTCCTTCTAATAAGTTCTCTTGCTTGAAGTTTTCAACAGTAGCTCTTGCATCATATTCTCTTTTTGATATCTCCTTCTGTTGAAGCTTTGCTTTCAGAAACTTGATGAACTTTTCATACTCATCTCTGACTACATACTTGTTAATGATATTTCTAGGTATCAAATCCTTCCCACAGCTTTTTAATATTACCTGTCTTTCATCTATAATCATTTTATATTTGATTCCATAGTTATCAACAAATGCATCACCACCAGTGCCTGTATCAGTCTTGCTGTATACTCTAAAAGTGATTGCATATTCTTTCTTGGTATTGGCTCTCATTCTTTCAGCCAGTTCTTCATTAGTTCTCCATTGTGAAGCCTTCTTTTCAAATCTCCTGATAGCACCATTTACTGTTCTAGAGTTTTCACTCTTCAAGTCCTTTATCAATTTTTCTGCAGTGCTATAGTTAGCAATCTTCCTGTCAGAATAAAGGTCTATAACTTCTTGGATTATATCCCTTACTCTTTCACTTGCACCACTCCTTAAGCCTCTTAAATACTGGGTTCTATCTTGGACAATTTTTGATGGCATTATAATATCACATAGGCTTGTTGTGGGCACATCTGCTGCCATGAACTTCCCACAAATCCTCAAAATCCCGCGCCCACAACAAACCCATCCCAAAAAGAAATGGAAAAGAAAAAATAAATTCAAGAATGATAATCCATGATTATCCATCCTCCATAGGGGGTATATACTTCTTTCAGCCCCAGACACCTCGTTTTCACCGCCCCACCGTTTGTCCCCGGCCTTCCCCGCTTCCCCCGGTGCCAGTTGGGCACCGCCAAAGTTGAAGCCGCCAAAGCCGCCAAAGGGGGGCGGCTGGCCCCAGTCGGTCGACTGGAAGAGGCTCAACTGGATATCCAGCCTGGGAAACAGCCATGGGATGCCATGGGAAATCTTGGAGAAATGGGGAAATATCGTCATATCTGATGATTCAGTATGGGAAGTGGGGAAATGCTGTCATGTCTTCGAATTGTTGGCAAGAATTCACTGAAAGAGCTTGGAGTTCACTGAAACAGCCTGGATATATGGATATCTGATGATATTTTTTCCACAATGTCCAGTCAGTACATCTAGGATTCTCTAGGTTTACAAAATGTTTGATCTTTGTGATGCCTTTGATCTATTGGCGAGAAAACAATGAAATTTAATGATTGAAACATGGTAAGAATTTGATCTCTTCCATCTGATTCTTTCCCCCTTTTTATCGGAGAAACAAACGCCCCAGCGTTGCTTCTTTTCAAATGTAATCAGAAGGATCGGATCATTGGGATATGGTTTCAAGGCAAAAAATGGTGGCTTTTGCAAGTTGAGGAGCTGTGGGTTGGTAAGGAAATGGGGCAGTTTTTTGGGGGTCAACAGATTTCCGCTTTCCTGAGGGATCAAGCATCACCTTTTGATACACAAAAAAAATATTGGACTCTCTGAAATCAATTGTAGGATGTCGGATCTCCAAGGTCATAAAGCCTACTAAGCTATGCTATGCTATATTTCACCAAACCGCAGGGTGAGGAAAACAAACCGCCATTCATGGCTGGTCATGGGTTCGGAAAAAACCAGATGCTGCTCAGATGCGAGTTTTGCGTAGTAACCAGCTGCACCATGTCGCCTCAGTCAGCTAGTTCATGGAAAAGTATATACCCTCTGGTAAACGTTTACATAACTATGGAAAATCACCATTTTTTCATATTTTCTCCAAGTATGTGCCAAGAAGATTTGAACCAGGCCTCAGTCGTGGTTCCTTTGATCGGAAGTCAACATGACCACTGAAAGTGCTGGCCGTCCCCAATGGGATGCCGAGACACCAATCTTGATTTCGTTGGCCATGGATTTGTCTTCCACGAACCTCGTGGCAAACATGGCAACGGGTGCCCGAGGCGAAGCAAGCCAATCAGCGCTGAGCGGTAGAAGCCACAACAAACTGTTTTATCTAAAGGGTCCAAACATGTTCTTTCAAACGGCCATCTTGCGCTATCCCAAGGTGTTCAGCAAACCCATCTATCATAATGTCTACTTAGTAAATCCCAGTGTTTGCTTCTTCAATTCCAATGTCTGCTAAATGGGGATGGATCAAAACCCTGGTACCTAGTGAACCCCAAAATAGTTGGTAAATGGATGTTCATCCCACTACAAATGTATCTATAGGTATTGACCCATACCCAAATCTCAATTTTGACACGTTTCTCAAATCCTAAGTTTTTGCTTGTTCAATCCCCAGTGTTTGCTGGGAAAAATCCCAAGCGCCATGGCCGGGCCACTCCGCGCCCGCTGCGGTGTGTTCCTTCAGGCCGCGCGCGATGCGCAGGGCGTCTAAGGCGGGCAAACCTTGGCCGGGGTTGACCAGTGAAGAGAGGGGTTGTTAGCCATTATTAATTAGCCATTATTAATGTCTATATTGTATGTATATATATATATGTATATATATATATATATGTGTAAATATATATATATATATGTATATATATATATATATATGTATGTGTATATATATTATGTGTATATTTTCAAAGCAATGATGTTCAATGCATGCCTGTTCGAGATCATCAGCTACCTGACTCTCCGTAGCTCAAGGGTGGGCTCAGGCATTGCCCAGCGGAGGGAGGGACATTTTGAGCTTCGCTGTCAGCCATAAAAAAGGTGCTACGATTGGTGTTTGTGCAGGGCACATAGGTGTTTACAGATCAGGGATCTTTCAACTACATCTCAGTGTGGATCTTCCTTCAGTTGTTGGATAGAGAGGGATTTGGGTATCTCTCAAGGATCGGCCTCCCTACCAATCTTGAGATTGGTAGCGGAGCGCCTGGTCGACCGCTCCAGCAGGGACCTAGCTCCAAGATCTTTGAGGACAAGGACAAGGAGGTGAACTCTGTTTGGAAATGGGTGAAACATCAGGCGGGGACTCCGCCTCTTTTGTTCCAAAGGAGCTTGCAAGCCTGGTTCCGAGTTTTGATCCGTCAACAGACAGTGTGGACATCTGGACGAGCAAGGTTGAACTTCTTTTGAATACATGGCCACCATCCAAGTTGAATGAGTTAGCTACTAGACTGATTTTGGGGTGCAAAGGCACGGCATACCAGAAATTGCAGCTGCTCCGAGAAGAGGTACTCACAAATGATGAAAAGGGTATCAAGCGATTGGTAGAAGTGGTTGGGGGTACCTGGGGACAGGTGCCTCTTGAGAAGAAGTTTGAACTGGCGGAACGTGCACTGTTTCGTAGCATCCAGAAGGCCGATGAAAGCTCCGATTCATATCTGTCCAGGTGTGATGCGATCTGGACAGAATTGCTGTCTCGCAAGATGTCTCTCAGTGAACTGCAAGCCTACATTGTTCTCCGGGGGAGCAAATTGCCTCCGGAAGACAAGAAGAGGGTAATTGTAGAATCAAAAGATGCCTCAGACAGCTCCCTGACCATGAAGAGTGTGACCGCTGCCATTCGACTCCTGGGATCAGGGTTCTTTCAAGATTACACCGGAATCCGACGAGACAAGGTCGGGAAAACATATGATCACACTGCTTTGCACATGGATGATGACCCTGAGGTTGACCATGAAGCTTTCGTCCTGCAAGACGATCTGTGTGAGGATGACATCCTTGAAACACTGGCCGCTGAGAATGACGAGGATGCAATTCTGGTGATGCAATTCGAAGATTCTATCTCCGAAACAATCCAGTCAGATTCCGAGTTAGCTGCTTACTACTCCAATTACCAGGAGGCCAGACGACGTTTGAGTGAGAGGGTGAAAGTCCGTGGATTTTGGCCCATCAATCGCCGCTCTGACAAGGGTTTTGGAAAGAAGGGTAAGGGGAAAGGCAAAGGCAAGACGCCTTTCTCTGGACCAGGTTCTCTGGCACGACGTATCGCCAATTCGTTTTGCCGGATCTGTATGCAGAAGGGACACTGGAAGAATGAATGCCCACAACGTGCCGGTGGAAATTCCAGTAGTTCCACCTCCAATCCAGCAGCCAATGTTGCCCCGACCTCCGTGGTCATTGCCGAAGAAGTGCCTGAGGAGATTGCTCATTTCTCCATCATGGATGATCAGGACCAACCAGCCGACCAAGTCTGTTTTGGGGTAATGACTTTTCAAAGGGGTAGCGATAGGACTGGGGATAATCGGGGTAAAGTGATGATGAATAAGCTTCAGTTTGCCGAACGTTTTCACCACCAGTGGAAACGCAACGACAGGACCAAGAAGTCATCTGAAGCCTGCGTGCCTATCCGATCAGAGTTAGAGCAACAGCCTCTGACATCCGTGCCAGCCTGTCCCGCATCAGAGCAACTGTCTCTGAAGCCATTGCACCCGCCCGAAGCTGCCGTAGACACCCAGATCTGTGATGTACATTTTGCAACAGCAGGGACTGTAGGAATAGTTGATCTTGGAGCTTCCCAAACTGTGATAGGTGATGCCCAAGTAAAGGAACTGATTCAAAACCTGCCTGAAAAGATCCAAAGCCAAATTCAGCGGACCACTTGCAACTTGACGTTCAGGTTTGGGAACCAGCAGACTCTCACCAGTAGACATGCTTTGTTGTTGCCGCTGGGTCATGCCAAGTTTCGCATAGCAATTGTTCCAGGTAAGACTCCTTTTTTGTTGTCAAGTTCGTTTCTCAAAGGGATCAAAGCGGTAATTGACACGGATACTGGAGTTTTATGGAGTAAATCACTGAACAAGGAACTGATGGTATCTCAATCCAGCAAAAATCTGTTCCTCATGGACATCAGTCAACTCTGGCAAGGACCCAATGAAGAGCCAACAGTACAGAAATCTAGTGCGACCGGATTTACTTGTCTTCAGGTGCCAGTCCAAAACACAGCCAGCAGCCCGATGCCAGAGTTATCCGAGAGTGTGAGTCCAGGGTTTTCACATGAAGAGGTCACTCAGGTCACAGGTGGAAAATCATGTCAGAAAAATCAGCATGCCACAGGGTTGATGCCAGAGAGTGTAAACGATCGAAATCACATGAACATGCCCAGTCAATTTCATGATGCTCAACCGAGCTCTCCACAACCAAGCAGTAGCCTGTGTGACACTGACGCTCAGCACATCAGTGACGGTCACCATGTCCAGCGTTGCCACCAAGTTGTCTCAGTACCGCGAGGGACAGAGGAAGATCGAGTCCAAGGACGAGATGGGACGCATCCAGGAGATGACACTGGAACAACTGGCCAAAGAACGAATCTCGTTCGGCAAGGCCAAAGTGGGACAAGCTTTTCCGGAAGTGTTCGAGGACCACTCATGGACCGATTGGTTCATTCGGACATACGAGAAGAGCCCAAAGTCCCAGCACCAGATGTATGTCCAGTACGTCTTGAAGCGCTTGGATCACGAGATCGCCCAAAGCATGACCAAGAACCAGGTCAAGAACTCCGAGAAGATGAAGGAGTGCCGAGCCTCAGTCTCAGCCGATTCCGATGCATGGGATCAGATCTCCGAACTGGATCCAGTGGAGACCTTCTTCGAAATGCCTGCCCCAGCCAAGATTCAACAGGTGGAAGAACAGATGGGAAATCTCTCCATGGAGAACAAGCAGTTAGCCAGTCGAATCACGAACATGGAGATGGCCATGCAGGAGGTCCTCATGCATGTACGTCAACTGAGTGTGAAGACCGAGCCGTAGAGAGTTCCTGTTCTGCTGATGTCCACATGCATGATCACAATGTGGATTTGGATTTTGAATTTTTTCCTAGTCAAGAACACAACAGTTTCAAAGCCCGAATCCAGCGAGATGTGAGGAAGTTTTCCAAAGAACTGCATGACATTGTCGTCCAAGTAAGATCCAAGCCAAGATGTCAGCAGCCGAGACTAGATTTGCTCGAGGTCATGTGTTCAGGGGAGAGTGAACTCACCAAACAAATGCAGAGACTTGGAGGAAAAGCACAAAGATTTGGTCGTTTGCAAGGAGACCTCAACACTGTGGAAGGCCGAAAACGTCTTTTCACCATTCTAGCCACTCAACAGCCAAAACATGTATGGGTGAGCCCCGAATGTGGCCCATGGTGTCAGTGGAGTCAATTCAACATGAATAGGTCTCTTGAAGGGTGGGAGCAAGTGATGAACAAACGAGAGCAACAACTCTGGCAGATTTCTTTGGCAGTGGTTCTATATCGTTTTCAGAAAGAACATCATAACCATTTTGACTTGGAACAACCACGAGGATCTGCTCTCATGAAAACACCTGGAATGCATGAGATTCTCCAAGGAACCCTCTGGAATGAGTTTGACATGTGCAAGGTGGGGGATCTCCGAGATCCACAGACACATGAACCGATCCGCAAAAGGATGGCAGTTTGCTCCACATCCGTGGACATGCATGTTGCCCTGCATGGCAAGTTGTGTAATGGTGAACACCACCATAGAAACATCGCTGGAAACACGAAGGTACGTGGGGTTACAGTGAAGTTGTCGCAGTTCACCGAGCTTTATCCTCAAAAGTTTGCCAAGCAAGTTGCCAAGATCATGTTACATGACCAGGGTCAGCGATGTTATGCCATGGTTGGTGAGACGACCAATGATCATCCCACCAAACGCCGTCGAGTGGGGGGCAAATTAAGCCCTCAAGCCATTGCAGAGAGATTTGCTGAGCCCATGGAAGCTGCCGTCACCTGGTTGTCAGCGATGAAAGTTGCTGACCACATTGCACCACGGGTTGGAACCCAAATTGTTGAAGCAGGTGAATTGTTTGAACAAGTTCAGACTTTGTGTCCTCAACATCATGTTCGCCATGTCGTGTTATGTCGAGGTACAGATCGGTATGTGGGACCCAACAAAGCCATTCCACCTGGATTTGCTCCTTTACGTCAAGCGCCGAACTGAAGATTTGCATGTTGATGAATGGGAGGCTTGGGAAAACCTGTCACAAAGGGGTCTTCGAAAAAAGGGGCAATCTGCCCGTGTTAGCATGACGGTGTTTGCATCCGTCAAAGAACCCGAGGTGCCAAGCTCAGCGATGCCCGTTCCCGCAGGTGATGGTAGTGCGTCCCAGAGCAGTCACCGGCGACCGCTGGAGACTTCAGGTGCAAGCCAACAACCTGTTGCAAAACGCATGCATCACAGTCATGCTGATGATGTTTCAGATTCAGCCAGCATCACTCCAAGACAACAAAACCTTGATGCAATTTCCAACACAGACATCAATCAGAATCACCAACGTCAACCCCATAACCTGAATAATCATAATCTTCTCCCCACGAATAATCCTGAAGGCATTGGTAACAGCGATTCCAGAGCTTCACATGAATCCAGTGAAAAATCAGTAGAAACTGATGATTCCGAGGTTCCCCATCAAATCATCGATTTGGCCAGCCAAAAGCATGGACCCGATTTCTTACAACTTGACCGCGATGAGCAGAGTTGGCTTTTGAAATTGCACCGGAATCTTGGCCACCCAGGCCAGGCCAAGCTGACAGAATTTTGCCGACAGCTGCAGTGTCCGGACCGGATTCTCAAAGCCATCCGAGACATCCAATGCTCAGTGTGCCAGGAAAGTAGGGGTCCAGTCATTTCTCGACCAAGTGCAATTCATGAGCCATGTGATTTTGGGGATGTTGTGTCAATGGATGGTATCACATGGACAAACTCACAAGGAAGTCAATTTCATTTTTACCACTTTCTGGACCAAAGCACCATGTTCAATACTGCAGTTGTATCGCCAGGTCACACCACTGATCATGCATGCCGAGCACTATTGACTGGATGGTTCAATTGGGCTGGACCTCCAAACCTGCTGTGTGTAGATGCTGCAACTGAGTTGAACTCCGATGAGTTCAGTTCCTTCCTCCAGAGACACAGTGTGAAATGCCGAACCTGTGCTGCAGAAGCCCATTGGCAAAATGCCCGCACGGAGCGTCATGGCGGCATATTGCAGTTGATGTTAAATAAGATTGACCTGGAACAACCGATCACCACCTATGAGCAAATGTCAGCAGCCCTTAGCCATGTGACTAGCACAAAAAACCAATGGAGCCGACACCGGGGTTTTCCTCCAGAAATGCTAGTTTTTGGGAAAGGGGTGAGAGTGCCAGGATCAGTGACTTCCGATCCAACTGTTGCCGCACATGCTGCTGCTCTGTCCAATCAACCGGACGGAATGCGCTTTCGACAGGATCTGGCCCTCAGAGAATCCGCAAGAAAGGCTTTTGCCATGGTAGATAACGACCAGACTCTCAGACGAGCTATTGTCCAACGCAGCAGGCCACATAGAGGTTTTTATGAGAAGGGAGAATGGGTCATGATGTGGAAGAAGAAAGGGGAAGCCGAAGGATCATGGATAGGGCCCTTACAGGTGATTATCCAAGAAGGTCAGAATGTTGTTTGGGTGACACGCCATCATAAACTTTACCGAATTGCACCAGAACACCTGAGAAGTTTGACAGCCATGGAAGAACACCGACATCAACCAAGTTCCACGATAGCGGAATCCCAAAATCAAACATCAATCAGACCTGCACATGGTGGAGTTCAATTTCATGACATGATGTCCAATCAACCATCACATGCCTCAGGGGACCAGAACCATGCCATTCCAAATGTAGCCATGCCGGAAGTGGGTCAAGGCGCGAACTTGCAAGCTCCAATGCCAAATGGGTCTTCAGAACAAAATGTTTCCGAGTCCCCCCATGGCCAACCTGACACCGAACCTGAGATTGTCTCAGTTCCATCAGACCCTCCAAATGATAATTCCAACAATACACATCCTGAGAGTCCACAAGCCTTTGAAGTCCCAGTACCGGAAACCTCAGATGAGGAAGATGGTTTATATGCAGAAGAATATCCTATCTATAGCCTACATGAGGATCAAGCATACCGTTTTGAGGTTGACATCAATCAAAGGGATATCAATCACTGGAAGGAAGAAGTCCGTCCATCAGAAATGGCTTTCTTGGTATCAGCAGCAAAACGACAGAGAAGTGAAGTGAAAATATCCAATCTTAGTCCTGCCGAAAGACAAATGTTTGCAGAAGCTAAGACAAAAGAAGTTGAGAGCTGGCTTTCCACCGAGACAGTTTCAAAGGTTTTGCGTCACCAGATCCCAAAAGAAAGTATCCTTCGATGTAGATGGATATTAACTTGGAAAGAAGCTGATGAGACCAGTGCTGCCACCAAGTCGTCGTCAATGACCCCAAACCGCAAGGCCAAAGCACGACTTGTTGTGTTGGGATTCGAAGATCCAATGGTAGATCAAATCCCCAAGGATAGCCCAACGATGTCAAAGTTGTCACGGGTTTTGATACTTCAACATGCGGCCAGTTTGGGGTGGGATATTCACAGTTTCGACATCAAGACTGCCTTCCTGAGGGGTACCGAACAGCAATCACGATTGCTGGGCATGGAACCACCAGAGGAAATGAGGGTAAAAATGAAACTGAAACAGAATGAGATTGTGCAGTTGCTTAAAGGAGCATATGGCCGAGTTGATGCACCCTTCCTTTGGTTTCAAGAACTCAGACAAAGTCTCGAGGCCTTAGGGTTTGTATCAGCACCTTTTGATCCATGTTGTTTTGTGCTCAGGAATGAAAACCAGCAACCTGAAGGTATCATAGGCATACACGTTGATGACGGTTTGTGCTGTGGATCCACCAAGTTTCATGCCAAGCTTGCAGACCTTGAAAGAAAATATCCGTTTGGTAGTAAGAAAAAGAGAGATTTCACTTTCACAGGTTTGAAGATTTCTCAGAAACTGGATCAATCTATTTGGGTAAGTCAAGAACAGTATGTGAAGGATATTCACCCAATTAAGATTGCCAAAGAACGAAAGCTTACTCCTACGGCTCCAGTGACTGAAGAAGAACGTCAAGGATTGAGAGCACTTGTTGGATCACTCCAATATGCATCCGTCAACACACGACCGGATATTGCTTCGAGACTCGGATGGTTACAATCTCAAATCAACAAAGCAACCATATCCACACTCAGTGAGGGAAACAAGATACTTCATGAAACAAAAGTTCACTCAGATGTAACTATCAAATTTCAACCAATTCCCATTGATGACATCCGATTTGTAGCATTTTCCGATGCCTCATTCGCCTCCAGCAAAGTACCAGACTCCCATCAAGGAATGATGATCATGGCCAGTCACAAAAAGATTGCCGAAAACCACAGCTGCCCAGTGAATCCTTTGATATGGCATTCGAAAAAGATTCAAAAGGTTGTGGTCAGTACATTGTCAGCTGAGGCAATGTCGCTAGCTGGTGCAGTAGACAGTTTGACGTGGCTGCGACTTTACTGGGCTTGGTTGCGTGACGGCAATTGCAAATGGCAGTTGGCGGATGAGACGCTACTGCGGTTGCCACCGGCGTTTGCAGCGATCCCCCCAACGGATGAATCCACTGATTCCCAACCACCTTTATCACTCCAAAATGTCCTTTCAAAATTACCCGAGAAGACTCAATCCATTATCACAACAGATTGCAAATCACTTTTTGACCTGATCAGTAGACATGCCCCACCTAGTTGTGGTGAATTCCGAACTCAATTACAAGCGAAACTTATCAAAGAACACCTGCGAAATGGAATCCAAATCAGATGGGTACCATCACAAGCACAGTTGGCAGATGCTCTGACCAAGATCATGGATGCTGCGGTATTGCGCGAATGCCTGGCCCGTGGTCGCTACAGCTTACATGACGAAAATCAGATCCTCCGTGCCCGTTCCGACTCTAGAGCCCGAATGCAGTGGCTTCGCAATTTGTCTCAGGATTCTACAACTGGGGATTCATGGATAGGAAAAGCCAAGACGTCCTAGCTGGAATCATGTTGACTGACAACAGTGTTTTCATTGTTTGCCAGACGGGAATGAATCTTGAAGACTCAGCGTGAGGAACCGCTGTATCTCGAACATTTTATAGATAGAAGGAATTTCAAAGCAATGATGTTCAATGCATGCCTGTTCGAGATCATCAGCTACCTGACTCTCCGTAGCTCAAGGGTGGGCTCAGGCATTGCCCAGCGGAGGGAGGGACATTTTGAGCTTCGCTGTCAGCCATAAAAAAGGTGCTACGATTGGTGTTTGTGCAGGGCACATAGGTGTTTACAGATCAGGGATCTTTCAACTACATCTCAGTGTGGATCTTCCTTCAGTTGTTGGATAGAGAGGGATTTGGGTATCTCTCAAGGATCGGCCTCCCTACCAATCTTGAGAGTATATATATATATGTATGTGTATATATATATATGTATGTGTATATATATATGTGTGTAAATATATGTACGTATATATGTAAATATATGTGTATATATATATATATGTATATGTATGTGTATTATATGTATATATATATATGTATGTATGTATGTATGTATGTATGTATGTATGTATGTATGTATGTATGTATGTATGTATGTATGTATGTATGTATGTATGTATGTATGTGTGTATTATATGTATATATTATACTTACACAGTATATTAACATTAAACTCGCCACCAATAGCTTTTCATAATTGTTTATATAATATGTCCAAATATATATTGGTTTAATATGTCTAAATAGTGGTTCAATATTCGGCTGCGGCCACCCCTGAATAATGTGCAAAATATACCACCCCCCCCCTTTCCCAGCTCCCAGCCCACCTCGTGCGATGATGACATCACCGCGATTCTTCAAGTCTTTCAGGGCTTTTCGCTTCACCTGTACCAGGTGGTGCTCGTCATGGAGGATCATCATCCCAAAAAGATGTTGTTTTAAGGAAACCATCAACCAGTTTTACTATTATCATGGTAATGATATATGGCACGATTAATCACAATATATATTTTATGAATATGATATGTGCAATATCTTATATATTTCATATATTATATATATTATAATATAATATATGTACATATATAATAGTATATATTATATATAATACACATTATGTATTCTGTATTATATATATATATCATATTTCATATATATATTATAATATATATATTATACATAATACAATATATATATGTTAGCCAACCACTCTTGTTGATTTATGAACATATTCCATACCTAGATGTGATGGGTATGTCAACCTGAAGTTTTCAAGCCAAGATCTCCATCCCATCTCTCACCAAACAGCTGTTGCTGTTTGGAAAAAACCACACATGTCGGAATCAACTAAAATGTGGGCCGAAGAGTTCTTTCGAAACAAATAAATGATATTGATTGATGGATTTATGGATTGATTGATTGGTAGATATGTAAATGAATTTAAAGTTGCTACAGAAAAACTGTAGTTGGCACCTGCACAAGTTTTGCTGGCTTCGTGCCAACGTGCCAACATTTGGAATGCACTCCCTGCTTTCAGGCGCCTGGTTCTGCGATCCGGGCCATCCGATCTCACTCCAAGACCTGCCAACAAGATGCCGACCACTGACAAATGATATTAGTAATCATCTATATTAATTAATAATAATCTATATTAATTGATCATCTATATTAGGAATCGGCCCAGTTTGGCCCAGTTTGGCCCAGTTAAAAATGTTCCTATTGGTTGATGGAGATGTTCAACCAGTGCTTCAAAAGGGAACAAACTATATTGGAGATATTACCATCTGGTTATGACTAACATAGCCATGGAAAATCACCATGCTATTAATAGGTAAACCATCTATTTCTATGGGCCATCTATACCATGGCTATGTTAAATAACCAGAGGGTATATTAATGATCATTACTATAGTAATACTGGAAAGTAAGTAATAATAATTGTAATAGTCTTAGTAATAGTGAATAAGTGAATAATCACGGTACTGTGTACCAACACGACCAACATGTTCAAAAAAAAACACAGTTTCAGAAATTCCTTTCTGAAAGAACAGTGTTTCTCTCCACAACAGGTTGATTATTTTGTAAAAGTTAAAAGTACCCTCTGGTAAACTAACATAACTATGGAAAATCACAATTTCTAATTGGTAAATCCACTATAAATGGCCATGTTCAATAGTAAACTGTTAGTTTACCAGGCCGGGTACACCATTCCTCATCTGCACGCCATTTCCGACCTACCACCCCCGTGGTCCCTAGGCCGGCCAGCGGCCTGCCCTCCATGGCCACGTTGCAACAGCCACGGATCTTTTGCCACAGATGGTCGAGCACCTGTTGGAACTCCTGGAACATCGGACATCACCACCGATATATCAGGTACTAAAACCATGGTCGAATCAGTCCGATGAATATCAGGGATTCATGGGGATCTATTGGGGATTTTTGGTGGAAAGCATGAAATGACTGAAATGACATAGAAGATTTGCGGTTGGTTTATGAAAATTTGGTTATATCAGCAACCATTTTATATGGATATTTTATGGGAAATATAATTTATATAATGGTGATACAACCATCAGCTTGAATCAACTTCAACTTGAAGTATCGCCAAACATATTATGGAAAATGTTGGACGAACCAGTGTTTAAAAGTTTAAAACATACCTTATCATGATTGATGATATCAACACACATCAGGGTCCCAGCTAAAATAATTCCTTGAGTCCAAATTTAGGCACTCCGCAGATTCGTCCCGAAACAAGCAGCAACATGCAGCAACATGCAGCAACCATGGCCCGCCACAACCGCAGCAGTGCTCCTGTGGCGGGGTGTTGTTGCAGTGAAGTTCCTCAGTCAGCAAGCAGCCGCCACGGAAACCTGCCATAAATGAGTTGGTACCAACCAAGTTACCCCAAATGATGGGACCTTTCCACAGGGCTTCCATGAGGTTTAAATAAAGGTTCCTTCCCATGAAGCCCTACGTTTGGTATGAAAAGTGCAATGGGAATCAAGAGTTCCGAAAGATAGCATGGAAAAAAACGCGAATTGACCAGGCTCAGAACTTAACCTGGCCCGAAAATTCACGCGGGACACCTCAAAAAGGCGTCTACATTGCCTTTGAAGTGATGCGGCCGACACAACAGGTTGCTGTTTCAGCACTTCACAAAAACTAAGTCAATTGGAATCGTGATACCAGGTGTGGCTAAAAATCAGAAATAGATACCGCGTCTCACCATGCCCACTAAAATCTTCATTGCTGGTTTCATATGACTTCCAGACCCGGCCCTTCTCCATCCGATGTGAGCGAGGTGCAACATAGTCCCGGACTTCCTTCTGCAGTTTCAATCGAACTCCAAAACCTTCAGAGTGCCATGTCAGCCCAGGCACTGCCCAGGCACCTTTGGTATCCTTTGGTCATTCCCAAAGCTATTGGTTGTTGTGACTTCTCTCGTTGATTTAACCAATTCTCGTGTTGATTCCAACAACAAATCCCCAACCAACAATCAACCCACAACAACCCCGCAAAAAATGTACTTTCCGTGTAAGCCTATAGTCCTTATCATCAACCTACAGCAGTCGCCCAGGCATTACTTAAAATGGGGGCAACTGCACCACTTGCATCAGGGTTTTTTGAGATATCTTCCATTGTCTTTCTACATCAGACATCCCTTGTGCCGGGCGGTGGCAACAGCGACCATAGATCTATACTACACATGTTTACCAATACCATGGTCAGCATCTCCATTTTCAGCTTTCAGCATGCCAACTTTTACTTGATAGTCATACACTTTCGCAAATGTGGTAACTGGTAGAGTTCTGCAAATGTCAACAAATCTCCACATAGAGGTTTCTTGAACTGGCGGGACCCCCAAAATCATCCAAGTTGTTGTTTCTTACCCATGGGAAAACCAATGGTCTGGTAAACATACAAAAAACTATGGAAAATCACCATTTTCAATGGGTAAATCCACTATAAATGGCCATTTTCCACAGTTATGTTAGTTTACCAGAGGGTACCCATATTTTAGGAAACCTCCACCAATCGTCGATGGGACCATGCCGGGCGCCCCGGCAGTTGCGCTTCTCCGCATCCCCCTTGCGCGATGCCGCGCCGCGGGAGGGCGACAGCAAGAGGCGACCACTGGGCTCCATGGATAGCATCATCTCCACCTGGTGCAATATGGAGATATCTATTGACAATGGGAAGGTACCCGGGACAACATTGGTGTTGGAGAATATAATGATAGGTAGAATGATACTGAAGATGTAATTGGCGATACATTGTATGTAATGTAATAGGCAAGCAATAGATGAGATTGTTTGTATGGCATGATTATGCATTCTTAACTGTGAGAATCAATGGGTAAATCAATGGGTAAATCAATGGATATGAAACGGATACTCCACGGATAATGGTTCATATTGTTTTTCCCTTATCAATTGATATTTCCATTGGTCAATAATAGGGAATATTGATTTGTTACGAACAAAGATGAAAAATGATGGGGAGCTAACCGCTATCTGACCATTAACAATTGGGACTTAATCCATTTCAACTGGTAATATGAGTGTGTCTGAAAATAGATAGGGTCCCCCAGGTTTCATCGCTAATCATCATTTCTCATATCGCCGTGTTGGAGGTATCCACTGTTGACAGACCCGTTTTTCTTGGGATCATACTGGGTGTTTTCAATGGGTGTGTCACCAACCGAGTCACCAACCAGCAATAGGGCCATAGGGCCATAGGGCCATCAAGAATGGGATTAGAATGGAGATTGTGGGAGATTTAACTAACAAACGGGGTTCAAGACAAAAAAATAATATACCGTTCACTGTTCACGTGCACATAATAGAAATAGTAAAACTACACCACCGTAGACCCCAAACAGTGGGTGGATTCAAGAAGTGATGGTCAAACACATGAAATAGCAGCGACAGGAATGGTGAAAATGTCTGCAATAAGTGCCGGAGACCACTTTATATATACTATATGTTTATTTTGTTCGGCTTCGCTTGCTTTGTTGCAACGCTAGATGCCAAAAACCGATGAAGGAAACTTCGATGGGGGTGCAACTATTTGGATCCAAACGCTCGAATCAAGCAGCATAGGACTGTCAAATGGGATGTGTTGAAAGCATCGAAGGATGAAAGTGAAAGATGACATCATTCTCAATCCCGGAGCTCTGTGCACTTTAGAGTCTGCGCAATTCTCGGCGTGCGATAATTTTAGCTGGGAGACTTAGGCCTCGGGAAGACGGACATACCATCCAACAAAGAGAAACAAGAAGGAAGACAAGCTGGAAGACAAGCTGGGAGACAAGCTGGAAGACAAGCTGGAAGACAAGCTGGAAGACAAGGGAGACAAGACCCGACCTCGGGAAGGTGAGCACACCATCCAACAAAGGGAAACAAGAAGAAAACAAACTGGTACACAAGCTGGGAGACAAGGGAAACAAGGACAATGGGAGACAAGGGGAGACAAGGGGAGACAAGCGGACACACCATCCAACATCAAGGCGGACACCTTAAGAAAGCATTAAGAACCCCTAACAGTACACTGTTTGGGGAAAAAAGAGATTAGATTTGGTATGATTTTGTTTTTTGAATTTGGGGGAAACACCTATTCCATTCATTGGGGTTAATCTGTCTTTTACCCATTGAAACGGCCTGAAATGGGGGTAAGCCCTTGTTTCAAACGAATCCGTGTCCGTGTCCGTGTGGGAATAGTGCAGTATGTGCAAGCGGAGTATACCACATGCTACGGTAGTCCATCAACCATCGTCATACCTCTAGGTTTCATCGTCTGGTTTCCCCATGTACACAACCACCAGCAGCAAGTTGATATGTCACGAATTGCCCCTTTGGGGAAGCCAAGCGCCTTCTTCTCTTTCCTTGGCATCACAGAAATCTCACAGGCTTGCAAATTCTGTATTCAATGGATTCGTTTACGGGAAAATCTACAGGAAACCATGGTTTTCCCCATGAAATATAGGGTTCCTGTAAATGTTCCCTTAAACCAGTCCATTGAGTAATGGGCCGGTGAGAATATTTCAACATAGGGCACTGGGATGCATAATGTTGTAAGACATGGGCCATACCTCAGCTATGTTTGGAATAGTTTCTGCTATCTCGTATCCATATGAATCAAGCCTAAAAAAATGTGGTGATGGCCAACCATCCCCATCAAAGAAGGCACTCCTGTTTTTTAGTGCGGCGCATACACTGTGCCAGGTGCTCCCTTTGGCCAATGCTCTGCTGCAAAGACTGCACGCACTGCGCGTGATGCCCGTGTCCAACGAGCTGCAGCAGAGAGCCGCTTGAAGTGAACTTCTAGTTCGTTTCAACAACTACATTGGGTTTTTGGGCCTGTAGTTTCTGGACACTGACAAGAATGCCTTCAAAAGTCTCAGTAGTGCCCTCGCTAACACTCTGCACCAAGTCCATATGTGTACTCAGCCACGTAAGTTCCCGATGTGAGATCATTTGGCTGGCATACATGACTTGAATTTGATCTCTGGCTGTGGCAGCTTGTCGCAGATTCCTGAAGAGTCTGCCGTTAATTTGGGCCCCATGCTGAATTGGGCCTCCTTGTTGCACTTCTCTGCCCAAGTTACTAACCTGTCTCCTGGCAACTTCCAGAGCTTGCTCAGTTTTTTGCAGGGTTGCTTGGTCACAGCTCTGCGCAAACTGAACTATGGAATTCATCACGGAAACAGTACACAGCAAAACTCCCATCCAACTTTGTTCCTGAGAGGCTTCAATCAAACCATGGATTGCTTGGGCTGCGTTCATTGTATGAGCAACGGCAGATGCAACTTGACTTCCATTCTGCACTAGTCCAAGAGAGATTGTATTGGCACAACTCCTGAAAAATTCCCCTGGTCTATCTTCTATGGCCGCCATGGCTCCCGTGTAGACACTGCCAGTAACTCCCGCATATAGGGCCAAGGGAGGACAAACTAGGGCACCCACAGTCGCAAGCCCGGTTGCACCGCGACGCAAGATGCCATGAACTCGACGATCGCAGGGCCTGTAGATTCGGCATCTCTTGTTGCACTGCTGACACCAGACCACGCGCCCTTCGTAGTACAAGTCATGGCGATGTCCCGGATGAGCATTTCGGGTTCTGCACTCTGGCCATGGGCAATCGAACACCAGGGGCATGTGGTCGGTATTGCTGAAGTCATCGAATGCAGTGCATTTGACAGGTGCCTCAGGCTTCTGTGCCCACAAGATTGCAGTTGCAAGAGCGGCGGATGCCCAAACACCTATTCGAGACAGATCATGCAAGCCCTGCTCTGTCGAGAATGTAGGGTCCGTGGTCAAGCGAAGGTGGCCGTCAGCATCAGCAAGACCTCTTGCGCTGGAATTTGGCCATGCAGCACAGCACTTGTGGCTGTGACCACTCAAGCATCTCAACATTGAGGAACGAGCACGGCATCTGGAAAGCAAACTCATTGTGTAGTACTACCAGTACAGGCACAGGCTCCTGACCCAAAGGTCCAACTCTTTGCTTGATCCGCAGCAGCAGGAATAAGCAACATGAGTGACTCTGATGCACTTGCTACAACCGGATCATTCTCCAAGCTGAAAAACTTGCACTTCAGTCCTTCCTAGTCACCCCACAAAACATCCCCAAAGGACGATCCCTATGGGCAAATACCCAAGTAACTTGACCATGATCCCACAGCAGGAGCCAAGGATCTCTCCAGACTCACCAGCGGTGAATTTCAAGCGCCACTCGCCATTCATCATCTGCCGCAGGTGGCTCGATGCGTCCGCATCCTTCCGTTGCAGCGAGGGTTCGTGGTAGCCTTCCGGTGCCACTACACCTTGCGCCGGCTGCGCCATGGTGAAGGGGAAGAGGAAATCCCTGGCTGAAAACACGAAGCATACTGAATTAGTGGAATGGTTGGAATTTTGAACCTCTGGATCTTGAAGCTCTGGGGTCCAAAGCGGCTCCAACATTGCCCATTAGTTTTGGATATTGACCATGTCGTTCAACAAAACTCGGCCAAGCCTTCTAAACTTGTGACAGGACTCTGGCTAGGTCTCTAAAAACCTGTATCTAACATTATATAACTACAATGTCAACCAATGATTATAACAGAAACCCTGAGGGATAAAAAAAAGAGACGGAACCCTCTTATCAAGTGATGTGATATAGTCAATCCTTGGTTGAAGATTAGCATCCCAACACCGCCCTCGGCACCGCCACGCCAGACGAAGACGGAGGAGGTGCCCCCGGTGGCCGTCTCTTCTTCGCTTTCCATCTCTCCACGAGGCAGGTCCAAGAGGAGCATCCGGTCGGCCTCCGAGGACTGGACGAGGGTGGCTTTTACCCTCTGGGTATGACGAACGGTTTGCCATAGAAAATCACCATGCTACTAATAGGTAAACCATTGATTTCTATGGGCAAGTTTCCATGGCTATGTTAAATAACCAAATGGAAATATGTTTAATCAGGACATGGATTATCAGCTGAATGGGGGATTTTTCATGGGATGTAATGAGATATCTAAAAACCAACATTGTCTGGTTGGTGGTTTCAATCCCTCTGAAAAATATTTGTCAGTTGGGGCTACTATTCCCAATATATGGAAAGTCATAAAATTCATGTTCCAAACCACCAACCAGTTGTGTGTGTCTGAAAATGGAGTCTTGTATGGTACAGTCCACAAAAAAGGTCATGGAATTGGGGACAATTTTCGGACACACCGGTGGATTTAGGATGATTTGGAGTACGGTTATTTTTAGACAAACCGCTAACATCCAAGGCACAGCCAACAATCTGGGCCACTGCTCGACTTGTTAGCTATCGAATCAGTGCCACTCTTAGCTGGTGAACGTAGACAATGCAATTGATACCAAAAGACTAAAGGATTAGTTTGCACTCGAAATGGTTAATGTTAATGGCGTTTTATCCAAATTTAGAAACGATCCCAAGGGTGTCTTCAACAGCCCAATTCATGGTTCGCCCCCAGTCACCTTGGAAGGCAGCATGGGTGTGCGGAACCACAGCGTCAGCGAGTACCTGATTGGTGCTTTCACGGTTTTTTCTCTCAGGTGACTGGGACATCATCTGTGGTTTGACATTGACCAATTTAGATGATGTTTTGTACTGGGATGAGATTCATACATTTGAATTATTTGACCATACTGGAGCCATTTTGGGATGGCTACCCCTCATCAGATATACCTGGAAATCAACGCAGAAAGCCTCAAAACAAGGGGCTCTGAAAAATGATTGTCCTAATGAAAATTGATTTATATAAGTGTATTTATCGTTGGGTCCTGTGTTCAATGTTTTGGGGAAGAGCAGCCGAATTGGATCTCAACCCCCTGGATTTGGCCCTATCATTTTTTAGCACCAATATGTCTGAAGAACCACCAACAGGGTTGTTTTATCCATCAAATTATGATTTGCAATCACCGAACATTCAAATATCTAGCAGAAAATTTGTTTGCCCTACCACAAAATATGATTTCACATGATTTCACCAACCAAAAACCATGGATGTTGCCTGCCTTTTGCCAAAACTGAGTCCTCAGAATGATCAGAATGGTTGGGTTGATACCAGTACACCAACAAAGACCTGCCTTTTGTTGATCCAAAGGGGTATGTTCCCCATCTGCCACCACCCGACTTGGTTTCAAACCCAAAAATGTGCCAAAGTCAGGTGGCATCATCCCATGTCTAGAAACAAAATATGTCAAACCACCCACCAGATATCCATAGGTCTGTGGAGCTTAGATTATGTCACCATCTTGAACAGTTTGGCCATTTTGGGGCCCAGAAATGCCAATCCTAATCCAATTTCCATCATTCCATCTGCCAGGCCACTTCGAAAAAGATGTTCTTAAAATTATTCACCATCAATCCATGGGTAACATTCCCATCTGCAGTCCAAGCCACTTGTTGATATAATGATATATCATGATCACCATGGATGCCACCATCAATTCCAACACCCTAATCCAATTCCCATGAATTCACCATCAATCCACTGATTGCATATCCCCATTGGCTCCCCGTTGGGAAAATCCTCCCATCGTCCAGGCCACTTGTTGATGCGTCGATCCGAATTTCCATTGGGTGCCAACTGGATGCGCTGCACCGCCAGCCCTGCGCGCTGGTCGAAGAGCAGGAAGTTTTTGCCTAGCGCTTCGCGGCGATGCTGTCGTCACGTGGAGAATCCAAAAAAGCTTAGAAAAGACTGGTGAGAATGAGGTCCAACCATCTAATAGATTCTCATAAAAAGGAAATCTGAGCATCAACAAGTATCAAACAGGTGAGTTTGTCTCCATCAGAAATGGGGATCGAACTGCTTATACGCTCAAGTAGTCTAGCCTCGCACTGAAGAATAACCTGTTCAGTGCCTGCAATCATCTACAAGCTGTTTCTTTTTTACATCACCATCTGATTCCTGCAGAGTATATTCATCCTGGGTGTGATCGTGAAGAGGAACCCGTTGAAACAAGTAAAACCATGGTTTGAGTGCTCTCCGAGTTGGATTTGTGCTTGTATCATATCTATATATATATAGTACTATATGTTTATATCTATCTAGCTATCTTACATTGCTGTACGTTGATATATATATATATGCTACATATACTTACATACATATCATATTACATTATATTACGTATTTTTTTCTACCGAGTTAGCCACATGTTTTGCAATACTATGCAATTTCATAGCCTACAAAAAAGCTTTTAGAACCCTACATAAAGCCCTAAGTCGTGTTGAGTGACGCATATAGTTTTTATAGTTTCACTATAGTTTTATGTGGGTAAAACAATGCCATAAACCATCCCCCAGTCATCACCATTTTTATAGGGGCTATATATATACCATTCCCAGTCATGTATGGTTTAAATCATTAGCATCCCATGAAGACGATAGTTATATCCTCTTTCTTGGTTTATAAAGAGAGCGGGCTGTTTGTAAACCCATTAACCCATTATAGAGGATTTTCAATTAGCATGTTTGATTACCAAAGGGCGTACCCATTTCCAAACCCATTATAAATCCAGTATAAACCATTTAGTAAACCCATTATTTGTGACCGTACTTATATCCTCTGTTTCTTGGTGTTATAAACACATTACCCACCAGTAAATTAATATAGACCCTGGTAGATAGGGCTTAGAAGAGTAGTTTCCACAAAAAAAATGTTATTTTATGTTATTTTCAGGGTCCAACTGGTTATTTACCAGAGGGTAACCCATCTGGCTGGCGGTTGAGCCACCCCTCTGAAAAATATGAGTAAGTCAGTTGGGATGATGACATTCCCAATATATGGAAAGTCATAAAATTCCATGGTTCCAAACCACCAACCAGATATATTGTTATTCCAATTTGTAACCATTATTAACCATAGATTAACCAGGAAAATTCCATGGTTCCAAACCACCAACCAGCCCATTCTTTTACCCACATCCCATCCGAGCCGACCCGTCTTTGGACCTCCTTTCGTGCCCCAGGACTCAGGGATCAAATCCACCACACCCAGGGCAAAGGTGTCCTTGGGCCTCGCCACGAAAAACGGCCCTTACTAAAGTCATGGGGAATTCAGAAGGATACGGTGGAAAATATGGTGATTGAATGATGTTTTAATGGGAGTTCGGTGGATTTTAAAGTGTTTTAATCAGATTTCATGGTGTTTTCTGCGGTTGAGTGGGAAGAATCATGGGAAATACTAATGGGATAATGAAGTAAATATCATCTTTTAATATCTACAATATCCTGGAAATGTTGTTCTATCTTTTTGGGGGTTGTGCCCATTCATGGAAGGTCCCCGCACACCGGGGTTCATCGGTTATTTGTTGGCCGATCCTAACTCCATAGCTACCCGTACATACCCTGAAAGTGCATGAAAGTGCACTTTTTGCCGGCGATCATATTATGAATCGATTCTTTTAGGCACTTTTTTCAATCCATTGTTCTTTTCATTTTTTTTCAAACAAATTTCACATGGAGACTTCCCGAAATGGGAGTACCATGGAGTACCATATCCAACCCCAAATCATCCTGTCGTCATGACCAGGTTTTGAAACCTATGCCCACTTGGGGATCACCTGCAGCTGCCAAGCCACAACAGCTGTCCTCTGAAGTCCCACTCGCCGAAGCCTGCGGCACAGCGACACTGCGACACTGATGGCTCCGGTGTCAACGAGGTCATAGGGAACAAAGCCATCTGGGTCATTACCATTTGGTCATATGGCAGTGTGTCAAAACCTTGTACCCCTGGTGAACATCAAAATAGCTGGTAAATGGATGTTCATCCCACTAAAAATGGTATTAATAGGTATTGATCCATATAGCCATATTAGGTAATATAATATGCCCAAATATTACATGGTAATGTTACCACATGGCGAAAGTATAGGGAACATACCGAAATTTGGTCATATTTGGTCAGCGATTCCCCCGAACCTACCCCAGTTGGTATAGCCCATTTTCAAACAAAGCCAGATGTCATTGATGGATCTTGAGCACATGCAAACGTAAGTCCACTGTAAGAGGCTCAATGAACACGGAAAATGAAAACTCTACATCCCGACGACAGTTGGGGCATTTCCTGCCACCAGTCTGTGCAAAAACATCCCAACAGGCTGAGCACGCACAAACATGACCACAAGGAACAAACGCCTGGGATGGTTTAGCATCCCGGCATATCACACACTGGGCCTCTGTGCCCTCTCTGGCCTCGGTGAATTTCCGCTTCAAATGGGCAGTCTCCTGCACCAAAATGTCATTCACTTCTAGCTGCTCTCGGATCAGCTGCTGGGAGTTTTGTTCCATGACCTTTGCTTCCTCGAGCTTCTGGTTGGCCTACATTTCTCGGATGGCCGCTTCTTTCTCTAAGCGTATTTTCAGGGAGATGGTCTCTTGCTTAAGCAGACGAGCCTCCTTGGCATCAGCACCAAGGCGAACTGCCTCGAAATGTGACTCCAATTTGACCTGCTGATCCTCTTTCGAGAGGTACCGAATTTCGTCTCTTTTGAAGCTGCACTTTTCGGGGGCAGTTGCGGCAACGAATCACAAACGGCACCAAGTTCATGCGAGCAGCTGCGGAAAGGAATGCCTGCCGGGCCTCGTCGTACGCTGCTGACTTTTTGGCGTTGATTCGCGCCTTCTTCTTCTGTGGACTCGGGGTGCCATTACAATTCGGCACATGCTTCACAGTGTCGGCTGCATAGCCAACCGCGTTGCACTGTGGACACGCTTGGAAGGTCTCACCTCTGCACACCATGGCATTGCAGCGACGGGTATGGCAGTTGCAACAGAAATTATTGATGGATCTTCTGGAGCCTTGGTCCTCCGAGGTCTACGTATGACATGCTATGACACTGATAGAAACACTATCATATGGGTCCGTCTGAAATAGTGTATACCGCCAATATGGTACTTTCAGTAGGGGAAAAGGATGATTAGCCCATGGATTTAGGTGTACCCTATTTTCAGACAAACCCATATCAGTGGTGAGGGGTGACATGGTTCATCTGTCACGCGCCATCTTTTTCTGCGGGAATCATTCGATCATCTTCGATGGGTAGAGCCACAGGGAGGTATCCCAAAAATTAGATGTTTGACGCCAAAAAATAGTCTAATAATCACCACTTCTCTCCCACTTTAACCCATAAATACCCATAAACTTCCACTTCTCCATCTCCCACCCAGTGGTTTCAGCCGTTTTTTTCTCGCCCGGTCGGGCTGTCGGAAGGGGGAACCTAGCCACCGCCCGGTGGTCGCGTTGGCTAACCTCTCGCAATCCGCGGTGAAAGCTGCCAGACGCGCTTAAAGACTGGGCGGGGCGACATAGGTAGGGGATGGTATGGGGATGGAAATCCCCGCCTCAAAACGAGGCCTTTACAAGATGAATGAATTAAATTCGGCAATTCTTGACTTGTTGCAAAGTCTGGAAGTTGCCGTCAAGATACCGCAGATAGCCCCAAGAATGAGCTGAGCCACGAGTATCAAAACTTGCACTAGACAGTATTTGGAAGTTAGGCCTGTACTCGTGAGAACACCAGGACCTTGAAAAAAAACACGAACGGAATCCAGACGTGTTAGGAGCGCTGGGTGCTGTTGTGGAGAATTGCCTACTGGCAACGTCGGCATTGCAGAAATTCTCATTCTTCTTTCTCCATCCTTCTCCCGCAAAAGCCCCCAGGCACTTTACGTACTTCAAACCGACAGCTGGGATGGGACACAACGGACTATATGTCAGAGCTGTTTTGAGCTTTTCTGGGTTTTTTTGCTTTTTTTTTCGCCATGACCATCGGAAAATCGCATGTTCATTTCGATCCACTGGCTGTCGGGGCATGCAATGGAAGTGCAGACTTGTACTATCCGACAACGTCCGCGACAAAAATTTGGGGAAATCACATGGCCGGTCCATTGGTAGGGTTGACCATGCTGGGAACCGCCATTCTGCGGACCCACTTTGCAGGAAGGGAAAGGTATTTTTTTCGTGGCCCATCTCAGGCTGAATGCTCCGAGCGAGGGCAGGGAATCTCGAATGGTTGCTGGTTTCACCCTACCCTCTGGTTATGTCAAAATAGCTATTGAAAATGGCCCATTGAAATAGTGGATTTACCCATGAAAAATGGTGATTTTCCATAGTTACGTTAGTTTACCAGAGGGTAATTAAAAAAACTGAAAGTGGATTGGCCCTCATGTTCTCAGGAGAAAAATGTTGAAACCATTTGAAACCACCAACCAGTCTTGTACTGATTCTGTTGTACCACTGATCCCCATAGTTTTGGGTTCCCAAATATCAAAGGCGCACGAAAGTGCAGCGAAAAAAGGCCTATGCGGATGCTGCCTCCCGACGGGTCATAGAGGAACACTGCTGGTACAATTTGGGGATCGATTTCCTTGGAGGTCAGCTGGAAGTCTGTCATTCCACGAAATACATCGAAAGGATGGTTACTAGGGGTTCCCAGTTCATGGATTATGATATAAATTATGATAGTGCATGACAGTCCCGATGAAATCTCCAATATATGAAGCTATATCCATAGATTGTACGTATATTATGTGATAGTATAACGAGAATCATCAACCAACAGAGGTTTGGCAGACCGCCCTTGGAGGGTGGTCATTTGCATGGCATGGTGACCACGGCAAAATGCGATCCGTCAGGCAATGATGAGCCAAACAACGACTGGGGTTTGAGAAACTCTAGTTTAGACATGTTGACATGTCATTTTTTCACTAAATTATACATGTAATGCTAAATGTAATTATCAGTGTTTTTTCCTACTGAACTATCCAATTTCATAGGGCCAACCTAAAACATGTTGGTGCCACACCACCATAAGCTGTTTCTTCTGAACAAGGAGTTTCCCAAACTACTGTTGGTCTGACAAATGTATGGGTGCTGTTTGAGTCCGGGGACTTGGGAAGCGTGGCGACAAAAGACCGCTTATGTTTTTCATGTGATACACCCAATCCCTATGATTTTCTTTTGTGCAAATGGGTTGGTCTAAAGATGGTGTATAGATGGGTACGGCATGAATGGCCATGTTAGTGGGAAAAATGATGATCAAAAATCAACCGTTCTATTTTGGATACTTCCCAAAATTTTCATACAAACCCCCGATCACTCCCAATCATCTCAATCAACTGGCCAGAAAATCATCAGTGTTCCTAAGTCATGGGGGTTAGCCCCAATCATCATCCAGTCGTCATGGATGACAACTTAACCCATGGTGACGCCGAGCATCACGACCAGGCGCCCATAGCGCGAAGCCCACAACTTGTTGACCTTCTGCGACAGCAGCCCAATGGCACGCTCAGACTCCTGTTCGCATAGGCATCAATTCCTGGTGGCATTCCTGGTGAATATCCACAACAAAGAGCCATTGATGGTCGGCTTGGTTTTGTTTCATGACTGTTGAACTTGGATGTGGCTGTCAATCGAGAAGCAACAGTGTTTTCGAAGCCTCCCCAAGGTGACATAGCAGGAAACGCACTTCTTCCATGCCGGGAAAACACTAAATCCTGGTGACTGTTCCTGAAGTGCCGTCCGTTTATTCCCTAGTGGGTTCTCATAGCTGAAAGCCGTTTTGGAAGGACACAATCCTTTTCACTGTATGTATGTATATATATATATATTATATATATAATTATATATACATATACAACACCAGGACAAAAGTTTTTCCTCTAGACTAGCTGCTGCAACCCTCTCCCCTTAGACTCCTGACAGGTCTCATATGAATCACATGGCGGATCGCGGATCAGCTGGTTTGCTTTTAAAAAAATGTTTTTTTTCCGACTTGAAATACGATCCGCCACGCAGGCTACGCGAAATGAAGATAATTGATCCGCGGCTGAGGATCATGATGTTTATAAGACGCTAAACGGGAAAAACTTTCTTCCTCCTGATGAGCATTTTCCACTAAACAAAGTTGTTTTTTGATGAACATTTTCAACTAGAAAGAGTTGTGTCCTCATGAGCATGTTCAGCCTCACACAGTGCTTCAACGTGTCGTGCTCTACATTGACCTGCATGCGCGCGATTTCTTCTCTTCTAGGCAATGCCGCAGGTGTAAAATAACGCCGAGCGTGTTCCACTAAACAAATCTGCTTTTTGATGAATATTTTCAACTAGAAAGAGTTGTGTCCTCATGAGCATGTTCAGCCTCACACAGTGTTTCAACATGTCTTGCTCTACATTGACCTGCATGCGCGCGATTTCAGTTCTTCTCTTCTAGGCAATGCCGCAGGTGTAAAATCACGCAACACCAGGACAAAAGTTTTTCCTCTTGACTAGCTGCTGCAACCCTCTCCCCTTAGACTCCTGACAGGTCTCATATGAATCACATGGCGGATCGCGGATCAGCTGGTTTGCTTTTAAAAAAATGTTTTTTTTTTCCGACTTGAAATACGATCCGCCACGCAGGCCACGCGAAATGAAGATAATTGATCCGCGGCTGAGGATCATGATGTTTATAAGACGCTAAACGGGAAAAAACATTCTTCCTCCTGATGTGTATATATATATATGTATATATATATATATCTAGTTTGTAGATCCTATTCCAAAGTGGTTTCAAGCACAAAGGACCAGGAACTATTGCCAAATAGGTTTCCAAACTGCGGTCAAATTGTGCTGTTACTCCTTGCAAATCCCTCAGATGTTCACCGTGCCAAAAGTTTCCCATGGTTTTCCTTCCCTCTTTGTGGCTATCAGATATTTCAGATGTTCAAAACCCTTCAATATCGATACCATATATAGTGTTGGAATTAGAGTTTAAAGCCCATAATATCTCCATATGTTGTGCGGCTAATTCACCCATTCATTTCCATGATGAAAAATTGTGTTCAATCTTATCAAATCCCACCACTACGTTTCCCTACCATATGCTTACTTTCATCCCATGTTTCTGGTACTAAAATCACCAGATCTGGGAAATATTTTTTGGTACTTCAAGAACCTGAAAGGTCTAATTACCAGTCGGGTGTAGTTAACCTAACCATCAGTTGTGCCACTATGGATAATGAAAACCTACCATCGTATATGACTCTATGACTATACACATCTATCCCTATGATGTCCCTATGATGCTCAGGTTCATCCAATAATATACCATTTATACATATATATATACACACACATTTGTCAAACATATACTACTATAATTTACTATAATGACCTATCAACAATACGACCATGAACATGGACACTACTATGACATAGTAGTCTAATATCAGGTAGAATACTATTTTAACTATGATGGGTTAACTCCATACTTGATGAAAATTGATAAAATAGTGTGAATATTGTGATGCTTACCCATCCGATCTAATACTTCTGTACTGATAGTACCTGACAGCTACGACAAAATACTTGCCGTATCTTACCTTAGTATGATTAATATTTATATATATGTATATATTATTATTAGTATTATTATTATTATTTAGTATTTATTATTATTTTATTATTATATATATAGTATACATATTATATTATACATATTTATTATGATATTACACATATATTAATATCAGTAACCATACACTACTAACCATCTCCGATCTCCTCCTGCGGCAACAGCTGCATGGCCGTGATCACTGTCTGATGACTGTGACGTCCCTTGGCCATCTGAGGCAGCTGCTGCACCAAGGACTGGGCCAACTGCACCTGGCCGTGAGGACACCGGAGAACGTGCTTCGGTTGGAGATAAACCAAGAAAAAAATGAAAATTCATGGTGTTTTAATGGTGGCTTGATGGGATTTAATGGGATTTAATGGGATTTAATGGGATTTAGTTGTGTTTTAATGGGATTCCATGGTGTTAATGAGAATTCATGATGTTTTAATGGGATTTGATGATGTTATATGGTTTGATAGGGATAAGCATGGGGTAAGGATAATAATAGGATATGAATGTGTTTATTTCCGGTAATCAAGTGTTGCTGTTTGGCAATTCCCCAACTAAATGGAGGTTTATAGCTGGGAGAATCGTCTATACATGGCAGAATTTCCATTGCTATGTTTGATTACCCGAGGATAAACATGATCAAAGCAACCTTTTCATGGGATATGAATGACAATTTATAATCAATTAATAGCATAGATGATCTATGAACCAATGAATGAGGATACAGATGGGGTTTACTCAACCGGTTCAAAAGGTGGCAGATAACTAGCTGCAAATGGTATGAAACGGCATATTTTGTTAAGATGTAACATGTACCCTCTGGTAATTTAACATAGCTATTGAAAATGGCCATTTATAGTGGATTTACCCATGAAAAATGGTGATTTTCCATAGTTATGTAAACGTTTACCAGAGGGTAACTACCCGTGGACCACATTGTTTCAATGTTGGGAAAACTTGGAGGATCATCCCACGGTCCCACTGGTTGATAAATCAGTTTCCGAGGGATGAGTTTTTCCTACGTACCATTGTAGTAATATGGATGATTAGGTGAACCTGATGAATATTACTAGGTTAACCATGATTCATTCGAAAAAATTGTACTTTCATTATCCTAATCAGGTTACGTAGTAATATTAATATCTCCAATTGATCAGGTGATGTACAATTCTAAAAGTATCTAACTTTCCATAGTTTCACTGTTCATAGGAATGTAAGACCAAATATCTGTATCCAGTTGTATCCCATGTTCCCAGGTATCCTTGGTAAATCCTCAAACATAATTACCAGTATCTATACTTATACAATGATATCCTAAATATAGCCCCATTTGCCAAGTATTCCCATCATAGTAAAGTGGGTACTAAATGGATTCCCATTTTATGATTGGTAAATTCCTAAGTATATATATATACATATATATATATATGACAGGTTCCCCACAGAAAAAACAGAAGTATTCCCCTGGTCCAACCTGCTGTGGCGCATGCTGAAGCGCTTTCTGCAAGACCTGCGTGGCATGTTCGTCGTTGCACAGCTGGCAGCTCGCCAGCAGGACATTGCACAGCTTTCTTCGCTGCGTTTCGGTGCCAAAGTCGAAGATCTGCTGCCTTTTTGCTGCAGGCTGGGGGGTATGCATCAACACGACTTGGGATGAGTTTGGGATCTACCAAATGGAGCCGATATTAAAGTTTGAAGTTACATGGGGGCGCAAGATACAAATGGGTCTACACAACTTAAGCCATGATGTGTATATATATATAACATATTGAAACATCTTTTTTCGGCGGAAAGCCAAGGTACTTGTTCATGCCCTATACCGAGAAAACAAGCAATATATCCAAGCATATCATATTGACAGCTTTTGTTGCAAGTAGAAACTGAGTCTTGAATGAGTCTGATCCACGGCGCCATTCTGTGCTGATGGGATTCAGAATTTTTCAATATGAATGTCTTGTCTTTCATCTTCTTTGTGGGTACAATAGGACGGCGCCTGAAGTTAGTACATGGTTTTTACGTCTGAAAGTTGGCTACATTATAATATATCCATATATATCCAATAAACACATATAAAATCATATAAACGCACATTTATCGGAGCAAATTACTGCACTTCCCCACCTGTCTTACGGTGGGGTTGTCGCCAGGTCGGTCGCCATTTCGTCTGGATGCAGCTGTGGATGTGTCCCTTCTGCGGCAACAAAGTAGGGTCAATGGCAACAAAGAGGCAAACATCAGGAAGCCCCGGAGTCACCATGATGATGATGATGATGATGATGATGATTGTTATCATCACAAACTTTGCTTTAAATAGTTTTCTTCCCCAAGAAATTGGCATCCCCCACTTCTATCCCAGGTGCATCACGTAGGTCGCGTAGCTGTGGCAGACTAAGGTCGAGGCCTGAAATATCACCGAAAAATCGCTCTGATTCTGCATGTGTTTTTCCTTAAAAAAATAGGTCTAGGATATTGATGTACAGATTTCTGGGTTCTCTTTCTCATCATTTGCTGGTATCCCATTTTGCATCCGACTGAAAGTAGCTGCGTGAAAAGCCCAACCAAAAATGTTCATATTTGGGATGTTCAGCAGGAGTAAGCAGGTACCACAAACAGTTAAGGTATGATATGTTATGATTACTGTATATATTATTATACCATGTTATAACACATTACAGTATAACCCGCGTGGCCGTTGGTCTCAAAAATCCAAACGCCCCCCATTTTTTGTCATAGCATCGGATTCAAGAACGACTGAGCTCCAACTTGACTAACCATCAACCAACACATTGTTTCAAGCAAACCATAGCCATATTACCTGCTTTACGGTTAAAAAATCCCAATGCATCTAAGCCCCACTGCTAACCAAGTTTTTATGGATTGCTTAAATTCCAGTTGTCCATCCCCATTTTCAGCTGTTAGACTCCATGTGTTCATACCATCCTTTTTTTTGAGGGTCCCTATAGGTTCCTCATGATCGCTGGATCCACACTGGTTCTTCAAATCTCCCAAAAAAGGGTGTATCAATGGATTGGTTTAGGGGAAAATCGACCGGAAAGCCCCATAGAAAAATGGGAAATTCTATGGTTTCCTGTAAATTTTCCCTTAGACCAATCCAATGAGTGTACTCCCTCAGAACCTCGTTCAGCAGCATGTGGACGATGCCCTCCATCTGTTCCGCCTGGCAGTTCTCGAAGAGTCGCTGAAGGATGCGGCAGCCGTACCTGGGAGGCCCCTTGGGGATGGTGGTTGCTTCACCCTCAAAGGGTGCTGGATGTAACAAAAACCGGGTGGGTTGCCAGTGAAAATTAGATCAACTATGATACAATGAGGGATTTCACATGATTTCAAGAGACAACCATGGAGATTTCACCAAGATAAGGCCTGGTGAAATCTCGAAAACTTTGGATTTAAGCCACAAGGATGCTTTCGCCATGCATGTCTTCTTGGGAATTCAACATCATAGGAGATGCTTGAAATCTCGCAGGGCGTGCCTTCCTTTTCACGATTGGGTTACCCATTAAAAAAACTCGATCGTCACCTGCATGATGTACATGGGAACAAGTGCAAGCTGGATAATGACACAATATTTGCATCCTAAACAATGGTTCTCACAATGTTTCACAACCACCCAGCAAGATTTAATCCTCCCTCTGCCAGTAAGGGTATATCAAAAAAATCCCTCTGGTAATCAAACAAATCAACATATTAAAAAGGAAAATCACGGAAATTTATCTATATATGTGTAAATGACCGTATGTGGTATATTCACGCATCATCCATGATCCTTTTTCTACAAATCTGTGTTAATTTACCCCGGGGTACAAGATGATGGATTTTCCACCGCTGTTTTCCAAGTTGCTGATGGCGTGCCAGGTCGCACACCTCTTCTGGGTCCTGAAATTGACCATCTTTGTCTGAAAATTGTGGGATTCCTCCGGGAAAAAACGAGGTGTTAAACCATGGAAATTTGAGGGGTACCAGGGGTATTTCCACACAATCCCAATTACAGGAGAACCTCGGTGCCGATTCAGGCCACTTCCAATTTTGAGCAATGTTTGATGGTTGTGGATTCGATGGCTCATTTGCAAACCCAATCCTTTCAGGAGTACGGGGCCCCACTGTTGTAGCTAGCTGACCTTTTGTTAGCCAACCAAGCCATGGGGTTTCCCTGATTTTAACCTGAAGATCACCATATCATCGCAGATTTAATGGTATCGCAACTATTTGGTGCATCTTTCCTCACTATACACCCAAAGAATATTAGCTCGGTGAGCGTCGCTTCGAAATCCGCTCTGTATACACATATATGATCATCTATATATATATATACATATGTACATGTACATGTATATATATATACACATACAAGTACATTTGTCTAATATATGTATATATATATATGTATATCCTATAGCTGTTAGGTCGGTGATATCTGCCACTAAACTTCCGGGACAAGCTCAGCGCCTCCATCAACTCGTGAATGATGAACTGACAGCTTTGGGGCCTCAAGACCTGCACCAACGCTCGAAGGCCCGGGGCTCGACAAGGGATTCCTCGTGTTATAGGCTGACTAACCTTAAGCCTTAAGCCATTGGCGCCTGGTCACATTGAGGTCTTTGCGTTTGAAAGACTAGGTTTCTTGGATGGATTCCCGATTTCACTGAATGTTCACTCCTTTTCTTCGCTATCCAAACCCAATTCCCCTACCACAAGATTCGTCGTTTTAAAAGTGTTAAGGTCCGTTGGAGCTTCACGATTTCGATACTTGGTGCTTCAACTTCAACCCATCCCAATAGAAATCATGATCCCAAGTGGAAAGGAAAAAAACACCCTCCAGGTGGATATCCCATGGTTCATCATCATGTTTCCTAGAAAAACAAGGCATTAAAACCATGTTTAATCCACCATTTTCAATCACAACAAACAATTTATGATTGGTTACATCTATATATATATATGTATGTATATATTATGATATATACATATCCCACTAAATTCCCAGAGCAAAATAAACATGGTTGAGGTTAAAGCAGGTTATTTCCCCCCATTGAACCTCCATGGCCGCCATGGCACCCCACCTGGATCAACTTCTGGAGGACGTAGTTGCCACAGGGGGAGCGCGATGCCTCCACGATGTGGCCCTTCAACTCCTGCGGGATGGCATGGCTAGGCCAAAAAATCAGGACCTAGACTAGGGATGTTAAGCAAACATGCATAACATGGTGGGCTAAGCAGTTTTTATATGTTTTTTATTGAATTCAAATTCAACTCTCGACTCCGATTTCATGACCAAGTTTGACCGACATGCATGGTCATTGAGTTTTTAGACTGCAAAATCATCTACTGAACATGTTCAACCTTTTCCTGAAGTTTCAGGAAGCTTCAGCATCTTTCAGGAACCATCTGTGGGGGTGAAGGGTCAACATATCACACAGGTGATGGGCTAGTGATCTTATCTTCACTCTTGAAACATGGCTTTGGAAGACTGCTGCTGTAACCTGCCATGTTTGACTTCCATGTCAACCTCTTAGCGTGTCCGAAAAAAGGTTCTAAAGCCAGTTGGTATGGGTTAGAATCTAGCAGTAAAAACATGTAAAAACCAACAAAAACAATATATGTTGAACTAACCTGGTCTCACTTCAGTTTCACCATCCAAAAAAAGCTCTTTTTTTCACCATCAAAAACCCCACCCCTCCGGGCCCCTCCCATCCCACCTGCGCCAGCATTGCCCTTTCGGCCTCCCCACAATTCTCCAAGGCCTGCTGCACCAGGCGGCAGCCCTTGTGGCGTTGGGACAGGTTCCACACGCTGCCCGCCACGGCGCCCTCCACGTCGTCGGCGATCGTCTCCGTGGCAGTCGTGGCCGTGGCGTCACCGGTGCTTTGCCGAGACAAACTTCCTGGCGCTTTTTAGAGGCGTTTTTTGGGCGAGGAAAGTCTGGAAACATGGATCTTTGGTGAAAAATTACCTCACTTTATGATAGGTGATTGGCAAACCACCATTTGTTGGAGTTTTAGGGCCATGGTCGGAAGGATGGAAACAGTGATTAGTTAGTTGTGATCAGCATTCAAGTCTATTCAAGTACAGCAGTCAGTGAATTGAGGATGGCAAATGAAAATCCTGAAGTGCTGCAGTCAAGGGCCACCGCATGCAGCATTGGAGAAGAAGATGCATTCGAACATTTTTTCTGGAGTCCATGTCAGTTTGCAGCGTAGGAGATCTGTATGGTTGTCAAAGAGCCGACCAATCATGGCCATTGCCACCATGAGACACCCATTTCAAGATGATCTTTGCTTCTCTCAACTATCAGAATGGAACCGTTCAAAGAGGTGTTCGAGTTTAAGTATATACTCCCCAGTCGTAATGAAAAACACAAAGGACATTGACCTAACATGACCCAAATTTAGCCCCTCCCCCGGGTCCTTGGAACACCATCTCCGAACTGGCATGGCTTGGCACAGAGGTGGGTGTGGAGCAGGGGCTGGGAACGTTGACCATGACCATCGCCACAGGCACCAGCAGGGTGGGTTGGAACGCCACCGGCACAGGCGCCATGGGCATGGCACCCATGGGTCCCATGGCACCCATTGGGCCCACGGGATACGCCATGGGGGTGGGGGCAGCCAAGGTCACAGTGGGCATGGCAGTCATGGCTGAAATCGCTGCGAAATCCTCAACCTGCGCGACTTTCGAGGGCTCTAAACAGCCTGAAATGGCCACAGGGCGAAAGCGTCTGTGTGAGCCTGGGACCCTGAAAACATGAACAGCAGAGAAAAGCAGGTGGTCATTAGTACAAGGAATTTTTGGTGATTTTTGACAGGCGAAACACTCCATCCTGGCAAGGCCACTATGGGACCACTGATGCTTGCTGAGCAGGAAAAAATTGCCGTCACAACCTTGTGCTTCCCGCTGCCACGCGTTAATTCGGGTTTTTATCACATCACCACCCACCTCTCAAGGCAACCAGAAACTCTTGTTGTAAGTATACATAAGTGATACTCATCACTGGATACTGCATCTATTCTGGGGCTCAAGGCTTCCATCCTCATCCTTTCTTACACCAGCATGATTGTAGCTTGAGCCCAGCATACCCTCAAACTAACACACATATAGAAAATCCACCATGAAAGTAAATAATTGTCCAAGGGAAACAACCATGGATTTCCACAGCTTTTTTTTAACTGAAGAGTGCCCTTTGCTAAACAAAGGTAACTACGGAAAATCACCATTTTTCATCGGCAAATCAACGAACTAAATGACCACTTTCAATAGTTAACCGGGTAGCCCTCTCCCAGTCCTTCCCAGAGCCAGAGCGCCTTCACCAAAGGTGGGATTCATTCCCAGCTCTTCTTCCACCAGAACTTCGATGGCTTCTTCCACTTCAGCCTGCTATGCTATCTGGGCCCATCAGGGCCAAAGCGTGCCCCGTAATCCAATGGTTGGAGGGGAAATCTTCAACGGAAACCATGAGTTTTAGCAATGTAAAACAATGCCATTTGCACGCACCATCTCCCAGTCATCACCATTTTTATAGCTGGTATACATATATATATAAACATATATAAACCATTCCCAGGAAAATGGGTGGTAAACATTGCATTAGCTTTTACCCACATCACCCTCTGGTAAACATACAAAAAACTATGGAAAATCACCATGCTATTAATGGGTAAATCCACTATTTCAATGGCCATTTTCAATAGCAAACTGTTAACATCATAACCAGAGGGTAAGATAGAGGTGTCCTGTAGAGGTGTAGCGTTCCTGTTTGATCATCCCGCCATGCCGCCACGCCTTGGCGCGCGCCTCCTCAGCCTCCTGCCGCTTCTGCGCCGCGCGGCGTTCCAGAAGCTCCTAGCCAAAATGGCAGCGAAATCAGAGAATTAACCGAGAGGTCCAATGGGAATAACCAGGGTTTATGGTGACTTCATGAGATTTAGTAGTTTAGTGGGATTCTTTTCGAATGGGATTTGCTGGGGCCCCAAATCATTATCTAAGTTGGTGCGTTTACAACTCCAATAGCCAGGGTTTATGGGGAATATAACTACATATATCTACATATAGTTAAAGGGGATTTCAAAAAAACTATAAACCAGCAAACATACCCTCTGGTAAACTAACATAGCTATGGAAAATCACCATTTTTAATGGGTAAATCCACTATAAATGGCCATTTTCAATAGCTATGTTAGTTTACCAGAGGGTAAATGGGGGGATGACTCATGTGGGATTCACCCCATGCCATTTGCACCATCCCCAAGTACCATTTTTGATGGGTGGAATGTCAACCATCCCCAGTCATGGTAGGTTTATGGCAGCCAGGGTTGCCCACGGTAGGGTAAGTTACATAAACTTGGGGATTTGTGCTTTCAACAGTTGAATCATCTTAAATCACAACTTTAGTTGAACTGTTGAACCAAACAAAAATGTTGCTGGTAATTCCCGCAATCGGTATTTAGCCAAAATCGAGCCACATGACGCAAATTCGCAAATGGTCATGGCTTCTCCACATCCTTTTTGATTCTTGTCCTAGGTTTGCCCTACTGTGGATGGTTGGATGGTCGCGAAATCCTCCATTACCTTGGTTTTTCAACCCATCCCATTCATGGGATGTGAAAGCCATCAACTGGTGGATTTCGCAACAAAAATCCCTGGGTTTTTCATGGTATTTCAATAGTTGTTCATGGTTTTTCATTGGTTTTTCATGGTTTTCCTGGGTTTTCCTGGGTTTTTCATGGTTTTTCATGGTTTTTGCATGGGTTTTTTCATGGTTTTTCATGGTTTTCTCATGGTTTTTCATGGTTTTCTCATGGTTTTTCACGGTTTTTCCCTGGGTTTTTCGTCATCAAACAGATCCATCTCTCAGCTCAGACTCGCACCTCTTCGATCTCATCCGGCCGCACGATGTCGCTGGTGTGGCGAAGTAGCTCCGGCGGTCGTGGCAGCGTCCTGGCAGGTTCGATGGCCCATGGGTGGCGGGCCCATGGCATGGCTTTTTTGGGGGCATCTTGATGGGTCTAATAATGATGATAACAATATGTAGTTATAACTGGTATGAGGGGTTTAAAAAAACAAATTTCTCATAATAATCAGAATAATAACAATCATAATAATGATATATCTGATATGTCTGATATGTCTGACTGGGATTTTATGAGATGTTCATATTTGTTTTTGTAAAGTGAATTCTTATCTTATGGGATCTTATGGGTATGACCAGGGTGATATTTCACATGAATTCAAGCCATAAATTGGATACGTCGACCAACAGCTACTCATTCAATGGAACAGTGGACGACACTTTACAGGGAAAATCCCATTGATGGATGGATCATCATAGACCAGACTGAGGCGAACCCTAAGCCCAGCAAGGTCGTTTGAGCTAGGTCCATCTTCAAAAAAAACGAGGCACTCAAAAGGAACAGAGGTGCAAACCAAGCACTGTTTCTTGGGGTCTGGATTGGAGGGATTATAAACATGGCAATTCTTAGATAGGCTGCAGAAAAAGATGACAATGTGGCTAAATCCACATTGTTGTGCTGAAATCTGCTAATTCACCACCGAAAAGATTCAGTAAAAGTTTAATTGGGTGCAGTGAAACCACTGTTTAAGAACCTACTGCAATAAGAACTTCGGGGGCTGGATTGCTGGATTCAACCCTTTCTGTCGGCTAATTGAAATAAGAACCCCAGGGTACCCTGGATTCTAGCTATATACTGGTTCTTGTTCCCTTTTAACGGATATCAAACATTGATATATTTTTATATATATATACATAATTATATATGAAAGATATATTCTGCCGGTGCTTCTGGTTCTGGAGCTTCTCTTCCGCCTGGCCGGCGCGCTGCTCAAATCAAGATGGGAAATTTGTGTTTTTGTTTTTTTAACCTGGTAGGAGGGATGCCTATTGAATTATGTGGAAAAACTTTTGGGGTCCCAAGCCCTGGCACGCAAGAATGTCTGGCCCTTAGCCCTGTTTTGGATGGCTGCACTTGAAAAATCTTTTCGGGCCCTAAAAAGTTTTTTCTCAACCAACTCCACGGCAGGCCCAACCCTCCCTGCCTTGTCGCCGTCCTCCTCTTCTTCCGCTCTTTGCTGCTTGCAAGGCTGGAGGCACTATTTATACTGAATGCTATATTGAGGAATTACTAAGAAATTTCAAATATCAACCCCTTAAGAACTGGCCCGCTAAGAACTTGAGGGTACCCTCGTTCATAATTCCCTTTTTTTTACCTATAGCACTTAGACTTAAGAACCCCAGGGTAGGCTGGAAAATTCTTAATCGGTTCTTGTCTAACGGTTCCGCTGTACTATTTCAGCCAAGTTCTACATTGCTATTTAAAAAAAAATGCCTATTTATCGTTGATTTAAAGATAGTGATTTTCCATAGTTTTTTGTATGTTTACCAGGCCGGATATCTTTCACCTATCCTAAGTCTTCCTAGTTTTTTGCACACCGACTTCGGCCCCGACTCCTTGGATTTGCCGACTCCGGCGGGGGCCCTTCGACTTCATGAACCTCCGGACACGGCTGCCATCGGTCAAAAACACATGGTATATAGATGTAATGGTGGTAAAGCAATAGGATCCACCATCCCCAAATTTCCCCTGTTTATGAATGGTATAAACCATCAATATGGGTGGTAAACATGAGATTACTCTACCAACATGTGCAGAGGACTATAGAATTTGACTGAATTTTTATGGTCGATTGGTCATGGTCGGCTGAATCAGGCTGAATCCCAGGAAGCGTTTTGGGTCAAATGTTTGCTTTGGAATTCCACCCGTCAAATGTCGCTGCCTGATTCGTGGAGAACCCCCGCATTTGTATGTCTGGTTACTGGTTGTGAAATCCATCCTTTTTTGCCCTTTTCTGTTGATGAAATCCACTTCTTTGCGAATGAAATCCCAATGGTTTGCGTCTTCCACCGACCCTTTCTGAATCCCGATGTTCAACGTGATTTGAATCCCTTCAATATTCATCCAGTTAAAATAATCCCTTCCCCCTATTACTAAACCCCCCCAAATAATAAAAACTAGGGATCATCTCTAATTTTGGACAACTTTGGATGAAGTATATGGAAATCCCCATGTTCATCCGTTTTTCCTGGTGAAACCCAAAAGTTCAATGGCGGATCCCCAAGCCAACCCGAGCCTCTGCACTCGGTGGACGATCTGCCATCAACCCCGAGGCGTCTGCACCCAGCGCTGCCTTCGGGGCAAAGCCAATGCCTCCGCGAAGAACGGAACTTGAAAAGGGGTGTAGAATAGTTTTGGGATTTCTTTTGCATCAGGTTTTGGATTTTTTTTTGGCTTTCTTTCCCGGTACCATTTGCCTTGTATTTGCAACAGTTTGGAACTAGAACCTGTCATTTTGCATGGTATTTGCTACATGTTGGCATGGTCACTTTGCATTTTGCATGGTATTTGCTACATTTGGCCATGTTCGCCTTCCATTTTGCATGGTATTTGTCACATTTTGGCATTTCAACCTCTCATTTGCATGGTATTTGCTACATTTTGGTGCTTCAAACGTTCATGTGGGTCTCTTGAGGGTTCTTTAGGCTTTCATTTAGGGTTTCATTTAAGGTTTCAATTAGGGTTTCATTCAGGGTTTTATTTAGGGCTTCATTTTGGGTTTCATTTGGGGTTTCATTTAGGGTTTGATTTAGGGTTTCTTTAGG